TGGCAGAGGGTGGTGTCCCATCTTCTAGGACTGACTTCTGGCTGAGGATGTAGCCCCGAGGGTAGATTGCTTGCCTAACATGCAGGAAGCCTTGGGCTCCATTCCCAGCACCAAATAGCCTCAGCATGGTGACAAAAGTCTGTGACTTAGGACTGGGGTGGTGGAGGCAGGAGGACACGGGGTTCAGGAGTTGAAGGTCATCCTTAGCTGCACCATGAGCTCAGAGGCCAGCCTGGGCTACAAGAAACCTTATGCCCCTTACATGCATACATAAACACACAAACACACGCACACACGCACGCACGCACGCACGCATGCACACCACAATGTGACTGGTGGCTTTGTAAGACGAAGAAGACCCAGAGGGAAGGTGACAGTGCCAGGAGCTGGCACAATACAGCCAGAAGCCAAGCACAGTTGGCAGCTGGAAGAAGCATGTTTCTCCTACAGGTTTCGGAGGGAGCCTGGCCCTTCTGGAACCTTCATCTCAGGTCCCAGTCTCCGGAACGGAGACAAGAGGTTTCTGTGGTTGGTTTTCAGCCCCATCCTTTATGAAGCTCTATTGGTTCAGCCTGGGGAAACCGAGGCAGTACTGGCCTCCCATTCTCTCCCAGGGAACTCCTCCAAGGTGCAGCTCTCTGTGGACTCAGGAGATGCCCAGTATGTTTACCCAGCATACTAGGGAGACTTTGCAAGGCTGTAGCCAGCTGGTCACATGTTATTTTATATTTATTCTTCCTTCTTTATCCCTGAGGTGTGGCCCCTCCCCAGGACCCTTCATCTCCTGATACTGAGGCCTTACTGTAGTTCCTCCTTCCTTAGACCCCAAGCAGGGCCTAGAGATGGCAATGGAATACAGCACGACGTGACAGATGCTAAGATGGGTTGCAAAGCAGCTGTGTCTTCCGGGAATCTTCCTTCTCCCAGCCTTTCTCTGTCTTGCTTGACTTAAAGAGAACCCATTGCTTCTCTCCAGAGAGGCCCAGGGAGCAGGGAGCTGATGTCTCCAGGCCACTGCCAGAGGGCAGCAGGGACTTGAGGCCTCAGAGTTTGAGAAGAGACATGGCCCCTGCAGGCTTGCAGTGACAGCAGTGTGAGTCACTGTCTCCATCCTTTGCAGCTGTGGGAGTACTGAGCCACCGACACGCAGCCATGCAGAGCAGACTCAGCTCCTTAATGCAGGGGCTTGTTGTGTGACAGTGGTGAACCGGCTCACTGTCCACTTCCGCCCGCCTAACACTTGCTTCATGGAAGTAGTGATGCAATAAAGCTGTCCCAAGTCGGGAACCTGTCCCCACTGCCAACTTCCAGTTACCTGAATATTCTAAAAAATAAATGAAATATTGTCTGCCTGCCTTCCTTCCTTCCTTCCTTCCTTCCTTCCTTCCTTCCTTCCTTCCTTCCTTCCTTCCATTCTTCGTGTGTGTGCATGTGTGCATGTGTGCATGTGTGCATGTGTGCATGTGTGCATGTGTGCATGTGCATGGTGGTCAGAAGTTGACTTGATTGCTATCCATGTTATTTATTTTAAATTATTACTGTATCTGGACATGGTGGTACATAACCCCCCTTTTTTCTTTTCTCCTCCTCCTTCTTCCCCCCTCCTCCTCCTCTTCTTTTTTTTTCTTTTTTGGTATTTTTGAGACATGGTCTCACTATATATCTCTGGCTGCCCCAGAATTCACTATGTGGACCAGGCTGGCCTTGAACTCACAGAGATCCACCTGCCTCTGCCTCCTGAGTGCTTAGTTTAAAGGCACGTGCCATGATGTCCCACTGATGGTGGGGATGCATACCTTTAATTCCAGCACTCAGGAGGCAGAGGCAGGCAGATCTCTGTGGGTTCAAGTCCAACCTAGTCTACATAGTGAGTTTCAGGCTAACCAGGGCTACATAGTGAGACCCTGTCTCTAAAAAACAAACCAAAAAGAGAATAAAATAATTTTTGTGACATGATGTGTGTATGGATGCCATGGTGCTTGAGTGAAGGTCTTTTGTGAATATAGGTCTCTCCTTCCACCTTTATGTGGACTCCAGGGATCACACTCAGGTGGCCTGGCTGCTGTGGCAGGCACATTTACCTACCGAGCATCTCACTGGCCTCTGCTTTATTTTTTGAGATAAAGTCTCTCAGTGAGTCTGGCTTTTATGTGGGTGCTGGGGACCCAAACTCAAGTCCTCATGCTTTCAAGGTAGGCATTTCACTGAGCTATCTCTCCAGCCCTGGTCTTGTTATTTTGGAGACAGGGTCTCATATAGCCTGGGCTGGCCTTGAACTTGATATGTAGCTGATGATGGTCTTGAACTGATCCTTCCATCTCAGCCTTAAAATGCTAGTATCACAGGCGTGTGCCACAAGGCCCAGCAAAAGTGTTGATTCCTTGTTAGAAGTAGCCACCCCAAAGCACAGGGGAGGTCAGAGGAGGTCAGAGGAGGTCAGAGGAGGACACTAAGTGGCCGGTTTAAACGCTTCACCATATTTCCATAAGACAGTGGTTCTCAACCTGTGTCATGACCCCTTTCACGGGGGTTGCATATCAGATACCCTGCAATCAGATATTTATATTTGATTCATAACAGTAGCAAAATTATAGTTATGATGTAGCAATGAAATAATTTTGTTTGCTTTTTTTGAGACAGGGTTTCTCTGTGTAGCCCTGACTGTCTTGGAACTCCCTCTGTAACCAAGCTGGCCTTGAACTCAGAGATCCACGTACCTCTGCCTCCAGAGTGCTGGGATTAAAGGCATGCGCCACCATGCCTGACTGCAATGAAATAATTTTATGGTTGGGGACCACCACAACATGAGGAACTGTATTAAAGTGTCACAGCATTAAGAAGGTTGAGAACCACTGCCATAAAGCAAGGTCTCTCACTGAGCCTGAAGTTGGGATTTTGTTGTTATTGTTTGTTTGTTTGTTTGTTGGGTAAGCTGGCAGCCAGCAAGTTCCAGGGAGCCTCATGACTCCATCTCTCAGCACTGGAGTTAACAGAAGCATGCAGCCATGCCCAGCTCTGTGAATAGCGCTGAGGATTCAGCCTCAGGTCTTCATGCTTGAACAACCAAGCATCTCTCTAGCCCCAGCCTCCCATATTTCTTTACTTTTTATCATTCCTAGAGCTAAGGATGGCTGGCTTCTGGACACCCTAAAGTGGAGCATGGCCAGAGATATGGAAGGAAACATCACATTGAGTTGCTTTCCGTTTGGGCTCAAATCAAAGGCTTTGTAAGGACTGGACTGAGTGGGTGATGGGCTCCTCCACTCGCCAGACACAAAGCACACACACAGTGCAGATTATGGTAACAGAGAGGTATGGAGAGCACTCAGAGCATCCTTCATCCCTGCCCCTTAATCGAACGCTAAGAACACAGACATTCAGGGGATGGCCCTCACATCCTCTCCAGTTCCACTCTGGAAAATTGACTTTAACCAAAGAAGATGGGTGAGCCTTGAAACTGCCCTCCTGGAACACTACTGGTCAGAACTCCAGCTCTCCTCGGGCCACCTATGGACTTCAGATGTGACACAGGACAGAAAAGCGGCAGCAGACCTCAGAGGCCACCTGCCTCTGAGCCATTCTCAAAAGTCTTTGCCTGATTCAAAGGCCATCTCCAGGAGATAGGTCATGTGACACACACAGCAAGGAGCCTGAGTCCCCCCAGTAAGGATGCTTGCTGAGTCCTCTTTGCTAATAATAATTCACAGCCACACAATTAAGCAGTGAACGCATCCCAGGGACTCATCCGGAGGCGACAGTTTGCCTCCAGAGCTCCTACGTAGACGTGCACTGATTTCAGATTTCAAGTAGAGATTGGCCAACCCAAATTAGTTGCCTACAACCCCCAGCTTTCTCAAAGGTCTCTCTCTCTTTTTCTTCTATCTTAGGGAATATCACCACAGACACCTCTTGTGACCTTCAGCCATTGTGGCCACAAGGCCACTTCACCAGGCAGCCACTGGGTTGGCAAAGCTGAGGATGGAGCCACCCTGGAAACAGTCATCCAATACATGAGTGCTAGGAGCGAATTTGAACACGTGGGGGTTGAACTCAGATCTGCCATCGCCCACAGATGACCGGAAAGGGGAGAGTAGCAGAGGACACACATACTTGTCAGACACACGAAGCATACACCGTGTTGAATGTGGTAACACTGAAGTACGGAGAGCACTCCTAAAAGACAGACTGCCTGTTCACGCTCCTGAGGGTGCCAGGAATCAAGGCCTTTATGGCTCACTTCCTTGGCCTCGGAGGTCGTGAAGGACATTATGGAGAACTCTGTAGCCCCCTTCAATCTTTCACTTCTTCTGTCTATTTCTTCCCCTGGGAAGGTGGGACCATTATACACTTCACACTCAGAGCCAGAACTTCTGAAAACAGTGATGCCAAGAAAGAAAAGTGGTGCAATCCTTCAAACCTGTCGCCTTGCACCTTGGATGCAAGTCTTGGGAGATAGGGAAAACGAGCTTCAGAGGAAGCCCGCTCTTCTAACATCCCTTGGCGTTTACACTTCTAGCTGAATTCTTAGGGCCTGTATCATGTTGGCTTCCTGGCTGACTTCATACTCTAAAATAAAATAACCCTTTCACCTGACTGCTAACACGGACATCTAGGGTGGGGGTGGGCTGTCTGGGGCCAGAGGTCCACCCACGAGGCTGATGAATCAGGTGTGAAGCTAGCTCCAGCATGTGCACTCCCTAGCCAGTGGAGCTGGCCTCCCAGCTGCCTGTCATTTTCTCCCCTCCCGCCCTTATTTGGAGCCCCTGACAGCTGAGCTGCAAGCAGGGGGAGCTGGGTGCAGGCCAGCCGTCACCCTCTGCTTCCCTGCATGGGTCCTGTTGCCAGGGAGAAAGAATCCTGAGGCGCGCGCCTGGGAAGATAACCAAGGACTCTTTTCTGCTCTTCTCACACCTTTGAAGTGGGGGCCTCTTGAGGCAAATCAGCAAGAATGTGGCTCTTGCATCTGAGGGTCTGGGGTGGGGTGGGGGGTACTGGAGATGCTCAAGGCAAAGGGGCTGTGACAAGCTTTGCTGAACTGATAACTTTAAAAGGGCATCTTCTGCTGGCTCCTCACTCCATCGCTTTATCGCTGCAAGTGACAGAATGGGGAGGGCCCCAGCCTCCTGCGTTCTCAGAGAGCTGGGGGGCTATAAAAACAGGAGGCACTGGGCAGCTGGGAGACAGTGACGAGCAAAAGCTGAGAGAGAAACCGGAGAGGAGCGAGCAGAGGCAGCAAGCATTGGATCGCGCCCCGACCCACGCCAGCATGGGCTCCTTCTCCATCACCATGGGCTTCTTCTTCTTCCTGGCCCTTTGGCTTCCAGGCTACATTGGAGCAAACCCTGTGTATGGTGCAGTGTCCGACACAGATCTGATGGATTTCAAGGTAGGGCCAGGAAGTGGGGGCATAGACTGGGTCTCTTTGGTACTGAGTCTGTCCCTCTGAGACACCCCCCTTTTCCCTGCATTTATTTTTCCTTCATAAAGAACCTGCTAGACCATCTGGAGGAGAAGATGCCGTTACAAGATGAGGTCGTGCCCCCACAGGCCCTGAGTGAGCAGAATGACGACGCGGCAGCTGCACTTAGCTCTCTCTCTGAGGTACCTCCCTGGACTGGGGAGGTCAACCCACCTCAGAGAGATGGGAGTGCCCTCGGGCGCAGCCCCTGGGACCCCTCAGATAGATCTGCCCTCTTGAAGAGCAAACTGAGGGCTCTGCTCGCTGCCCCTCGGAGCCTACGGCGGTCTAGCTGCTTCGGGGGTAGGATCGACAGGATTGGAGCCCAGAGCGGACTAGGATGCAACAGCTTCCGGGTAAGAGGAGCTGTGGAGGGAAATGGGATGGAGTCTGGGTAGGGGGAGCAAACTATGGTCTTGTTAAGGTTCAAACGTTGCCAAGGAATACTACAGGGAGCATCTTTGGCGATAGAGAAACCAGTGCAGTGTTTATTCCTCTGAGTATTCTGGCCTACTATGGTGGATGTTCCAGAAGTTTCAAGACAATGCCAGCAGCTGCTACAGCTTCTGAGCCACCAGCTGGGAAATTAGACCACAAGGCCAAGTCACTTTTGCGTTGCTGATCGGCAGTCAGTGTTCGTCCCAGAGCCTGGCAGATTTAAATGAAATGAACAAAGATTGCCCGCCTTAATGCTTATGAGTGACTTGTTTGCTAGTTTAGGACAGAGGACCATTGGGCTGGACTATGGCTGGTGGGAAATAGTTAGTCACTGGTCAAGCTGGACGGTTTAGCACAGTAAAGTCACATCACCAAACCAATATATTTTTCTCTTTGTAGTACCGAAGATAAGAGCCAGGGAGGAAAGCAGCCAGATTCGCTGGGGCAGGTTGCAGAAGACCCTAAGCCCCCGCGGTGTGTCACGCAGCTTGGTCTCATTGTCACTGAGGTGTGGCAAACACGCTGCTGGAGCCGCTGCTGTCTTCAGCTATCACGACTAAATGTAGACGAGTGGTTCCAGTGGGCTCTCCCTCCCCCTCCGCATATTAAGGTAGAGCCTCACCCCTTTCGGAAAGCAGTTGGAAAAAAATTTTTTTGAATAAACTTCAGCACCAAGGACAGAAGCTGAGGTCTGGGTGATTCTTTCACTTCTGTCCCAGCTCCCTGGTGTCCCCCACCTTGTCCTTCCCTGTCATTTCTCCCTCCCTGACTCTTCTTGGTGAGTGTGTGGGGGCCTCAACACACAGTGCTCAATGCACTCTGCGGCTCACTCCAGCCTCAATCACAGACCACGGAAAAGTCTGCCCTGACCGAAAGTTTACTTACTTTTAATTCATGAAAAAGAAAACACAAACACATCTTTTCCTGATGAGCACAGGCAATGGCACTTGTGCTCAGCAGACAATTTCTTGCACCCCTCCCACGTTTTGGTTACAGCCTGGGCGGTTTTAAGGAGTGCTTAGCAAACCAGGGACTGTTCAAACCTCCTGCTATCTGAGCACCAGCTGCTGTGGTGTGTGAATTACACTTTCATTTTGGACAAGAGCGAGTGGAGGGTGGGTTACACAGCTAGGGGCAGGGAAGGAAGGCTTCCAGGCTGACGAGTGGCAAGTTCAAATGCTTTGTCAACCACCACACCGGTGCATCTCCACCTATCTATCTGTGTCCATCAATCAGGACTAGAAGTCAAACTCAGGGAGCCAAATGCATGTGAAAAATAGCCATGGCCTCCCTAACCCAAGACTGCGGTGCTTGAATTGTACACTGCATAGAGGTGAGAGCCACCAGGAAGCAGCAGTTTATTTATTTTTGGTCTCTCTGTGTAGCCTTGGCTGGCCTCAAGCTCAGGGAGACCTGCCTGCCTCTGCCTTGCTCTAGGCACCAAACTATGGAGAGACCAGGACACCAAGTTCCTTTTAAACAAGGAGGGACTCTTATTTTCTTGCCTGTTTCCCTGGGCGTACGTCCCTGCCTCAGATTCTCACACCGACACCCTCTTCACCCATATACTCACCTTGCTCCGCTCACTCCTGCTGGCCTCTAGCCCAGGATGCCACCATCTGGTGCTCTCTACATCCTACACATTCAAGGCTAATTGTGGACACTGCTTCTTCCCTGAGGTCACAGGCCCAGGAAAACAAGCGACATCACAGGTCACCTTCTAACTCCAATACGACAGTCTGCTGTGTGTGCGGCTGTGTGCTTGTGTCCTAACGTACTGGGCACGTTGTACAGAAGTGGGGAGAAGAGACCAAGTAGTAGAGCACACACATGCAGAGGCAAGGCAAGGCCAGGCGCGACCAGGAGGGGCTGCAGGTGGAGGAAGAACTTCACCCACTTCCAATCAAAATGCTAGCTGGGCCTGGCATGGTGGCACACACCTTTAATCAAAGCACTCAGGAAGTGGGTAGACAGTTCTGTGAGTTCAAGGGCAGCCTGGCCTACAAATTGAGTTCTAGGATAGCTAGGGCCGTTACGCAGAGAAATGCTGTCTTAAAAAACCAACCAAAAAACCCCTCTTATTTGGATCTCAAGTCAGTAGGTGTAAAAGAAAGAAAGAAAAGAAAAAACCCAACAAACAAGAAACAGTCAGTGTAGAACAACTTGGAGGACCAGCGTGAGGTGGGAAAGCATCAGGCTGCACTTGGGAGTCCCTGTGGCTAAGGAACCTCCAGGTGTATGGTAACAAAGGGTTGTCACTGAGTGGAAGGGACAGAAAGGGACACACAAGGTACAAAGTGCCCCTAGGACTTGGAGAGAGCTGAGGCAGGAGGGGCCGGATGAGCAGCTGTCTGTGATGGGCAGCAGAGCCAGAGACACAGCCAGTGGATTTCCTGTCAAATAAGGGGCAAGTGAGCAAGGAGCAGACAGAGGCAGGAATGTGCAGGAGCGCGTGAGCGCATACGCGCGCGCACACACACACACACACACACACACACACACACACACACACACACGCAGAGCGGCGAGGGCTTCTATTCTGCTGGCTGCCATCAGGCTCCTGGCTGCAGGGTGAGTCCTGAAACAGGCACTCAGAACCCAAACAGACTGTCTGCTCTCGCCCTGGTACAGATCAAAGGACCAGTGTTCACAGGTGAGTCAGACCGCAGCAGTGATGGGTGCCATGGAAGAGCCACAGGACTAAGTCCATGCTTTCAGAGACCGACAGGTACTGGGACAGGCAGTGACAGAGAGGTCATGCCTGTCATGATGGCACATGCCTGTAATCCCAGCACTTAGAAAGTAGAGGAGGACAGCTCACGTCATCCTTCGTTACAGCGAGTCTGAGGCTAGTTTGGGTTACATAAGACCCGGTCTCACAAACAGACTGCTTCGAGCACCTTAACTTTTCCCTACCTCAAAGTGGGAATGAAATGAAACCCTGGAAAGAAAGCCCCATGGAGACAAGGTCTACGGAGAAGGTGCAGACATTTTATTCTGACTTCTTAAAGTTACCACAGAACTTCCACCTTCCAAAGGGTCAAATAAAAATAGACTTTTACAAATTAAAAAAGATACAATTTATCTACACAGTGGAATCAGCTAATGTTACCATATAAACAAACAGTGCAAACAGAAAGGCGGAAGCTGGGACTGGAGAGTCACCGAGGTCCACAGGAACCCAGGGCAACACTGCATGTCAACATGGCCCGGCCAGGAGGGCTGGGCTGGCTTTTCCGGAAGCTTTCTTGTCACCAAGGTCTACATCAAACTGTCACATGGCTGGCTGAGTCAAGCTAATGTCCATTCCGGCTGGAACTGCCTAACAAGGTCACATGCAGACAGCTCATAAAATACCAAACTCCCACAGCAGGACCAGGCAGCCACACAAATGCCCAGGTGCAGAAACAAGCCAGGAAAAATGCCTGGAGACAACCTCAGGTGTCCCTCTGTGGAGCTGTGTTTGACAAGGTCCTGTGACACTGGGGGAGGCCACGGAACTGTGGCAGGTGAGATACTGAGCTGCTGGTTCCAAGGGATAAGCCATGGGGGACGGAGTCCAGGGCTTACAGTTAAGAGTTCACAAGCGGCAAAGCTGTTGTCTTTGGGCTTTTCTGGATAGGCAGGTTTAGGAAGAGGGACCAGGAACTGAGTGTCCTAGACAGGCATGGGCTCAAGCTGTAGGGTAGAAGTATCTACACCCTGTCTATTCTAGGCTAAACTGATGGTGACTCAACACACACATAGGACGGACCAACTGCAACCGGTCACCAGGGCTGGCTTGGAGGCAGGAAGCTGTGGACTCAGGTCCTTGAAGGCTGCTATTCTACAAACCCACCAGGCTGGGAAGACGATTCTGTGGTGTGTCATGCTTTTCTCTTGGTGTGGGCAACTGGTTTCCTTCTTGAAGGAGAATACCGTAGGGCAGGCACTCAAGTCAGCCATAAAATGAAGCAGGCAGCCGGCCAAACACAACCCTGCTTAGCAGGGCTATTTCCAACTACTTGTTGGGAGTTTCAATCCCTACCCCCACTTCACAAGTCAGAATCTGAAAAACAGATTGTTCTGGTAATAAGCAAATAGGGAAGAGGGCCAGGGTCGCAGTCAGCTGTAAAGATTCAAGGTAACCCTGACCGAGGTCGTGGAACAATTTCCCAAGTGCTGATCAGAAGACTCTGCCGGGTCCAGAGGCCCCAGTGATAGAGGCCAGGCCCTGGCATGCATTCTCTCCAGCAACTTCCACGATTTAAAAGTATATTAATGTGCCATGTGGTGATGGCGGGCGGACACCTTTAATTCCAGCACTTACAAGGCAGAGGCAGGTGAATCTCCGAGTTCAAGGCCAGCCTGGTCTACAGAGTGAGTTCTAGGACAGTGAGGGCTACACAGAGAGACCCTGTCTCAAAAAACAAAGAAAAAACCAGCATGGAATACAAATGAATGTCACCTGGTATCCAAAGAACACCTACCATGGGCCTAGGTTGCAGGAAAATGAGTGCTGGTGTCTCTACCTGATGTTCACTGAGATGCCAACTCAGAGGACCAGCAGCCAGGGGAGAATGAAGCCATGAAAAACCAGTGAGGGACAAGGGGCAAGAGCATCCCACTCCCTCCCCAGCCCTAAGACCAGCAGCTGCACAAGTTCCTCTTCAAGTCCTCAGTAAGAGAGCTGACTGGGGAGTGGCGCGGGAGCAGGGTGTGAGCAGTGACCATGAGAGGAACTGAACCTTTGACTGGCCCTGGCTCACGACAGCCTGTTTGCCAGCTGGTAGAGCGATTCCAAATTCACTAGGGCTTGGGGTAGCGGTTCTGTCTAGGGGCTCCTCAATTTTGGTTAACTTTGGGAATGAGTCCGAGACAAAGCTGTGTCTGCACCACCAGGACGAGAGATGAAGGCTTAGAAAGTCCAGTAGTTGTGTGGAGGAATGAACTGAGAATGGGTAGAGGGCATGTGTTCCCGGGAGACCAGGTGGAACTGGTGAATGGGGCTACTGAACGCTTCCAGCGAGGGGAGAACTGGGGTTTTAGTGCTCTGTGGGTCTGACTCAGGCCACAGGGCAAGAGCAGAGCACGTGCTCGCTCCTAGGGAACAGAAAGATGATAGGCCAATGAAGAGGACAGAGCTCTAGTATATCTGAGGTCCTGGGTTTGATCCTGGGCCTCTCCAAACATGGGCAACAGTTCTCAGGGCCCAATTCTGGAACTTAGTAATGAACGTGATATGCAAATAACATCCCCAATGTTTGCCTCCGTCCACACCCTTCCCAGAAGGGTCCGGGCAACAGCTGGGCTCGCTGAGAAACAGCAACAGAGAAACACCAAGTGTCTACCCAGGACCTAGCCTGACTTCACCCTGACGTCTCTAGGGGAGCCTGGGGAACAAGAAACAGAAAATTCTTGCTGAGGAAGTTAGTAAAACTCCAACTTTCTGCTCAACACATCCCCAAAACCTCTGACTCCAATCTTCCAGGACTCCGGGCAAGTGGGTGACTAGGAGCCTTCATGCCAGCCGTGGGGCCAGAGCGTGAGCAAGCCACCTGCAGAGGCATCTCTGGGAGAGTGGGCTGGCAGCCGGCAGCCGGGCTCAACTGTCAGAGGGTCTGGTAATGCTGCCGAAGCCGGGCCTGCAGGAACTCATATGTCAAGTTGTGTCGTGTGATGATCCCCACGATCTAGGACAAGGAGAAAACACCCAGGTCACCAGAGTGTCCAGCCCACCAGTAAGGGTGGGTGTGAGGAGAACGGTCCCTGCCATGTACCCCAGGATGTAGAGACAGAAAGAGAATTGGGACCTGCACAGTGTGAGGACATGACAGGGTTAGTGTGCTCATGGCACAGATTTCCTATTCTCAGGAAGCATGGGGACAGATGGAGCTGCACAAAAGGAACCAGCGGGCCCTGAAGTGGGAGCAGGGAGAGGGGGTAACTAAAAGGGACCCTGCCCCTTTGGAAGAGCCCCCTGCTTTCTCTCAACACAGATCTGTATGTGGTCCAGACTTTCTTTTATTGTTTTTGGTTTGGTGGAGAGAGGGTTTTATTCACAACACAGCCCAGGCTGACCTTGAACTTGCCACCTTCCTGTGTGCTGTGCTGGGATTACAGGTGTGTGCCACAATGCCTGGCAGAACTAGCCTGTGTTTTATTTTGTGTACTTGTTTATGAATAAACCTAGGCACATGCTCTGCCGCTGAGCTGTACCCCAATGTGCGTCATGTCCTGTCTTACGAGTTTCTATTGCTGTGACAGAATGCCATGGCCAAAAGTAAGTTATGGAGGAAAGTTTATTTCAGCTCCATTATAATCCATCACTGAGCAAAATCAGCACAGGAAGTCAAACAGGACAGGGACGTGGAGGCAGAAACTGGTGCAGAGGACATGAAGGAGTGCTCTTTATCGACTCTTCATGACTTGCTCAGCCTGCTCTGTTATAGCACCCATGACCACCAGCCCAGGGATGGCATCATTTACAATGGGATGGGCCCTCTCACATAAATCATTAGCTAAGAAAATGTACTACAGCTTTGCCTACAGCCCCATATTACGGAGGCATTTTCTCAATTCCGAGTCCCTGTCCCCGAATGACTCTAGCTTTTATCAAGTTGACATAAAACTGGCTAGCGTATGTCCTTAAACAGGACACATGCCAAGCCTGGTGGCACATACCTATAACAGCATTTGGGAGGCTGAGTCAAGAGGACTCCTCAAATTCAAGGCCAGTCTGGAAAGGAAGGGGAGGATGAGGGAAGGCAGGTTGTCCCTTTAAAGAGGTACTACTTCCTCCCAGGGTCATTTTGGTGACATGTACTGAAGACCTTCCAAAGGGGACTAAAACTCAGCCAGATGAGGAGGACAGGAAAACGGAGCACACAGCCACGCCGTTCGACTGTGCACAGGAGGAGCATTGTAGCTCAAGGGTAGAGTGCCTGCCTCCATGCAGCTGAGGTGAGCACCTGCGGGAAAAGCCACCGTGAATGACAGAACCTGTGCACAGCAAAGTGGACAGGGCAGCGACCTCGGCAGGGCAGGGGTCAGGACTGACTTTTATTTGTGTTTTCTTATTTTGCTACAATATAGTATAATAATATAACAATAGCTATGTAATTAAAAAATTAGCCGGGCGGTGGTGGCGCACGCCTTTAATCCCAGCACTCGGGAGGCAGAGGCAGGCGGATCTCTGTGAGTTCAAGGCCAGCCTGGGCTACAGAGTGAGTTCCCGGAAAAGGCGCAAAGCTACACAGAGAAACCCTGTCTCGAAAAACCAAAAAAAAAAAATTAAGCTGGGCCGGGCGTGATGGCACACGCCTTTAATCCCAGCACTCGGGAGGCAGAGGCAAGCGGATCTCTGTGAGTTCGAGGCTGGCCTGGTCTACAGAGTGAGTCCCAGGACAGCCAGGGCTGTTACACAAAAAAATCCTGTCTCAAAAAACCAAAAGAAAAAAAAAATAGTAAGTTGGGCTGACAAGATGGGTCAGTGGGTAAACACACTCACCACGCAAGCCTGGTGACCAGAGTCCAATTCCCAGAACCCAACCCACTCAAGGTGGAAGGAGAGAACCAACCCTACAAAGCTGTGCTCACATACCACACAAACGTAATTACCTCTGAAAAGAAATGATGCAAGAGTCTGCGAACGTGATCTCTGGGTGTGCTATCTTTTAAAACCCTCTGAGAACTTCGCCTTAACTTCTATTAATGCTACAAATGCCCCTAAGAGGCAGGAGGAGCCAAGGAACACAGACAGGGAGGAAATGAGCCCTGGAGCAGAGACAAGAACAGGCAATGGAAGATGGACGGCAGACCACGGGGTGCCCCCTGCTGGACGGGTGCGACAGACATGCACATGGGGAAGAGTCAGGGTGAGAGGACAGACCAGAGGGAGCCAGGGACACGGCTCTCCCCCACCCACTCTCTCACTCACCTCCCCCACTGCATTCACCACAGGCAAGTGGCGCAGGCCCATGGTTCTGAACAGGTTGAAAACTTGGGAAACATGGGTGTTGGGGGAGACAGTGAATGGTGAAGGGTTCATATATGGGGTGACATCCTGCAGAAGAGAAAGCAAGAATCATCCACAGCCTGGGATAAGCATGGACGTAGCATGTGGGACAGCCCCAAGAGACAGCCCTCCTCACCACAATCATCCGGGGATTCAGCAGTGTGAGATCCAGGTCATGTATGTCTGGATACCTTGGATAGTCCTCGGCCATCTCAGCATAAGAAAGGCGTGGCTGGCTGGCACTCTGCAATTCCGACCAAAACAGTGTCCTTGCAACAAACAGCAGCCGCCAGGAGGGTCATTAACAGTCCCTCCCCAGGTATGCTAGTCCCTTCCAGTCACAGGCCACCCAGGGGGACAAATAGTACAACAGCCACAGTGGGTGCTAAGGAGGGAGACAGCCCAATAGCAAACTAGCTTCTAATGGATGAGAAAACTGCTAACAGGGGTTGTGGGTTGATTTAGCACCCTAAAAACCAAAAGGAAGAGAAAGGATGGGTATGGGGGAGCTGACAGGAGGAGGGGCACTACTTCCACTAACACATGCAGGAAAGTCCACTTCCACCAGATTAAAACCCTGCAGTAGGAAAGGCAGACATGGCGGCACATGCCTGTAATCCCAGCACGTGAGTGCTGCAGACAGGAGGATCAGGCATTCATCCTCAGCTATCCTGTGAGGTAAAGACCAGCTTGGGCTATATGAGATCCTGTCTCAACAACAAAGAAAGCAAAAGCCCTCAGATGTGAAAAGCTCACAGGCCAGCAGGCAGGAGACAGTGGACAAAATGTGTCAAAGGCTAGCAAGGGCCAAGTGGAGTCACCCAGCTCTCAGCTCCCTCAAGACCTCGGAGCTCACAAACCGCAAGCGGCCTATGAGGCCGAGCTCCCCACTCAACAGCAGCTGTGCACACATCACACACAGAACCACCTCTCCCTGAACAACAGGGCCTGACCCTGCTGCCTTCCTGCCTTCCCGGACACCAGGACCCAAGACTTACAGACTGACTTTCGGAATAACACACTCCTCGGACAAGCAGGGTGACGAGCTGCGAGCGCAGGACAAGGCCGTGGAAGGTCAGCGGACGGAAGCGCTCCTCCATGGTCCAGTCTTCACTTGGGGACTGGTCAGGGTATAGGTTGGGGTAGGGAGTGTATCTGTTACACAAAAACCAGATGCTGCCTCGTATACCCTCAGCAGGGTGACTTCTGCACATCCCATCATCTCCAGCAAGCTCTAGGGCTCACTCCCAACCCCTGTGTCCAGGGTGCTCTGTATGGAGGCTGTAGGCAGCCACTGTGAGGCCCTCACCTCCTCTCCAGCATCTGCTGCAGCAGGTCCTCCTTCTCTGCCGGCTCCTCTGAGGCCACATGCTCATCACACACATTTCGAAGCTCACTGGAAGGGTAAGACTTCATGGACTGGCCCCGCTTGCGCTGCTCACCAGCACGGGTAAGGATACTGGATTTCTATGGGGGGTGGGGAGACAATGAGTCTTTACAGGAGCCAAATGGCAGTGCTGGGCACACAAACACAGGAGCATCAACAGGGTGTGATGATGGGATAGCACTTTTCATGGAGGTCTGCAAGCCTCTCAGAGGTGCAGGGCAGTCAGTCCTTGGACTTGACTATAAACCTGAGGCCTCACACAGAGATAGGTCAGCCTCTACCACTGCACTACACCCCCAACTCCACCAGCTCGAGCCTGTCACTTGACCTTGCCAGTCAGTCTGACTGGGTTTAGTGCTATCGAAGCAGCCTCTGGGTGTCTGTTTCCACAGGACCAGATCCCCGGGGCTTTGACCTCACAGACGGATGAAGCTGGGATCCAGCTGGGAGAAGCAGGTCACAGTTGTGTGTGTATGCATGTGTGTCTGTGTTCTCGGGGCTCTATCTTGTCCTGGCCCCTTCCTGTACTCTTCTGTCTGCTCTCTCTCCACCATGCTGCTGCTGTTCCCCTCTGCACACCTTCCTGGCCCTGACAGACAGACACCTCTCAAACACAGGGCAAAAGAAATCCTTCTAAGTGGTTTCTTTATTTGCTGTTTTGTTTTTTCGAGACAGGGTTTCTCTGTGTAGTTTTGGTGCCTGGCCTGGAACTCATTGTGTAGACCAGGCTGGCCTCGAACTCACAGAGATCCGCCCGCCCGCCTCTGCCTCCCGAGTGCTGGGACTAAAGGCGTGAGCCACCGCCGCCCAGCTTTTCTACGTGGTTTTATGCCACACACTATTTTGTCACAGTGACGCAAACTTCTCTACTGCGTCCAACCGCATAGTTTTCCCGCCTTAAGACTCCACCTTCTCCCATTTGGGGAGGCGCACCTCCATTCTGCAGAGGGAAAACAACTTTTCTCTTACACTCCGTCTTGGAGGGACCATCAACCTGTGTCTGCCCTTCCCAAAGACACCAAAGGCAATGGGTGGGCACATAGTCTGTGTGAGGTGATGGACCTGGACTGAGTTGGTAGCTACCCAAGGGCAGAGACCAGCCAGTGCCCATTCCTCCTGGTATCCCAAATGGCATTATGAAGCCAGTATCTGCATTCCTAGAGCTCACAGCTTGGTCTGCAGCTTCCAGTCAATTTCCTTCTCACTCTTTTTGGCTGTGGTTTATTGGGACAAGGTTTCCCTCTATAGCCCAGGCTGGTCTGAAGCTCACAGTGATCCTCCTGCCTGGGCCTCCACTCTCCTAAGTAGGTCAGAGTCCATCTGTGTCAGCAACTCTAGCACCCTCCCTGATGCTGCATACGGTAAATAATTAACATCAAGTCTGCTGACTTTAAGAAAGAGCCCACCCGGGCTGGAGAGATGGCTCAGAGGTTGAGAACACTGACTGTTCTTCCAGAGGTCCTGAGTTCATGAGTTCAATTCCCAGCAACCACATGGTGGCTCACAACCATCTGTAATGAGATCTTAGTGCCCTCTTCTGGATTGCAGGAATATATGCAAGCAGAACACTGTAAACATAATAAAATAAATAAATATTAAAAAAAAAAAAAAAGAAAGAGCCCACCCACCGCTTCCTGCTGCCCAAGTGAGCACACATCCTCCGAGAAGCCCACTGTGTCGTCACCTGTGAGGGTGCTGCAGACTTGCCCTAGACTGACAGAGTCCAGTCCACCCCAGCTTCAGAGGCAGCCCTACAGTCTGCATGCTGGGCCAGATGGTCCTTCCTCACTGGCCTTCCCTTTTGGGCCATTTTTTTTTTTTTTTTTACCTTGAACTTGATGTTGTTGCTGATGAGCTGGTTGCCCTTCATGAACTCCTTCTCATTGCCCCGGTTCTCTGTGACCACTGGGAAGGCGTGGTGGACGGTGGTGCGCAGGATGCTCACCAGAGACTGGATGCGAGTGTGTGGGTAGACGTACGTCAGGTTGGGCTCCATGATGTCACTGGCTCTCAGCCTGCGCAGGAGGAAGCTAGAACAGCCTCAAAGACACCACTGCCACTGGGGACAGGCTGGACTGGGGACAGACTGGACTGGGGACAGGCTGGACTGGGCAATGCTGCCTCTCCATCGCCACCTGGGTCACTGGGGCCTCTCTTCTGACCATCTCCAGTAGTTCCCCAAACTTCCACCACCATGCCTGCTACACTGCTCCCCACTTCATCATGCTAGAGGACCACTGTTACCTCTCCATGAACCTCTCCAGCTTTCCCAGGGTTGGCCAGCCACTCCTTGAATGCCACATCACATGCTGTGTATCACTACTAATCACTAATTGTCTTGGAATCACAAGGGCGATTCTGGAGTCCTTGTTTAGACCAGAAGGGCAAGCCAGAGCCCACTGATCTGTTCCAGCCCTGCACACTCATCCATGCCCGTTTTCCTACTGTAGAAAGGGCTGACAGGCTCACAATGCTGAAAATTTTTGCTGAGGAAAGGCTGCTGACCCTGCATTAGCTCATAAGGCCTGCCTGATACACAGATAAGAGGTGGGACTCCTGTGGACGCCCCAGCTGAGATAGTGTGGTGCTTGGTGAGGTGTGTGGGTAGGCCAGTGTCACTGCCAGGGCTTTGTGTGTTCTCGGTGTGAACATCTAGCCAAGGTAAAAGCTTGACCCAGTTCTCACCGTTTACTTGGTCAGGACACTAAGAAGCCAAATAACCACAAAGCAGCCTTGCCTCTGGACCCCATCATGCCACCCAGCCTGACCTCCAGACGTAGCCAACTCAAGCTGCTCAACATCCCCAAACACACAGGGGACACGAATGGACTTTCTTCTAATCTGAGCAATGGGAGCTACTGTTTCCCACCCTGACAGGCTCTGCAGGCCCCGCACTTAGAGACTCTGGTACAAAGATGAGTGAAGAGGCCAGTATCTTACTTGTCCATTTCCACCTCTGTCTCCCACTCCAGAAGAGGCACACCTCGCAGGCCGATGTGGATGTCATAAATGCCCTTATTGAAAAAGTCTCCCGTCCACTTGGCCACCTAGAACACAAAGCAGAGACCTGAAGACAGCCCTTGAGATGAGCCTGGCCCTCGGCCCACCAGCAGCCAGGGCAAGCGCTCACCATCAGAGTGATCATAATGGGAAGTCCGTATGTGATCTCATTGGTAGACTCGATCAGGATGACTGTGAGACTGATGGTCATTCTCACAACCCCACCCAAGAAAGCCGCCGCACCGATTAGGGCAAAGGTCCCGGAATAGATGTGGCCCAGTCCTATGTAGCTGATGAAGAGAGAAACAGAACTAGATTAGACTCACATTGGTGCTGTGGGCTCACACACTTGTGAACATGGGCACACGTGCACACGTCACCACACTACCTTTTCAAGATGTTGGCAACTAAACGTCCAAAGGCTGCTCCACACAGCAGAGAAGGCACGAAGAGGCCACTGGGGACAGAGGTGCCGAAAGTCCAGCACGCCAGCAGGAAATAGAGGACGAAGAATAAGGCCAAGGTGACGGGGCTGAAAGTCCCTGCAGGGTGAGAGCAGACTTGAGTCACACTAGCAGATGCCAGCACAGGCCCAGAAGACTGTGTTGGGCCTCTCCAGGTCCTCTGTAGCCAGCCTGGTCACACCATCAACAGTGTGCACACGGACACCCACCATCCTGGTGGAAGAGCTGCAAGATGGCAGACTCCTGGGAGTTGAAGAAGAGCGTGGCCATGTCATTGTAGGTATCATTGGGACAGAAAAACGTCTTGATGGTTGAATTCACATCTTCTGATGTGGCCTAAGGAAGAGATGAAAAGTCAATATAAGGCACCAGACCGGGACATACAAGTCTTCAGTGATGTCTCCTAAGAGGTCAGACATCTGGCGGACAGCTTTTCCAATGGGAGGAGCTGGGGTCTAGCCGGAAGAAGTGGGTACACACCTATGTATGGGCAGTAGGTGGCAGTGGACTATGATGCTGGGCTCTTGTATTCTGAATGTGGAGTGGAATAATCAGGGTGAGGGTGAAGGCCCTCCTCATCCACACTTTTTCTTTTCTGTCTTTCTTTTTTTGAGACAGGGTTTCTCTGTGTAGTCCTGACTGTTCTAGAACTCGCTGTATAGACCAGGCTGGTCTGGAACTCACAGGCAGAGGCCCGCCTCCTAAGTGCTGGGATTAAAGGCGTGCGCCACCACTGCCCAGCAACACTTAAAAAAAAAAAAAAAGAGTATTTGTGTATGTCCGTGTGAGTGTGAGTGTAGGTGCACAACTGCTGCAGCAGGCGTGTGGAGGGCACATGACACTGCGCTGAGGTCTCTTATTCACAGCTGCACGTGTCAGACTAGCTGGCCCCCCAACTTCCTGTCCACACCTCCCATCTTGCTGTAGCAGCACTGGGATTACAGATACAAGCTGCCATGTCCAGCTTTACATGGGTTGTGGAGATCTGAACTCAGGTTCCTGGACTCGGACGGCAAGTGCTTTCCCCGCTGGGCCATCCCCTCGACCTATTCACACTCATCACTAAGCACAGCTACATCAGTCACCACGGACTTGTTTCCTCCTTAGTGCAGATTCTGAAGGGACACAGCTAAGCGCTCAGACGAGAGAGCGCCCTCTGTGGGCTGTGCGACGGTGATGCAGGTTAGAGACAGAAGTGGTAGAGGCGGCAGGAGCCTAGGAAGCAGAGCCCAGGTCATCACGTGACCTAAAGCCCCCCAACTCTGGTTCCAAATGAAGAAAAAAATGCTTTATTCTGGATTTTCTGCAAAAGAAACCAACCTCAACATGAGGCCTGACAGCAATGCCACGTTCCTGGCCACTCTTCCTCCAATCCCACTACGAGAACACAAGCCAAACGATGGAAAAGACTAGAATCTTTCCTAGTGTTCTAGGCTTCACACTCTTGACACCCTGTGTGAGCACGGGATTCTGGTGCCACCTGACTTAGGAGTAGAGGCAGGACATCTACAGATGGATGGTCCTCGATTTCTGGTTGGTGGTAAGCAGCGGCTGGGCTTCACCCCACTGCTGTCCCTGTGAATATGGACATTGAGGATAAGGGATCACCCGGATTCTGCTCCACTAATGATGCTATAAAGATGCCCATCTGTGGACACAGTAACAACACTGGATGATGGTGTTTATACTTCTAGCAGGTGAACCCAGCCAGGCAATACAACAGGATGTGGACTCATTAGGAGGTAGGACAATGCCCCCTGTTGGTAGGCAGAGAGACGAGTGGAGAGGAACAGTGCACAAACTGTTGGCTATGGCTTAATAATTGATACATTCAGGGTTTCCCAGACCACGCTGGAGGGATGCCAGCCCCCGAGGTTCTCTAAAAAAGGTCTTGAGGCCGGGCAGTGGTGGCGCACGCCTTTAATCCCAGCACTCGGGAGGCAGAGGCAGGCGGATCTCTGTGAGTTCGAGGCCAGCCTGGTCTCCAAAGTGAGTTCCAGGAAAGACGCAAAGCTGCACAGAGAAACCCTGTCTCGAAAAACAAAAAAAAGGTCTTGAGGTCAGCTGCATGCACAAAATTAGACGGCTTCAACACTGACTCTGCCACTCTCCAAAGACATTGGGGAGGTCTTTAACTTAGGAAACTTTGCTTTCCCTCACCTACAAAATGGAATAATACCTTCCCCTTCATACTACGTGTTACAGCTGAGGGATCCTGGGTCAAGATCTCACTTTGCCTCTGTCTTCTCACCTGAAAAATGGGGATACTATTACCAGCCAGCAAAGTGAAGAAGAATAAAAACGAAGAGCTCGGCGAGGTACTCGTTTGTGGAAGACCTGAGACACAGCGCTTTCTTTCCCTAGCGCTTGCTGGATGACCAGCCACCTTTTCTGGTTTGAGTTCATCTCCTCAGGTTCGCCCACTGAGCACAAACTGTCCTGTGTTTTTCTTATTATTAGTGTTCCACAGCAAAATACATTTTGAAGTTTGGTCTCATAAACGAAATGGCCTTGGGAGTAACTGGGTGTCAGCAAACTTCCTCCTCTTTACCAGTCACACAAAGTCTCTGTGGTGCCTTCTTTCGTCCCAGGCATCTGAAAGGTCACCCTTTGCCTGATGTGGCCCTTGGCTACAGCTTGTTGACCTCTCATTTAAAACATTCTAGGGCTTCCCAGATTGTTTCCTGGGGACTGAAGAGTCGGCCCTCCCAGACAGGCCCCCCGGGCTCCGACAGCTCTGGGCTGCTACTTGGAAACAAGAAGACAGAGTTCACACAATGTTCAGCAGCTTCTTCCACCTTGGAGACCAAGCCACATGCTGCCTCTGGGACCATCAGAGTGGACCAAACCTAAAGGTAGAGTGCACTCCCATGACCTCCTAAAGGCGGCAAAGGAGAAGCGCAGAAGGGGACATGTGCCAAGGAAAGCAGCCCACAAGAGCCAGATGCTGGGAGGCGTTAGCGTCACCCCACGAGTGACTCTCATATCACAAAGGTGAGGTGGTGGGTGTCGTAGCCCTAGGCCAGTGTGTTCCTGCAGGCCAAGAGGGACAAGTGTAAATGGGGCATGGACAGAAGTGAACAGTTAGCTACTGAGCATGCTTCCCATGAGTGTTATTCCCTAGAGAAGAGCAGCCAGAGTTCTTGACACCGTAGAAAAGACAGACGGCAACCGGGTGCTCAGGTAAAGCACGTTCAGTGGGCATGGAAGAGCACGGCTCTAAAGAGACGCACATTTCTGGATGGAGGGTAAAGGCACCAGGTTTGCGGGCTTACCTGGAGCTGGAACGAGCCATTACCAGTTTGACTCGCAGAAGACATCTGTCGGCACTCTCCTAACACCATGGAGGCCACAAACACCACCACAGTGGTCACCAGGGACACCAAGAGGCTCTCTAAGACTCTAGAAAACAGAGCACAGCTGTCAAAATGCATCAAAAGATGTCTAGGCTTGAGCGTGCACAATTACCTGACCTGCCCCACCAACCCTCTCCCCACGGGGCAGGCCCAGCAGCCCTGGTCGGGGCACACAGAATTCACTCCAGACTTGCTCCATCTAGCTAGCTGCAACAAAGGGCAGGCAGTTAGCTGATGAAAGCAGCTGTTCCACACACATCATTTTCTCTAAAGAGCTAAATGGCTTTTCTTCTCTAAGTTCCGGGCAAGGGCAAATCATGACTCCAGCTGCTCAGCTGACCCTCCTGACCTTTGGTATGTGTGTCAGCAGCAGGTCAGAAGAGGGTGGGTCACCCAGTCACTCAGATTTAAACTTGGCCTCAGCTTCTCTGGCCTGCACAGGGCATTTATGAGCATGTGCATATGCTCAGTCTCAGAGAGGAAATCAAATGGGTGTGGGAAGCAGGGTCTGCTCACAGGACCATCTTCCTTGGGAGAGATGGCCCGCCCACAAGGGGCTAACTGCAGGTACCTGACGAGCTTAGGTTTCGGGTGCACGTTGCGCATACGATACTTTGCAAGCCTCTTGTTCAGACAGTTGAATGTGGCTCCCAGGAGGCCCCCAATGACCCCCATCACGATGAAGAAACCCAAATCCAGAGCTGTCCAGAGATGACATTTTTTATCAGAGTCAGAGCACTGAGAGAAGGGGAGGGAGGGAGAGAGAAAACCAGAGCGGCCATGAGAGCAGGGAGGGGGGACAGAGACAGACCAAGAGCGGAGCGCCCTGCTTCCCTGCCGAGGGTCCAGGCCCCCCGGGCACACTGCTCACGCAGCAGCCACCTACACCTCTAGTTCCTACTTAAGAGCAAGTTTCAGGGTCAAGTAAAATATCCTGGGAGGAAGGGTAAGACATACCTTAAATTCACCGAAGTTCAGCAATCCGGGCAGCTGGAAGGAGCCCCAACTTCCAAACTGAATCCCAGAACGGAAGAAGTTGAGGGTGAAGGCGGCAGACATGGAACAGAAGAGCTACAGGACAGGTACCAAAAAAAAAAAGAACACCGGTGACATCACACTCTCTTCCCGACAGTCCTCTCACCTTTAATTCATTCATTCATTCATTCACTCATTTACATATCTGTGTGTCTGTGGCGGTCAGAGGACACCTGTGGGAGTCAGTCCTCTCCTTCCACCGTGTGGGTGTCAAGGGACCAACTCAGGTCTGGCATGGCAGCAAGTGCCCCTATCCATGGGACATCTGCCAGCCAGCCAGTCCCTTGAAAATCCATTACTCCACCAGGGTGGTGGCACAGACACTCAAAGGGCAGAGATCTCTGTGAGTCTGAGGCTAGCCTGGTCTACACAGTGAGATCCTGTCTCAAAACCAAACCAAAACAATAACAAAAACAAACAAAGATCAAAACCCCATGGCAAGCCGGGCAGTGGTGGCGCACGCCTTTAATCCCAGCACTTGGGAGGCAGAGGCAGGCGGATCTCTGTGAGTTCGAGGCCAGCCTGGTCTCCAAAGCGAGTTCCAGGAAAGGAGCAAAGCTACACAGAGAAACCCTGTCTCAAAAAACCAAAAAAAAAAAAAAAAAAAAAAAAAACCCCATGGCTCCAGAAGGGACCTTCGGAGGTGACTGGGTTCAGGGTTTAGGAAGCACTGCCAGGCCCTTCCTCGGAGAAGGCAGGCTTCGAGTCGGTGCCCCACCACCCTCCACGAATGCCTGATGCTGAGAACTCCTTACGGCCTACACCCAGGAGGAAGGAGGACACAACAGAGACGGGTCAAGTCACGGTGCTGCCGTCCCTCCTCCCCAACAGAGACTCGCACATTTTCACGGCACAGGGTTCACAAGACAGAAGAGCAGCCGTTTGGCACGGGACGGACAGTTGGGAGGTGAGTGGACTCGTAGGAAGAGCACAAAAGTCCTCTGTTTGGAGGCCAGGGCTGCTATGACAGGGAGGTTCCATGGAGTCAGTCTGCTAGCTCCAACCAAAGGACAGTTACGTGTTTCAAGTGATGGTCGGGTACATTCCAGACTTGTGCTTGGGTCCAAGAGGTGGCTTCCATGGACAGTCTCCTTACCACTTTCCACGTGAGCCCCTGGTTCCAGAAGGACGAGCCCTCCTCCAGACTGAACAAGGTACCCCCTATGGGGGCCCCAAAAGCTGCAGCAACTCCAGCAGCCGCCCCTGCTGATACAAAGTCTCGCTTGTCTCTGAGGAAGAGGAGGGGAGAGGGAGAGAGTGCACTTGTTTATTTAAGAAAGAGCCTTCAGAACACTTCTTTACCCATGAGCCTTTTCCCTCACAGCCGTAAGCGTCAGGGTCACACACAGCAGGGTCCTGACAGGCAGTCATAGCCGCCTCTGAGCTACACACTCCCCACATCCTTGAGCTTGAACGTGAAATGTTCTCCAGTGTGTTCACGGCCATCACCCTGAGGCACTACTGGAAGGCGTGGAATTTGAGAAATGGAGCCTAGTCGGAGGATGTTAGGTGATTTGGAGTATACCATGGGGGTACTGGAACCCACCCCAAGCCACAAGATGAAGGACACTGAAACCTTCACAACTGTGAGGGAAAATTAGCCTTTCCTTCTTTCAGAGGCCCAGCGCAGGTATTTGTTAGCCAACACACTGCATCTCATCCCCTCAGGGCCGACAGCTTCCCCTGAGCAGGAGCTCTCCGATCTGAATGGCTTTATTCAGATAAAGGAACATGGAACAGGCTCCCAGCTCAGCGACCATCCAATGGTTGCTACTGAACCATGTTCCCACAAAAGCAGAGCCCTGGTGAGGACGGCGGCGGCGAGTCTAAGCAGAAAGCCATGCCTTGTGGGATACGAAGACGAAGGTGTTCCATATGCTGCAAGGGGTGCCCGACAGTGACACACAAACCCAGGGCAACCGAGTCTAGCTGGCGGGGTGCCCCTCCCGGGCTGGGTTTCCAGTTCTGAGGCACCATCCTTGCCTGAAGTGGCTCTTAGACAAATGGAAAGGACAAGAGCTTGGTCCTCTGTGTTCACTCTCAGGAAAAAAGCACAGAGCCCTGCCTTTTCTGCCAGCCAGGGGTCCTAGGGAGCCAGGCTAGTGTGGAGTGAGGGTGCTGCCGCACCGCCCAAAGCTTACCTGTCACTGCGGAAGTAGGGGAAGTTGAACTGGATCTTCCGTAAGGAGATGCTCTGAAACTGAAATGGGGGAAACAAAGTTAGAGAGGCCACGAGGGCAGAGCACAGGAACCCATGATCCCCAGGGAGGCCCACTTGTCTGTGCAATTGCATACATGTGTTGCAAGAGAAGCATCCAGGACAGCAAGCTACAAAACAAGGAAGTCACCTAGGGTATGGGAGCTTCAGGATTCACCCTGTGCACTGTCAACGAGTCAGGAAGAGGGGACAGCAGAGTTGGGGGCTGGGAGGGACCTAGACCAGCTGCATATGATGGCATTAGCTCTTTCAGGGGATGACACTGGCACCCTAGATTCTCACACAGGCCCCCACGCCATGCTTGGCCTCTTTCCACTTCCAGGCTCATTTCTGGGAGGCCTGGTACTTGAGCAAGACAGCAAGTAAGACAACAAATGGCCCTGGAACGGAGCCTTCGTCCTTTGCCCCAACAACCCTAGTCCAGGTAAGTAAGTCCCTTTCTTAGAACAGGAGGGGAAGGTCCAAAAGTGATGGTTCTCAGCCGGGCGGTGGTGGCGCACGCCTTTAATCCCAGCACTCGGGAGGCAGAGGCAGGCGGATCTCTGTGAGTTCGAGGCCAGCCTGGTCTCCAAAGCGAGTTCCAGGAAAGGCGCAAAGCTACACAGAGAAACCCTGTCTCGAAAAAAAAAAAAAAAAAACCAAAAAAAAAAAAAAAAAAAAGTGATGGTTCTCAAGGGACCAAGACTTCTCAAACAAAAGCCCAGGTGTCTAAAAAAGCCCCTAAAAATATGAGCTTCGACAAGTAGGAGGCTGAGGCAGGAGGGCCTTGAGTTCAAAGCCAGTCAGAATTCACAGTGAGACCCTATCTCAACCAATCAGTCAATGAAACCTAATTTTTAAAAGGATATTTGGGTCCTGAGCTAGCCCCTTAGTCTCCTCATCTGTGCTTAGGGCTCCAATCAGTTATGTGACTCCAGGAAAGAAAGGAATTGGGACACACAGTCTAGTGCACAGGTGACACCTGCCTGCCCTGTGACCAGTGTTGCATCACATAATGTGGAATGAGCAAGGTCAACCTGAGACTGTCAGCCAGTCTTCCAGCCACATGACACTTGTAGCATGTGGTAACCCACCAACCACCCTGTCTCAGTTCTATCTCAGGTTCCTGTTTCTGCCCCCAACACTGGGTGCAGTGTTGCTATACTTTGAGGAGCCACAGTTAGGGGCTTTGCTGGGACAGACCACAGTTTTCATCTCAACTCCAAAAGGCAACAGGTTCTGAAATGGCACTAGGGACATCCCAAAGGATTTTTGCAGATCTGCTGGGCTTACCCAGGAGGCCCATTTTGAGGGATGCATACCCTGGCCCACCAACTCTTACCTGAGGGAGGCCAGCTCCTACCACAGCACCACTGTGGATCATGGGGCCTTCTTTCCCCACAAAGAGCCCTGGGAATGGGGAGAAAGGCAGGGTACAGTCAGCAGAGGGCCTCTGGCCTAGACTTTGCTAGGTAAACCTTCCTCTCAACGACTAGAAAATGCGAGCAAGCATATGACTCTGACTGACTCTTCAAGGTAAAAGCTGAGCCCGGGCCGGAGAGACAGCCCAGTCAGTGAAGTACTTCCTCACAAACGTAAGGACCCAACCTAAACCCCAGAAACAAGAGTGCATCTGTCCTCAAGCACAGGGGCACTGGAGGAAGGACCCATGGGGCTCCTGCCAGCAAGCCCAGCCTAACTGCAAAGTTCCAGGTCAGTGAGAGAGCTTGTCTCAAAAAAACAAGATGGGTAACTCCTGAAGAGTGACATCTAAGGTTGTTGTTGTTTACTCCTAGTCCCACCCCATCCCCCCCACACAGGCTAGTTCAAATTCCCTTCAAACAAACTCCGCTTACTACATGGGATAGTAATTCTCATCTTCAAATTCCAGTGCCAGGAAACCACAGCCTGTGGGTCAGGCCCACTCTACCTTTTTCTGTACAGCCCGAGAACTAAGATTTAATCCCTTACTATTTACTGATAGTGCTGGGAATTAATCCCACAGCTTTATGTATCCTGGGTAAGTGTTCTACCACTGAGCTATATTCCTAGCCCTTTTATCTGTTTATTTTTGGGTTTTGAAGTAGCATCTTACTATGCAGCCATGGCTGGCCTGGAACATGCTATGTAAACCCAGGCTGGGCTCAAACTTGAAACTTGCCTGCTACCTTTGCCACAGGAGTGCTGGGATTAAAGTTATGTGCCACTGTAAGGCATGGTTTAGTTTTATTTTTACATGGGGTCTCATTACATTACCAAGGCTGTCCTTGAACTCACTCTGTACCCTAGGCTGTCCTTGAACTCACTCTGTACCCTAGGCTGTCCTTGAACTCACTCTGCATCCTAGGCTGTCCTTGAACTCACTCTGTACCCTAGGCTGTCCTTGAACTCACTCTGCATCCTAGGCTGTCCTTGAACTCACTCTGTACCCTAGGCTGTCCTTGAACTCACTCTGCATCCTAGGCTGTCCTTGAACTCACTCTGTACCCTAGGCTGTCCTTGAACTCACTCTGCACCCTAGGCTGTCCTTGAACTCACTCTGTACCCTAGGCTGTCCTTGAACTTACTCTGTACTATAGGCAAGCACTGAACCCAATCTGTCCTTGAACATTGAGGGATATTTTGATCTCATTCTGACACTCCCGAGACTTCCAGTAAAGTTTACCATGAATCAGAGAGGGGGAGCCAGCTACTAGCTGACCAATATTAGCCATAGAGGTTTTGGAGGACTGAGGACATATAGAGAGACACAGGAAGTAGTAGGGAGGGGTTTAGAAAGATTCTTGGTCCCTTTTGGATGGGAGAGAGAGAGTGAGTGTGTATGTCACTGGTCACTTCTCCACTGCTTCTCTGATCATTCAAGTTCATATCCCACTATCAGACTCCCGAGTTTACCAATAAAGAATAATTAGAGCCACGCAGTGGGGATGCTCTCAGGAGGCAGAGGCCAGTGGATCTCAGTGAGTTTGAGGCCAGCCTGGTCTACAGAGCGAGTTCCAGGACAGCCAGACAGAGAAACCCTGTCTTGGAAAAAAAGAGAGGCATAGTTAGATAAACACTTCAATGGTGCCCAACTTGGAGCACGAGATCACGGGCAGCTGCTCACTGCTGGCTTTATAATTGCCGCAGCTGGCTTTCCTTCCTTCCCCAGGCCCTCCCCTCCAAAGTCTGGGCTTTTCCCATTGCAGCCTCTCTAGAGCAGCCTCTAGCTGCCGCTTGACCCCAACCCCAAATGCCACAGGTGGCTAGGCCCCAAACGCTGCTAGAGGTAGCTGCCAACCACCAGCTGGCTCTGTCATTCAGGCGCCCGGTGCCCTCGCTTCCCGCCACACACAGGCTTTTCCCACACATCCCATGTCTACTTTTCAAGTGGTGGGCTCCCTTTCCCTGTGGGTTTTGGGCTTCTCCTGGACTCCCTCCACAGGCCGCTGCCACACCAGGTTGGCTGCTGCCATCGCCACACACTCTCAGCCCCCAGCCACACTCCAGCAGCTGCAGCTGCCCTCAGCCAGGCTGTCCGCCACCAGAATTTTCTACCCAGCATGCAGCTCAGCAATGCCTGCAGGCCAGAAGAGGGTGCCACATCCCATTACACATGGTTGTAAGCCGCCATGTGGTTGCTGGGAATTAATTCAGGTTCTCTGGAAGAGCAGCCAGTGCTCTTAACCACTGAGCCATCTCTCCAGTCCCAGGAATTAGTTTTTGTTTTGTTTTGTTTTTTTAAGGTTTTCACCATGTTAAGAATAGAGGACAGGGCTAGAGAGATGGTTCAGCGGTTAAGAGCACTGACTGTTCTTCCTGAGGAGCCTTCTGGAATATGCAGGAGATGTAGTAAAAGCCGGCATTGGACTAATGAATGCAGATCAATATGACAAGGTAACCCTTTGCCATCAGGAAATGCCTTAGGGGGCCTCTTGAAGGCTGTGGTGTCAAATTTGGTTTAAACATTCCCTGTCAGCATTGGGGAAACCCCTTCACAGAGCAATTAAAAGACTTAATACCTGTTGTTAAAAACTATACTGCTCTGAGCCAGGCGGTGGTAGCACACATCTTTAATCATAGCACTCAAGAGGCAGAGGCAGGCAGATCTCCGTGAGTTCAAGGCCAGCCTAGTCTACAGAGTGAGTTCCAGGACAGGCTCCAAAACTACACAGAGAAACCCTGTCTCGAAAAACCAGTTTAAAAAAACAAAAACAAAAACAAAAACTGCTCTGGATGACACAACAGCTTCAGTAGATAAAACAAAATTTTCAGGAGAGACCATAAAACAAGTATTTCGGCACACTTCTATAAATGATCATAGATCAAGGCTAAAAATACAAATAAATAGCATTGAAATTGAGGGTTTGGTAGACATAGGTGCAGATGTAACAATAATTTCACCAAAATCTTGGCATCCAGACTGTCCTCTTCAGGAAGTAAATGTTCAGCTTCTAGGAACTGGACATTGGATAGCAAAAAAAAAAAAAAAAAAAAAAAAACCTGCTAAATTAATCAGCCTATAAACCTTAAAGATGTGCTGACCTCAGAATGGAAACCAGGATCTATGTTACATTCGGGAAGAGGTTTTGCTTTTGTTTCCAGAAGAGAAGAAAAGCTATGGATACACATCAAAATTGATAAAGATTAGATTCAAACAGGAGAGACCCCTTGATTAAGAGAAGCATTAGTTCATCAAACAGCATGGCCATTCAATTTAAACTAACTTATGAAACTAACAAATACCTTTCATTTGATCAATATAACCTGCCAAAAAGGAGAGTTCCCCAAAGTCAGGGTTGGGGAGGGTTCTGTTTTTGTCTTTCAGGAGAACAAAAGCGTCCAACTAAGGGATCTGAAGACCACAGGACAACTGAGACAGTGGACGAAAGAGAACAAACCTTCCAAAGAAAGTGTCCCAAGAGGAAGGATAAATTGGCCTCATGGTATAGCACACTTCCAACAGGATAAAATTTCATAAATCTTCCCAAATGTTTGATTCTGCTGTTCTCTAAAGACAATAAGGCAAATGGTCTTTTTGCAGTACCAATTCAAAGCTGGCTTTGGAGTTGGAGCATGGTTCTCTCCTTGTCTAAATGCAAGCATGTTTGTTAAAAAAAAAAAAAAAATCTGTCTCATGTCAGAAGAGCCACCTGATATGGAACAGAAGAAAAAACAAAATTAAGGGACTATTCTGTTGCAACTAATCTCATAATCCTTTGGTTTTATTTTGACTCTTTAAAACATTTCTTAATGTATAAATATTATCTCAAAATTTATAATATATTTAAACTTTCTGTTGTGGTATTAATGGTCATATAGAGTACTAATTCTAGAAAAAGGCTTCATCTAACTTTCTATACATGATTTTGGGCTTGAGTCTGAATCAGGTAACTAGGAATTAAGCTTGTGTATCCTGGATGTATTTTTTTAAGATTGTGGTCCTTTAGCCTCTCTGAGATCTGCTGCATATGACATTTAAAATGTTTAAGTTTTCTGCAATAAACTGTGACCATTTGTAACAGGAACCTTGGTCTCCAAAACGATGATGGGGACCCACAACTGTGGTGATATATTGTGTAACCTAATAAAATTTGCCTGAAGATAAGAGAACAGAACAAGCCACTAGATTAAACATAGAGGCCAGACAGTGGTGGCACACACCTTTAATCCTAGCACTCAGGAAGTCAGAGATCCATCTGGACCTCTGTGAGTTCAAAGCCACCCTGGACTACATGAGAATTGACTCAGTCTATGAGAGAAAACAGAGCCAGGCAGTGGTGGCACACACCTTTAATCCCATTACTGGGAAGCACACATGCCCTTAATCCCGGGAAGTGATGGCTGGGCAGAGAAAGGTATATAAGGCATGAGGAGACCGGAACTAAAGGCTTTTCAGCAGAAGCGTCCCTTTCAGTTAGAAGCCTTTTGGCTAGGAAGTCTTTTCAGGCTGAGGAGTTGGTGAGGTAAGAGGTAGTGGAAGTGGGTTGTTCCTTTGTCTCTCTGATTTTTCAGGATTTACCCCAATATCAAGCTCAGGGTTTTTTATTGAAAGACCATTTTAGCAATTCTGATACACACAACAATGATTCCACATGGATTGAGGTAATGCCATTAAGCTGACAAATGTCACCCAAAGATCCGCTTTGAACTACAAACTACTCAGATGGTTAGCTGAGATGGCCCAGCCTCACAGACTACTCTAGCCAGGACTTCAGATAAGCCCTGCACTTTCCCATCACACTGAGACTGGACAACAGCTAACTCTCCCAGAACTTGAACATTATCTCAATTTTCTCAGGGTCCCCTAAAGATGCCATCGATCCCAGACAACAGTTAGTAATTTTAAGAACATGATGCTGACATTTCCAAGAGGTGAGGTGGGTGGTTTTTGGTTGTTTGGTGGATTATTGACATGTATCATCTTTGCAGGGGGGTTGGTTGCAAATTGTTACTAGTCATGGTAAGGGAGAAACTAAGCAAGGGAGGTTAGATTCAAGGATCATTGCTGAAAAAAAAAGGGGGAGATACATGGATGATAGGATAAAGGGTAGATTATTGAATCTACTTTAAACTACAAAGCAACTATTAATCTCAAATATTTCATATTGGTATAGATTTTTGTGTATTGATACAAATTTAAGGTTATTTTTGTTATATTCTATATATGTTTCTTTTCTTGTTTAAAGTCTTGTACCTATTCAGTTCATTTAACAATGTAATGTAAATTTCTAGTCCTTGAAAGTTATTATTTCAAATATTTAGGATAATTAAGAAATACAGGGGGGGCTGGAGAGATGGCTCAGAGGTTAAGAGCACTGACTGCTCTTCCAGAGGTCCTGAGTTCAATTCCCAGCAACCACATGTTGGTTCACAACCATCTGTAACGAGATCTGGTGCCCTCTTCTGGCCTGCAGTCATACATGCTGTATACATAATAAATAAATAAATCTTTAAAAAAAAAAAAAAAGGGCCGGGCGGTGGTGGCGCACACCTTTAATCCCAGCACTTGGGAGGCAGAGCCAGGCAGATCTCTGTGAGTTCGAGGCCAGCCTGGGCTACCAAGTGAGTTCCAGGAAAGGCGCAAAGCTACACAGAGAAACCCTGTCTCGAAAAACCAAAAAAAAAAAAAGAAACACAGGTTAGTAGTTAGTCATCTAACAATCAAATACGTGGTCATGCTAGGTATGTTTTCAAGGTTAAACATATATATTTTAGATAGATATGTAGTCTTCAAACACATCAGAGACATACAGAATATTGTATTTAAGATGTTTTAATAACATTAGGCTTTTCATGACAGTGAGATACGTCTGCTCCTGGCAGCACCAATCTACTTCAAAGAAGATGATGGGCATCAAAGAACCTCCATATGGAGTCTGCTTTCATTGTGGTAAAGCTAGCTATTTGGGCAAGAAACTGCCCTTGCCTCAACTGCTGATAGTATGCTGTCCAAATTGGCTAAGACACAAAAGAAAGCGACTGCTGAACTTTGCCAAGACAAGGTAGGATAGTCCTTCAAATTTCCTGCTTCACAGAAAAGTCTGTAGGCCTGTAGGCCAAAGAGGGATGCTTCAACATAGCAGAGGAATCTTGGGTGGCTGTTCAGGCAGCCAGCTATTTCTGTCATTTCTATAGTTTTGGAAGATGTTTACTCAGGTAATATTACATCCTTCTCAGGTCTCTGATGGAGTTGAAGACTAGATAATTACAGTTATAGTTTTCCTTGTTACCAAAGTCAGAAAAGAAACTCACAGAAGAGGTATAAAGTGTATAGGTTGAGAATATAAAAGCTTAAATTGTTTATCTAAGAAAATGCTTTGAGGTAAAAAAAGATAGTTTTGGGCTGGTAATACAGGTTAGAATAGAAAGTGTATTAGGTATAAAACTTTGGACTCATCAAGATAGGATAAATAATGGAGTATTTCTCTGAATTTGAAAAATGCAAATGGACTGGACATTGTGAATGTAATTCTTACTTGATAATTGTTCTTATTTATATAGTTTTATTGGGTTAGAGTTAAAACCTTCCCTTTTTATTTAGACAAAAAAGGGGAAGTGTTGTGGGATATTCTGATCACACTCTGACACTCCTGAGACTGACAATAAAGTTTACGTTGAATGCAGAGCTAGCTACTAGCTGACCAAATTAGCTATAGAGGTTTTGGAGGAGTGAGGACATATAGAGAGACACATGAAGTAGTAAGGAGGGGTTCAGAAAGACTCTCAGCCCGTTCTGGATGAAGGAAGGAGATAGAGGGGAGGTCACTGGTTGATTTTCCAATGTTTCTCTGATCATTCAGGTTCTCACCTCAATATCTGACTCCCGAGTTTTTATTGATAAAGAATAATTAGATAAATGCTTCACTTGAACTCACTCTGTACCCTAGGCTGTCCCTGAACCTAGTTTGTACCCTGGGCTGTCCTTGAACTCACTCTGTACCCTAGGTTGTCCTTGAACTTATTTCCTGCCTCAACCTCTCAAGAAGCAAGGATTATTTTACCTTTTTCCCTTTTTCTGAGACAGGTTCTTACTATGTAGCCCAAATTGGCCTGGAACTATACAGCCCAGGATACCTCCAATCCCGTGATCCTTATATCTCAAAATCCTAATAGCTGGGATTCTGAAATGTATACATTGTACATGATTCCACAAATTCCTATACTATATTCTTGATTTTCTCTCTTAGCCTTCAAGGCTAATGTTTGCCATCTAGCCATTTACACAAAACGTGTGCTGACTCTGCCAGAGCCAACCCCACAAACCAACTGCATGACCATTCTTCTTCAAAACAGAATGGTGTCTTTGCTGGGTATCTGGGACTGACAACATACTAATAGTGTCTGCATTTGAAAGCCCACAGACAAGTCAGCCTGGGCTGTATAATGAGATGCTAACTCAGAAGAGAAAGAGAGAGAGTTCAAGGGTGAGAGCAGGAGGGGGGAGGAAGGGGAGGAAGGGGAGAGAAAAGAAAGAGAAAGGTAAGGCAAGGATCAAGGAAACAAAACTCCATGGACTGAACTGTGCTGTGGTCTGAATCTGAGCTTCCCCGGCAGGCTCATGTTTTGAAGCCCCTGTGTGTAGTGCTGTTCTGAAGGCTGTGGGGCCTCAGGACATGGGGCTTGGCTGGCAAGGGGTCACTTCAAGGTGGCCCTACACAGCCCAGGATACCTCCAATCCCGTGATCCTTATATCTCAGAATCATCAGAATCAGCCTGGTTCCTGATTCCTGATGCCCCCAACATACGCCTTCCATCATGAACTGTCCTTTGTCTTTCCAGCTACAGCTACAATGGACTGAAATGCTTCTGAAACTGTGAGCAAAAACAAACGCCTCCTCCCTGAAGTTGCTTCTGTCATGTATTGGGTCCCAGAGACAAGCAACTGCCACACACAGAAAGTACAATTACCAGAGGAGGAGCAGCCATAAGCCCACACCTAATCAATGCACAGGATGCCTTCAACACTTGATGGCAAGAGTAGAAAGCCTCTCCTCACCTCCAGCCACACTGAACAGCACCCCAAAGACTTTGCAGAGCAGGGTCCGGAGCCGGACAATTCCTGGCACCTTCACACCATTCAGATAGCACTTGATCTCAGGGATTCCAGAACCTGCTGCCACTGGCTGTTGGGGAAGGGAACACACAAATAAATGAAAAACTGACTCTGCAGCTTACACTCAACAAGCCAGAAAACTAAGCAGGGATACCCACTGTCTTCCTTCCCAGCATCCACTCCCTGAGGACTTGTTCAGCCAGATGCTGGACTCCAGCCTGACCCCTGACTCAGCATTCTAACAAGCTCCTGCATGTGGTCTGACCACATGGGACCTTTCAATATCACTGCAGAACCACACCCCAGATTCTGATCTACACACCAGTAAACCACTTTCCAGGGGATTCCAAGGTGGTGAGGACAAAAAGTACCTTTCCCGTCCATACATTTCTCATTAATCTCACCAAACACTATAGGCTTTACTTCGAGAAAGATCTCCAAGTGAACATAGATAATTTTTGCAGAAACCTACAAGCCTCTTTCATGTACCTGTTTCCCAACAGGTAGCTGAAGAACATTAAGCACACAGATCTAGCCAGCCTGGTCTACAGAGTGAGATCCAGGACAGCCAGGGCTACACAGGGAAACTCCATCTTGAAAAACCAAAAAATAAAAAAAATAAAATAAAATAATAAAGTGCACAGTGTTCATATACAGTCAATTTCTAAACCACCTTACCTCTATCAAGACAAGAAGACTTGCCAGGAAGACGAAGGTCAAGTTAAAACCCAGGAGTTCAAGGAGGGACAGGGCCAGGCAGCCTTTCTGACTGCATTCTTCCACCGCTACAGAGGCTGAGTCAAGGAAAAGGGCTCTCAGTCACGTGCCCATCACACTCCAAACAGGGCAGCCATGATAGCTGCTCAGTGCATATCCCCATGCTCCACACACAATAACTTTTAAACGTGTGTGTGTGTGTGTGTGTGTGTGTGTGTGTGTGTGTGTGTGTGTGTGAAAATAGGTGTATACGCACTTGTGTGCAGATGCCTAAAGAGACCAGAGGAAAGTGTTGGATCCTTGGAGCTGGACTTACAGGGTGGTGAGCTTGTGAGGTGGTTGTGAGGTTATGGGTGCTGGGCATGACACTCGGGTCCTCTGGGAGAGCAGCAAGTGTTCTTAACTGCTGAGCCATCTTTCCAGCCCCTAGAACTACTTCAGCTGGGTGTGGCAGAGCATATCTTTAGTCTGAGCAAAGGCAGGTGGGTCCCTGTGAGTCCAAGGTCAGCCTGGTCTACATATTTCAGGCCAGTCAGGGCTAAATGAGACCCTGTCCCAAAACAAACTAACAAACAAAAAGGAGTCACTTTAGGGGCTGGCCCAACAGATCCCTGGGTAAAGGTGCTTGCTGCCATGCCTGACAGTCTGAGCTGGATCCCTGAGACCCACACAGTGGAAGGAGATAAGTTATCCACTGACCTCCATACACAGCGGCATGTGCACACCCAACCCCATACACAAAATAAATGAAAAACTTTAAGATTATGGAATTCCCCACCCCAAACATTACAAAAAGTGACCAACGTTTCCCAAAGTCCAACTTGAACAAACCTCAACATTAAGCCCTATATGGTACTGGCTATCACTAAAAATAAACTATCCCCTCAAAACTTCCTTTTCCTCCCTCCCACTCAGGGGATCCCACTAACCTGAGAGTACTGCACCCCATTGCTGTGCACCTTGTGTTCCTACGACTCCCTACTGTACCATCACACAGAGTCTCGGTGCGACACTGCCTGAATTAGCCATGTTGGTACACATAGCTGTGGCTTAGTTACTTTAACTTCTGCATACAATTACAGTGTGTGAATGAAGCATAATTTCTCCATTCCCTCATTTGGTGATTCACGCTTCTGCTGTCATAAAGCTGTCACGAAAGCCGTCTTTAATATTTAAGGTCCACATCTGAGAAGGCATTTAGGAGCTACAGCAAAGGAATGCGGATGCTCTCGTTTCTTGCCAGAGCTTTTTGGCCATTCCATGTCTTCCTCTGGGAACTCCTTGGGGGGTTTGATTTTGTTCTGATATGATGTAGGCATTCTTTCTAGATGTGTGGAGATGAACTGTCTGTCTGTCTCTCTCATGTGGTATTAGATTGATAAGAAGGCTGTGCACGTGCCACACGAGTGCTCTACCACTGTTACAGCCCCAGCCCTCTGTTTTGCTTTTCATTGTGAGGCATGGTCTACATTGGCCAGGCTGGCCTGGGACCCACTTTGCAGCCCACGTAGGTCTTGAACTTGCACATCTCCTGCCTCAGTCTCCCTAGTAGCTGAGACCACAATGAGCACCAAGAAGTCTAGCTTTGTTTTTTTCTTTCTTTTTTTTTCTTCTTCAGTTTTTCAAGACAGGGTTTCTCTGTGTAGTTTTGGTACCTGTCCTGGATCTGTCTCTATAGACCAGGCTGGCTTCAAACTCACAGAGATCCACCTGGCTCTGCCTCCCCAGGATTAAAGGCACGTGCCACCGCTGCCCGGCCCTAACTTTGTTTCTTGGATGCAGGGAAGACCTACCCCAGGCAGTAAACTTGGGTTTCCCTTTATGTATAGCATTTGCTTGCTGTTGTTTGGGGGTTTCTTATTTGATTCTTAAATGGAGTATTTACTTTAATGTTAAATGGAGTGTCTAATGTGGTCAAGCTTTAAGATCAAGGACTAAGACGATGTCTTTGTCTCCAACCTGTGCCTCTGGAGTTTGAAGATCTTATACCTGCCATCGTTCAGTCTTTTGTTTTGCTCTTTTATATCTTCAACCCCAAACCAGGAGGTGGGTGGGGCAGACCTGGAACCCTAGCATTTGGAAGACTGAAGCAGGTATATCAGAGTTTCAAGCCAGCCTCTGCCATACAACGAGTTAGACTGTTGAGCTCGACTGTCAGTCATCACATCTCAGCGTGTGGACTGGGCTCTGCGTCTCTAGCTGGCGTTCCTGTACCAACAGGACATGTCTGCAAATGGCAACGTCTTGTTGAGTTCTGTTGTCCTGACATTAGTAGGATCCGTTCATCGAACACTGAATGAATACATGGCCTTGGGAGCAAAGACTTCTCTGGGCATTTGTGTCTTACCCACCTAGAGCATCAACATCCTCATTAAAGTCCTCCTTTCCTAAGCTGGGTGCAGTGGTGCACACCTTTAATCCCAGCACCTGGGAGGCAGAGGCAGTGACAGAGGCAGGTGGATCTTAAGAGTTTGAGGCCAGGCGGTGGTGGCGTGTGCCTTTAATCCCAGCACTCGGGAGGCAGAAGCAGGCAGATCTCTGTGAGTTCGAGGCCAGCCTGGTCTACAGAGTGAGTTCCAGGGCAGGCTCTAAGGCTACACAGAGAAATCCTATCTCAAAAAACAAAACAAACAAACAAACAAACAAAAAAGAAGAGTTTGAGGCCAACCTGGTCTAGTGAGTTCTAGGACAACCAAGGTTATATCATGAAACCCTGTCTCAAAAAGGTCTTGTTTTCCTGCCTTTAGTGACAATTAAAAACCTCTTTCAAATACCACATTTACTGTTAAACCGAGTCTCAAGAATCCAGGGGCCTGAAACAATAGAGTCGTGAAAAGGATACAGGTTTGAACCACTCCGAACTTGAGTTGGGTGAAGAGCCGCACGGAGAAGTCCACAAAGAGACCCACCTGGGAAAAGTAAGAGACAGTCACACATCTTGTCTCTCCCTTAAGAGCCTCACTGCACTTCCAGTGGTTGCTCGTGGCGGTTGTGGTGGTGGCGGCGGCGGCGGTGGCAGCAGCAGGGCAGTGAACTAGTCACAGATCCTGCCCCAGCCTGGCCCCACTGCCTTCCAAAGAAAAGAGGAAGTGAAGCAGAGTAAAAAAGGCACAGAAAAAGATGGGAAGAGTCTCTCAGTTAGAGAGTTACAGCTGAGTCACGTGGGGAGCCACTCAGCAATTTCCAAAGGAGGACTCAAAAGCCTAGCCCAAATGTCTTCAGTGGTGCCTAGCCGGACAAGCATAGGGCTTAGAATGCTACTTTAAAGGGCATTTACTTGGGCATAGGTGCTTGGTATTCTTATTTTCTAAGTCATAATTTTGACTGAGAACCAGTATCAGTCGCTGGCTACCTGAGAACCTATGTGCCACTGTTCCACTGCACAGAGTTTAAGGGAGGCCCAGGAAGCCTTCTAACGTGGGAGACCAGGGGTCAAAGGCTTTTTGCTTTAACTCCAGCCTCCCGCCAGCCTAGAGGTCTCTAACTGAAGCAGAGAGTGGAGACAGATCAAAGAGTGAGAGAAGAGTTAGGGCTGGAGCAGCTACACAACAGAGGCGGCGGCCTTCGTAGCGCCTGTGGGGATGAGGGTATTGATGAGGCAGTTAAAGGGCTACAACAATCACAGGACAAACTAACATCTACATGCAAAGATGACTACGACAGGGAGAGCCACAACCAGAAACACACAGGACAGGTGCTTTGTTCTAGTGACCGCCTCCACCACACACACTGAAATGATATAAAACAATTAATCGACCCCATTTCATCCCCGTGATGCCCTCAGATATCAGCCAACAGGCCTCCTGACTGCACCCCGGCCGCTATATATATGTTCCTTGCAAATTTACAACAGTAAAAATCTCCAGAGTACAAGTGAAGGGACTGGTTGTCCCTTAGGGCTGTGTGACATGAAACATGTACACACTACCTAGGTATGTCATGGAGAGTTAAGTGCAAGACTGTGGTCAAGTCCTGAGAACGGTGATAACAAGGCTGAGCCTCTCTCTGCCATTTTACTAATAGAAGTCAAATTTGGCATGTATCTTCCCACTGGGTGCTAACTTTTCCAGCGTCTCTTCTTCGGTTCTAGTGACATTAAGTCCATAGTTATGGTCCCAGACATAACTGCTACCATTATCTCTGATGATATGTCCAGTTTCCCCTGTCTGTGATCCATCTGTGAACTCGGGGAATCCAAGAGCCCTATTCATTCTGGCATACCCCTTCACCCACCACAGCCAACTCAATGTGAGCAGGACAGTGTAAGCTCAACATCCACTGGCTCTATCTTCTGTGTATTACCTGCCACCAGCAAGAAGGACTGGCTTACTTACCAGCCGGCATGGGTCATGCTCTATAATCCTATCAGAGAGACTAAGCTCTGACCAAGCAAGCCTTGAGTGCTTGGATAGCCCAGTGCCTATGACTCACTTCTGTAGTACAAAGCAAAAGCAAAAGTAATGTGAAAAACCAGGCCAGGATAATTAATTTTCAAAAGAACAAGGAAAAAGAAAAGGCAGTCTTAAACAGAGTGACAACTATCCCAATGCTACAAATGTTACAGTGACACATGACAAAGGTTGGTCACCAGGCAAGGCTCTCCCTCCAATCCCCCAGCACGTCCCACTGCTCACCAGCCCAGTGCAGACGCCAATGGCAAACACCACCATCCACTTCACCGCCTCGTATCTTCGCCCTTTCTGTTCACAGGGAAAAGAACGGTCCATTTGTAACACGGAAAGGATGCATCTTGGCTAAGCAGCTCGGGACTAACTCTACAGAGACAGCGGAATGGTGGGGAGGGGCAACCTCAGGGCTTCACAATGACACTGATGAACCTTACGGGGCCGAGCTGGGTATACTGACTGGGGGTACACTGGATGTGAGGAGGAAGTCTAGGGATTTTCTATGTATGGGTGGGACACGCACGTGCCACCACCGTGTGTGTGTGTGTGTGTGTGTGTGTGTGTGTGTGTGTGTGTGTGTGTGTGTCAGAGACAGAGACAGAGAGATAGAGATAGAGAGACAGAGTTCTCTCCTTTCACCATCTGGGTCCTGGGGATCAAATGCAGGTTGAAGGCCTGGCAGCAGGAGTCTTTTCCTGCTGAGACATCTCAGCAGCAGGGTCTAGGGATTTATATGACACTCTTTCATGAAAAGGTTTAAAGAAAAAAGAGAAAGGACACTTCTATGGGTCCCATGAGGACAGAAAGTAAGCTGTTGAGACCTCTTCAGTCCTAAGAGATGAGCTTCTGTGGGCTCACCTTATTATCCATGGTCTCCAATACCTCCAGGTAAGGGTCATTGATGCAGCGGTCATAGTCCAGACTCTGAAAGGACACAAGAGTGATGAAGAACTGGCAAAACCTAACATAAGGAAAGCTTGTCCAGGTTCCTCCTGTTCGGTGGGCATCATTGGCAGTACCAGGGAAGGCTCGGTGTAAATGCAGACTCTGACCCTGTGGCAGGCAGCTTCTGAATCTCTGCATTAATGGGATCCCCAGGGAGTCACATGTGCAGTGACTCAACCTACTGCTTCTGGGGAGCACTTCACACTCAGGGGAAAGCCTTCGGTGTCATATTTTTAGGGATCAGTGGTAGGGTAGGGTACATGAGGCCCTATGTCCCATCCCAGCCTGGGAAAAAGAAAAAGACAGATTTTCCTGTTTCTACAAAATAGTTAAGAGCTTCAGCTACCACCAGTCTTGCCCAACTTATTCCTTAAATGTGAACAAACTTTCAATGAACCAGAACTAAGTTAACCCAGATCAACTAATTCTAATTCTCTTTATAGGTGGCTTCCATGAAAATGAGGTTAGCCACAAGGCAGACCCAGATGGGCTCTATTTTTAAAAGCAACTTCTCTTTTATGTCAGAAGAGGGCCAGATTCAACCCAGCTCCTCTGATTTCTACACCTAAGGCAGCATTCCTTCAGCCATGTTCCTTCCAGAGATCACAGACACCCACAGATCACGTGCAGGTGGGCCAAGGACAGCTGGCGTGACATCCAGAGGAAATTATTTCATTTTTAGGTCTTGTGAGAGAAGCAGCAGTCTGTCAACAAAGAAAAAGTCCAGCCTGTGTTCGCCCCTCCCCGTAACCACCTCTACTGCCACATCAGCTAATAAGCAAGCTGGACATTGCCCTGTCAGCCAAATATAGGTGTGATGTGTAAAAATTTAATCCATCCCTGACTGCTGGGAGCAAGTCCAAATTCCTTTCTTATAAGAGTCCTAGAGTAATAACGGATGGTAGGTAAATCAATTATCATACACTCAAGACTGGTAGCAATCAAACCATTATAGTAAAGTCTTTATCACCAGATATGAAAAAGGTTCAGACTCATTAAGAGGAAAAAGAAGTGATAAAAAAGCAAGATGTAAGGCCAGGCAGTGGTAGTGCACGCCTTTAATCCCAGCACTCAGGAGGCAGAGCCAGGCGGATCTCTGTGAATTCAAGGCCAGCCTGGTCTATAGAGAAAGATCCAAGACAGGCACCAAAACTACACAGAGAAACCCTTTCTTGAAAAACCAAAAAAAAAAAAAAAAATGTATGTGTGTGTGTGTGTGTGTGTGTGTGTGTGTGTGTGTGTGTCTGGTGTTTGTGGATGTCAGAAGTGTTGGATCCCCTGGAACTAGAGTTTCAGATGGTGTGAACCATCATAAGGGTGCTGAGAACAGAACTCATGTCTTCTGTAAGAGCAACTACTGAGCCATCTCTCCAGCTCCATATATGTAATTAAAAAAAAATTTTTTTTAAAGCAAGATGCAAGCCAGGTGTGGTGGCACACACCTTTAATCCCAGCACTTGAGAGACAGAGGCAGGCCTCTGAGTTCAAGTCCAGCCTGGTCTACATTGTGAGTTCTAGCCCAGTCGGGGCTACATAGTGAGACTCTCTCAAAAAACAAAACAAAAAAGCAAAATGCAGAATAAAATGTATAATCAAGGGTCAGGGATGTAGCCTGGAGCTACATAGAGAGGTTACCCTGCACCACAAAAACAAAAATCTAAAATGTATAACACAATTGTATTTTAATTTAACAGAACTAGACACATGTAATGGGAAAACATCTGAAAGCAGTGTTTTGAACATTCACATCTGGGTATAGAAATTTCTTTTGGTGTGTACTTTTTTTTTTCTCTTAAGACAGGATCTCATGCAGACCAGGATGGCTTCAGACTTACTATGAAGCTAAAGATGACCCTAAACTTCTGATCCTCCTGCCTTTCTCTGCCAAGGGCTGGGATTACAGGTGTGTACCATCATGTCTGGTTTCTGCAGTGCTGGGGATGGAGTCCAGGAATTTATGTGTGCTACTCAAATCATTCTACCTTGTATACTCTGGGCCTACGATTGGTTTACATATTAAAGAAGAAAATCACTGGGGCTTGGAGAGACGGCTCAGCTGTTAGGTGCACTTGCTACTCTTCCAGAAGACTCAAGTTTGGTTCTCAGCATTCACATGGTGGCTTACAAGTGCCAGCAACTCCAGTTCTAGGCCCTGACAACCCTCTTCTGGACTCAGTAGGCACCTGCATTCATATGTGCCTATCCACACGGAAACCCACACACATTAACAAAATCTTTAAAAAATATTCTCTTTCTGATTAAAAAACAAGCAGAACACAGGAAGAAAATGTGCAAGGAAAGTGGATTTATTCACGAGAGACTAAACATATATACAGATTTACACACACACATACATACTTAGGGTTTCTCTTGCTGTGAAGAGACACCATGACCACAGCAACTCTTATAAAGGAAAACATTGAATTGGGGTGGCTCGCTTACAGTTCAGAGGTTCAGTCCATTATGATTATGGTAGGACATGGTGGCATGCAAGCAGATATGGTGCTGGAGAAGTAGGTGAAAGTTCTATATGTTGCAGGCACGAGGAAGTGATCTGAGACACTGGGCATGGCTTAAGCATATATGAGACCTCAAAGCCCACCTCCAGTGACACACTTCCTCCAACAACACCACACGTACTCCAACAAAGCCACATCTCCCTATGGGCTGATGGGGGCCAATTACATTCAAACTATCACACACACTCTTTAGGAAAGTTTATTAGAGTAACTACTTTCTAGGAACAAACTAGAAAATTAAGATGCTGCAACCTATTGGTCTCTTTTTGTGCTACAGTGAAATGCATAAGCAGTCTTTCTCCTATCACCTGAAAATCAACTCCTTCAGACCCCTGGATCTCCAGTGTGTGAAGAATGCCTTCTGTATGCTGTTTCAACGACTGGGCTAAGAGCTGTGCCCCTAAAGAGAACCAGAATGCGGTTGGCCACCACAGACACTGAGATAAGATTAGAAAGTTCGACTTTTATCCAGGCACACACCTGTAATACAGCACTCAGAAGAGTTTAAGGCCAGCCTAGAGTACATGGCAAGACCCAATCAATGTTCTGTAGGGATTTCTATTTTTCTCCCTATCCTTCCTCCTTCCTTTGTTGTACTGGGATCAAACCCAGGACCTTGCACATGCTAGAAAAGTGTTCTACCACTGAGATACATTCCCAGGTCCTGTGACATCGTGCCTCAAAGAGAAAAAGAGAAGGAGGGGAGAGAAACTTTCATTTCTAACCTCTGACCTCTGGGAGAAGAGGAGCTGAAGACTAAGCTGCTCACCAATGGCCAAGGATGCCATCGTCAACCTATGTAACACGAGGGTGCTGGAAGGGTGGCTCTCCAGGAGAGCATGGAAACACCTCGCACCTCACCTGCACATCTGCTTATACATCTATACTATACCCTTTATTATACCCCTTATTAATAAACAAGTTGCCCCAAACCTTGTTTCCCTGAGTTCTGTGAGTGGCTCTACCAATATAATCAGATCAGGGCAGCAGGACAACCTAACACTTTCCTTTTTATTTGTTTGTTTGTTTGTTTGTTTGTTTTGAGACAGGATCTCATTATGTAGCTCGGGCTGTTCTGAAACTCACTCTGGAGACCAAGCTGGCCTCAAAGTCACAGAGATCCACTGCCTCTACCTCCCAAGAATCCTACCACTTTCAACAGGTATCTGAAGAGAGACAGTCAAGTGGACGGACCCCTCAACCTATGGGATCTATTGCTACCTCCACCCTGCCAGCCAGTTCTGCTAGAGAACTCCTTGGTGTGGGTAAATAAGTCTCGTGTATCTGGTGTCAAAAATGGGGTACAGAGTTGGGTGAGAGTAAGAGGAAGTGCTTTCTCTGGAGTCTCTGTCACCTAAGGGCAGGATGCAGCACACGACAGTCAAATGCTGGGAATCTGTCTCCAGCCCTGTCAACAGGGGAAGATGACGGGGCCTGCACCACAAGGCAGGATGAAGATCTAGTAGATGGCCTGAACTCTGTCCCAGACAAGGTCTGTCTGATGGAGCCTGCACCACAAGGCAGGATAAAGATCTAGTAGATGACCCGAGCTCTGTTCATCTATCTCCCCTAAGACCCATGTAAAATCCAATTAAGATACCTCCATTTTAAATGTCAAATTTAAAAAATTAAAACCAAGTACTCTCTTCTGCAGTTGCCTATACCCATCCTCCCTCTCCTGAGGCTATCTTATCTACCTCTCCAGCTGCACCTAGCTCACAGTTGTGTACCTGTCTTTCTCCTTTTAATCCAGCCACGGACAGTTTATTTCCCTCCAGGGAGGAAAGGGAATGATCTTTGTCCCACATCAGGGCTCCACAAACAAGTTTCAGTTGACCAGAAGGAGCAAATCTACAGAGGCAGAAAGATTAATGGCTGCTTAAGCTGGATGTGGTGTTAAAACAAACAGATTGTTGGATTGGAGGCCACCAAGGGTTGCATAGAGTGATCCTGTCTTAAAAAAAAAAAAAGTCTGGCCAGGCAATTACACACCTTTAATCCCAGCACTCAGGAGGCAGAGGCAGGCTGATCTCTGAGTCAGCCTGGTCTACAGAGTGAGTTCCAAGACAGCCAGAGCTACACAAAGAAACCCTGTCTAGCAAAACAAAACAAACAACTGACTAGATGGCTCAGTGAGTAACACATGGAGTAATGACTCCACAAAGCTGTTCTCTGCCCTCCATTTGTGATCCTCAAAACACGACACCACCTCTTGACAGTAACATTAAATTTTATGATTTATGTGTGTTGAGTGTTTTGCCTGCATGTATGTATGTGTACCACAAGTGTGCCTATTTCCCACAGAGCCAGAGGGAACATTAGATTCCCCTGGAACTGGAGCTACAGACCATTGTGAGCCACCATGTGGGTGCTGGGAATCGAACCCAAGACCCTTGGAAAAGTGCTCTTTACTGCTGAGCCATCTCTCTAGGCCCTAATAATAAATTTTAAAATAAAAAAAAAAAGAAAGATATCATTCCTCCCCATCCCCAGATAAATAAAAAAGCAGGTCAGGGGCAAGAGGAACGATGTTCAATGATTGTTAATGAGTATGGTTTCCTTCTGGAATGAAAAAGTGTTCTAAAATTGACAAATTGACTAGTGACAGTTGTATACGTCTTTTTTGTTTGGTTGGGTTTTTTGTTTTGTTTTGTTTTTCCGAGACAGGGTTTCTCTGTGTAGCTTTGCGCCGCCTTTCCTGGAACTCGCTTTGGAGACCAAGGCTGGCCTCGAACTCACAGAGATCCGCCTGCCTCTTCCTCCCAAGTACTGAGATTAAAGGCATGCGCCACCACCACCCGGCGACAGTTGTGTACTTCTGTAGATACACTTAGAACCACATGGAATGATTCACTTTTGTTTGTTTGTTTTTGGAGACAGGGTTTCTCTGTGTAGCCTTGGCTGTTCTGAAACTTACTCTGTAGACCAGGCTGGCCTCTGCCTTGGGGATTAAAGGCACGCGCCACCACGACCAGCTGGTATGATCTACTTTAATTGGATAAAGTGCATCATCTGTGCCTGGACACCTCAGTCAAGCTGCTGAGGGAAGCTCCTTTGGTACACATACACTAGGGAATCCATGACCTTGTCTGCCGGAGGCTGTTCTCCTTCCCTGCAGCTGACCTTTTATTTCTGCTGTATATATTGTTCTCTGGTTTGGAGAATGAGCAGCTTCTCCACCCCTGACCTCCACAGTTGAAATCTTTAGTATTTTAATTATTTTCATTCATGTATACAATGTACTTCAATGCCATTCATTCCCCCATTATCTTCTCTTGGTCTCTAGCAACTTTTTTCCAATAAGCTTTGTATAGGTACCTTGCTGTTTGTGGTTATGAATAAAAAGTTTCAGGCCAGCCTGGGCTTTAAGAAACTCTGTCTCAAATTTAAAAATATAGATATATATTTTTTTCAATAGAGAGTTTTGGGTTTTTGTCTTCTTCTTTTTGGGGTTTACAGAAATGTGCCACTCTACCCAACATGTTGACAGAAGGATTTCTAGTTGACCCTTAGATTCAAGCTGAGCAGATTTTCCTGATTAAGTGTCAGAATGGATTTATTCTTGGGTACATAAAACAAACTGCTCTCCACAAGCTCCTATGTGGAGATGGCTAATTTGGAAATATTAAAGATTTAAATGAAGAGACATTTACCCATAAAATCCACAAGACCATGCTATCACCTACAAACAAGAGTGAGAGTCTTGGTAAGGATAGGTTTGATGGAGCAGACTCTGTGAGTTCCCAGAAGGGGTCTTCTCCTCTCAGCCTCCCAAGTCCTGTGCTGGACTAATGGGGCACCACAAGACTGTGGCCCCACACTCTTAAAAGTCCTATACCCGAAAGTAGAAACTATAATGAAGAATAGGTCAGAATGAGCCAAGCTGTGGTGGCACATGCCTTTAATCCCAGCACTCACCTCACTCATAAGGCAGAGGCAGGCAGATCTCTGTGAGTTCCAGGCCAGCCTGGTCTACAGAGCTAGTTCCAGGACAGCCAATGCTGCAAAGGGAAACTCTGTTTTGAAAAACAAAACCCAAAAGGTCAGAACAAAGGGAAGCAAGGTCTCCTAACAACTCTGTTACGGGTACTCAGAGTAAAGAGCTTCAACCCTGGGATAAAAGTCTAACAGCAAACACCCTCTGTATCCAGGTAGACTGTAATGCATTAACACCAGACCTTGTCTGGGGGTTAAGGTGAGAAAAGCACTTGCTAGGCAGCATTTCCCAGGTCAGTTATCTCTTCCCCTCATCACACCTTGGGGCAGAAGGTCAAAGAACATCTCTGGTTGGAGGTCTGAAGTTGCCAGGCCTCTCACTACTTCAGTTACCCAAGATAGCATCCGAATACCTCACCTCATAGTCTTTCCTTGGAAGGATCTCATCCTCCTCTTCCTGTGTTTCCCCGAGGATGGTCTAGAAAAAGAGATTCACAGAATGGAGACCTTTTTAGGTTAAGGGTGGAAGGAAGGAAGTTTTACTAAAATCTAAATCAGCTGGTGCCATCATCAAACAGGACAGAATTTCAAAAACACATTTAGGATGGGTATTTAGTCACTAGCTGTAATCTACATTTCTATTGATTGACACATTCTCCCATCATAACGCTCACCTTCAGGACATCTGAAAGATGTCTGATGGCAGCTTAGGGTGGAGAACATTCGGGATTCATTTGACAACAGACCGAATATGAAATCAGAGGGAACGTATCAACTCTGAGAACACAACTCAAGTTTTCCCAGGTTGCTTTGCAGGAGAAAGCTGGATCATCAGTGACCCAGAAAAAGTAAAGGATAGAATAAGAAAAGGCTGGAGAAACTAAACCAACTGCATGAGCATCAAGTCCTGCCAAAGGGTTCATTCTGAAAATGCCTGCTTCATTCAAAACTCCTTTCTGATGGAAATAAAAGAAAATACGGATGGCATTAACCCAAGCTGGCCGAGATCTTCCCTTAGACTCCAGAGAAAGGTTATGAGAAAAGAACTCTGACTTGAGCACGCGAAGAAAGACGGATGCTTGCAAAGCTCGGGCAGCGGTCCCCGGGCCCCACCCGCAGCCACCTGCCGGCGCAGTTCGGCTCGGCCCCACCCCCGGCAACGCCTCTTGTCATCCCTTAGCAACTGCCCCCTCCCCAGCCCGGCCGCCGCTCACCAGCTCCTCGGGCGTGCGGCTCTCGCGTTCACCGCAGCAGCAGCACCACCTGCAGCAGCAGCACACAGACCCCCTGCACCCCGCCATCTTCCTCCTTTCCTGCCACCCCGGACCCCCTAGGCCAACCCCCCTCCCACCCAGGATCTGCGCCACACGTGACTGGCCCCGGGAGGGTCACGTGGCCCTCTCGAGCTTTGGGACGGGAGACAGGGAGTGGCTGCAGACGGGTGGGGCGAGAGCTCGCGTCACATGACGCAGTACTGGACCGGCTTCCCAAGAGACCTCCGGGCGCGGCCATGTTGGGGGCGGAACTTCCTGTCATCGTCTTGATGACTTCCGCCTGTCCCTTGCCCTGTTTCCCTTGGTAACCGGCAGCTGCGCCCCGCCCCCACCGCCTGTGCTAGGGAGATGGCGGCGCAACCTCCAAGGTTCTGAGAGGACGGTGAGTGGCTCAGAGGCTTGGGACGCCGCGGAGGAATTCGCCGAGTCGCGAATGTGTCAATTCGCCACCCACTGATGGCGGGGCTTCTTTGTGGGCCGGCAGCCGGGGGTTGGCCCGTCCTGCCCTCTACTCTTGAGGGCTCCGGTCGCTCCTCCAGCCTAAGCCCCCGGTGGCTGTCACCCCAGCCTCCCCTCCTGCTCGAAGGTATCCCAGGGTTAAAGGAGTCCTGGATCTGGGTAATGATCCAGACTCCGGAGCCCATCTGGGATCCGCATCCCCGTCCAGGCCTGTGACCCACTGACCAGGTGACCCGATTCCCATCCCTCAGGCCACCAGCGCCAGGTGGTTGCCAGCCACAGTGTCCAGTCTGCCTGTTTAGTTTAGTTTCGTTTTTCGAGAAGGGGTTTCTCTTTGTAGCCCTGTTGTCCTGGAACTCTCTCTGTACACCAGGCCTCAAACTCAGAGATCCGCTTGCCTCTGCCTCCTGAGAGCTGGGATTAAATGTGTGCGCCCCCTTGCCTGGCTGCCAGTTTCTTAAAACCTGCCTCCCTGACAGGATCTGGAAAGGAGTGGTGGACCACTGACTTTGTCGTCCAGGTGCCCACAGTGCCTTACTGTGCACCTATGTCCATTGCAACGGTTTTGGTAGGGCTCAGTGTTTGGAATAAGTCATCAGCAGGTGGCAGAGGGGCGTTTTGAGACGAGTGTGGAGGCATTTGCCATTAGGGCTCAGTGAGTACTGGCTGTTACTCTGTCAGGCACTGGGGATGCCCCACGAACAGGATCGCTGGTCCTGGTCTCAGGCAGGGGACGACAGCCGAAGGGTAAACAAACTTGTTAGCCCACAGTCTCACAGTGTATGTTGTGGGAGCTCAACTACTAATGGATAGTTGTGGGCGTTGGTTGAAATATGGCACGTATTAGAAATGCTTAAACCTTGGAGCAGTTTGCTGCACATGAGTCAGCTCTGCAGGATTTGTTTCAGCAGTGAGAATGAGGCATCTCCCTTGGATATAGGAGGGACTTGTCTGACATGTAAGGTTACCTTCTTTCTCGCTCTCCATGAGAACCTGGCGATTTTAGGTCAGAACAAAACCGGCATAAATCGATAGGGGATAGCATTGGCACTCAGTAGGGGCAGAGTTTTTAGTCTGGAACTGGCTCCTTAGGAGAGGAAGGCGCCATGGATTTCTTCCGATTCTCGAGGCTAAGACCCAAAATGGTACCTTGGCTTAGAGGTGGAAGTTTCTGGAAAGGAATGAACCTGACCTGGCTGTTCCTCTGTTGCTCCGTGTCACCACACAGATATCCACTACTGTGTGTTTGCCCATTACTGTGCGGCAGTCATGTTTGTTTTGTTCTCAGGTGTCTGTCATTTCCTGGCCAGACTGCAGTAGGCTCTATGCCCTGTTAGCCAGGCTGTGATTACTGTGACCAGGACTACGTATGTGGTGGCACTGTGGTTGCCGATTCCTTTGACTTCATTGGTGTGTCCAGGGCAGGCACATATGGGACAGCCTTTGTCCAGAGTTGGACATAAATCCCTACCCTTAGTGATTTCCATCTGCCTGCTTTTGCAACCCAGCTCCTGTCAAGCTCTAGCTCACAACACAACAGTCTTTTCATGCTGCACACAACCTATAACATGTTCCAGGCGGGCCAGCGTCCGTGAGCTGTTCTTTCTTTGGAGGGGGAAATCCAGTGACCCCGAATAGCTAGTAGTCTGTCTCCACCAACCCCGCAGTTCCTGCCTGCCCACACTTCGCCCCTCCCCCCGCTCTTCATCTGGCTTCTTTGACTTACGCCTGAGCCTTCTCTCCGGCCTGGAAACCTTACTCCCGCCCCTTTTGCGTGGCCCCAGCTTCAGCTCAGGGCTCTTTGTCACAGCTCCGCCCACTTGAGCACACCCTCCAGGAAAGGTTCCCTGTTCCTTCCCCACTCACGCTGGGTCTAAGCTGACTGAGATGAACCATCGGGAAGCCAAGGTCCTCCCAGCTGAGCACTGTTACCCATCCCTGGGAACATGGGCCTCAGAAGCTGGCGGTGTGAGGCTTTCTGTGCCACGCTCTATCAGGTAGCTGTCACTAAGGATTCATGAGCTGAAGGATCCCTGAGTGGCTCAGTGCCTAGAGGGAGGTCATCATACAAAGAGCCAGACCAGAGCAGAGGGGCAAGGCGCATGGAGCCTCTGGGTAGGAGCTGTGCGCGCCTTCCCCGGGTCGGCTGCCTTCCTATGCAGAGCAGTGTCCGCCACTGGAGCTGCCTCCTCAAGTGTTGGGTGTGCGTGGGGTTTGGCGGCCATCCCTCTGATGCCCCCGGCCCCCACCCTGTACAGCAGGAGCCCAGCCATGGTGAACGAGGGCAGCAGCAGTGGTAGCGAGAACTCCAAGGACAGTTCGAGATGTTCCACCCCCAGCCTGGACCCAGAGCGGCACGAGAGACTCCGGGAGAAGATGAGGCGCAGAATGGACTCTGGTGACAAGTGGTTCTCTCTGGAGTTCTTCCCTCCTCGGACTGCTGAGGGGGCTGTTAACCTCATCTCAAGGTGAGTAGCGAGGTTAAGTAATGGGGGTCAGCGGAGGGGAACACGAGCTGCCCTTTAACCCGGCAGGAAAAGGCGTTGGAGAGAGGAGGCAGGAAGAAGCAGAAACGAGACAGGGAGTTTGGTCTGCAACTTACAACTTCTTGTCTGCAAAAGTCCCTCTGAAGCAGCATTAGATGTGTTTGGACGCACTCCTCAGTGGGCCAAAAATGTTCATTCTCAGGCTGCATTCTTTGGCAGAACTTGGGGCTGGCTCATGAGGAGCTTAGGAAGTCAACAAATAGCAACTTAGGGAATGTGTTGAGCTAGCTGGACACTGGGAGTGTGCCTTTCCAAATCAGGAAACACACTCTTGGTGATAGCATTTTCGGAATTCCAGTTCCTTTTCTTCAAGTCGGAGAGTGCTTTGCTATACCCCCGTGCTTTGTCCCAGATCACGAAGAAGAAAGAAAGGAAAGTCAGGCAGAGTGGTAACGCCTTAATCTTAATACTCACAGAGGCAGGAGGGCAACTCTGAGTTCAAAGCCAGCCTAGGCTACCTAGGGTCCCGGCCAGGCAGGGTTACATAATGACACCCTATCTTAAGAAGGCTGGCAGAGAGGTAAGGAGGAGTACAGCTCAGTTGATGGGGTGAGTATGTGGCTTGCAGGAAATCCTAAATTTGATCCCTAGCACTACATAAACAGAGTGTGGGAGCACGCCTGTAATCCCAGCACTCGGGAGGCAGAGGCAAGCAGATCTGAGTTCGAGGCTAGCCTGGTTAAGAGCTGGGCATGGTGGCGCACATTGTTATTCCCAGCACTTGGGAGGCAGAGGCAGGCGGATCTTGTGAGTTTGAGGCCAATCTGGTCTACATAGTGAGTTCTAGGACAGCCAGAGCTACATAGTGAGACCCCGTCTCTAAACAAACAACAAATAAAGGACAAATAAGGAGTTTGATGTCAGTCTGGGCTACATGAGACCCTGTCTCAAAAACAATCACAAAAGTTGATGCCTTCTAGTTCATACTTGCTATGTGCTGCTCCCTAGGTCCAGAAATTTCAAGGCCTGGGATGCTTAGACACACTCTTACAGTTTTAACACGTGAAGGCTTTTGAATCTAGTTCAGGAACCCAGCCTTGCTCTGCAGGCTGATGCAAGGGGGCTGTGGTGGCAGCACAAGAGAAGCTTGCCTCTGCTGGTCGCTCTCTCTGGCTTTCCTAAAGTGAGACCCTCTGCCTGCCACTGCTGAGATCCCAGACTCTCAGCTGTCAAGACTCTAAACTCACCCCAAACCAGTGAGTGTGCTTGCACTCTGAGAAGCATGAAGTGCTGGTCACACAAAGCAGTGACATTGTTATCCACCAGTCAGTAGTCAGAGTGGCTCTCGCTGACCTCAGGCTCGTCTCTGAGGGCTGCACAGCCATCTGACCCAGTGTCTTATGGATGTGGAGTAGGTACCATTATCTGCCACATCTCATACACAAAGACACTGTGGCTCAGAGAGGTTATTAGGTAATGTGCCTGGGAAGGAAGCACAGTGCTCTGACACCAGCTTGCATTCTGTGCTGTTCCAGCTCCCTCCCCTCCCCCTCCTCACATCCCCTTCTCCCTGCCGGGAGGCTGAGTGAGCACATTGTTCCCCCAAGAGCCCAAACTTAAGAAAGAAATCCCCTACAGGTTTGACCGGATGGCAGCAGGGGGCCCCCTCTTCGTGGATGTTACCTGGCACCCAGCTGGAGACCCTGGCTCAGACAAGGAGACCTCCTCCATGATGATTGCCAGCACAGCAGTGAACTACTGTGGCTTGGAAACCATCCTGCACATGACCTGCTGCCAGCAGCGCCAGGAGGAGATTACAGGCCATCTGCACAGAGCCAAGCAGCTTGGCCTGAAGAACATAATGGCACTGAGGGGAGGTGTGGCGCCAGCACCCCTCCTTTCTGGGTTCTTGCTTTTCTGAAGGCTTCTCCTCTCCCCAGAAAAGTCCCTTACTTTCCCTGGGCCCCACACTAAACCCATTCGGAGTCCCCTTGCTGCAGGAGGACCAGTGAGCATTGTGGGTAATGGGTCCACCACGGCCTTCACACAAGTGGGACGGCCTCTTCCACCTCTTGAGCTGAATGCAGCTCAGCTGGGGTGTGGCCGGTGCCTGCTAACCCTCTGCCCCACTACACAGTGCCATCAGACTCTGGCACTGTCTGGTCAAGCCATAGTGTGCTGGGCTGGCATTTCCCAGGAGCCCCTGGCTGCTTCCTGTCTTTAGGCCTCACAACAATGGGAAGTGGGATCCTGAGGGGTGGGACGAATCTGTGGCCTCTGCTCATGAGTAGAAAATCTACCAAGAATTCAGGAGCTCTGAGAGAACAGAGGGGTGGGAAAGGGTGCCTGAGCGCACCCAGGGCATCAGGGCCAGGACAGAGTCCCCAAAACTCCAGGCTCAGTAGAAAGCCACACCTTCCCTGGCCCCACCATCCACAGGGGCGCCTGCAGAGTCAGCCATGGTAGACTTTGACAGCTGACCACTGCCCTCCACCTCCTGTTTGCCAGGTGGCAGACTAGACTTGCACAGTAGGAAGTCTCTGCCTTTGAGGAGCCCACAGCCAAGTGTAGGAGTAGGTAGAGGGAACAAGAAGACTCTGGAGGTCAGGGGACACCCAGTGACCATGACCTCCAGCAACCCTACAGACCCTGTAGGTGACCACTGGGAAGCAGAGGAAGGAGGCTTCAACTGTGCCACAGACCTGGTGAAGCACATCCGGAGCGAGTTTGGCGACTACTTTGACATCTGTGTGGCCGGTAAGTGGGAACAGAGAAGGGACAGGATAAAAGGAAAGCCAGTCAGCATTCAGTTCAGGATGTGGTGATTGGGTGGATACAGAGTGGGGGAGCACCGAGGTGAACTGAATGTGTGTGTGTGTGTGTGTGTGTGTTATGAAGAAGACTCCAGGCACAGGGGATTCATCAAGCCCTGAAAGGAGTCAGGAACTGAGGCCCTTTTTCATTCCCTGTGTACCACAGGGTCCAGGGGCTGACTTTTCACTGTGCATCTGTTGTGTAAAAGGCCCTCATAGACACACTGTCCTATGCATGAGTCCTGCTTCTGTGTGCATAATGTCAGCTCCAGACAGCCCCCAACTCTGCCTGTTCTCTGTTAGCTCTCACTTCCTAGGAGATGCGGCTCACCCTGGCTCAGCTCTAATCCTTGCACTAAGGGATGGGGAGGCGGGTAGAGGAGGAGGAGTTCAAGGCCAGCCTGAACTTGTCTTAGAAACCCAGAACTGGAGCTATAGTTTGGTGCTACAGAGCTTGCTTCATGTGTACAAGGTCCCAGGTTCCATCAGAGCTTGCCTTGTGTGTGAGGTCCCAGGTCCATCCCAGCACCCAGAAAATAAATAGATGAGTAAGTGCTTACATTATGGAGTAATATATCAAGTAGTAAATGTCATTATTTTTATTTGTGTGTGCGTGCGTGCACACACACACACACACACACACACACACACACACACACGAGTGAAGGTGAGAGGCCAGCTTTCAGGAGTCAGCTCTCTGTCCACTGTGTCAGTTCTGGGATTCAAACTCAGGTGGGCAGACTTGACAGCAAGTACCTTCACTTACTGAGCCGTCCCATGGGCCCTTAAGTAACATAATTTAAAAACAAGGTTTGCAGCTTCAAGAAAATTGTCATGCGTCACTTTGGGCTTGCCCCACCCCCACCCCCAGTGTCTCCATGTGCTCCTCGAAGCAGGGTGTATAACTGGCTAAGTCTGGGAAACGCTGCTCAAAAATTGGGGGAACAGGTATTGCCAGCTGTTCTGAACGTCACTGCTCCTACTGGCCTGGATGCTGCAATCAGGGGACTGTGTACAGGTGCACTGGCTGTGGGTGTGAGGTGCTGGTGAGGGGACCGGAGCAGAGCTGGGAGCGCACACTTGTCAAGTGGTTCTGTGCTTTGCCTGTTGTAAAGTGAGTGGTGAAATTGGGGGTTAAAAGGTAGCACACTTGGGCTAGAGTGAAGGTTCAGGGGCCAAGAGTGCTGCTCCTTCAGAAAACCAGAGTTCTGTGCCAGCACTCATACCCTATGGCTCACAAACTTCTGTCACTCCAGCTCCAGGGGTTCCGATGCCCTGCTCTAGCCTCTATTGGCACTTGCACACACGGCACACGTACACATAACACTAAAAGTAAACAAATAAAACACTTTAAAACTACCAAGCTGGTCATGGCAGAAAAAGAATATAGCAAAGTGAGCAAAGCCCAACTGTGGGCCGGTATGGATCTGCCTGGCCGAGCTTAAACTGCTCAGTTGTGTGGCTTCGGAATTTCCCACTGGAAAGAGAACTTGTTCAAAGCTGAAATTCTGGTGCCTGATCTCCTGGTCCTTTGTGTCTTGAAACAATAGTTTTTATATCTATCCTTGGTGAATGTCCTTATCACAGTGAAGTAGCTTGGGTTCCAGACAGCTCTGGTTCAGGTCGGCCCTCTGCTTAGCTGTGCTCCTGTGGAAGCTCTGGCGCCTGTGCAAGGCTGCTGGTGAGTTTGGTCACGGAGAGGAGGAGTCAGAGTTCACAAAGCCACCAATGGGCTTAAAGAGCCTCTGGGCAATTTGGGAACCCCATCTTCTGCATGCTCAGCTCATGGTCATCCCACTGTTCTTTCCCCCACACTCCTGGTGTAATCAAACTGTAGGGCAAAAAAAAAAATTTTGGCCTCTTTATTTTGTGAGTGCCTGTGTGTCTGTGCAAATACACATAGGCATGCATGTAACATGACATACATGTGGGTGTCAAAGGACAACTCTTGGAGTCTTCTTTAAATTTTTTAAAATTTTTATTATTTATTTGTTTGCTTGTTTAATGATTTTTATTTTGTTTTGTTTTGTTTTCAAGACAAGGTTTCTTTGCCTAGTACTGGCTGTCCTTGAACCCGCTCTGTAGACCTGGCTGGCCTCGAACTCACAGAGATCCACCTGCCTCTGCCTCCCAAGTGCTGGGATTAAAGGTGTGTACCACCACCCAGCTAAAGGACAACTCTTGGGAATTGGTTCTCTCCTACATTGTAGGATCTGGGGATTGAACTCAGGTCATCGGGCTTGCTTGAAAGTGCCTCTACCCACTGAACCATCTTGCCAGCCCTGCAGGGTTTTTTTTGTGGAATTGAAACTGATATGCATCCTGCCTTCAGAAGAGGGTGACGTAGGGAGTGCAGCCAGATGATTCTCTCCATGACAGACCTTTAGACACTGGAAAGTAGTTATTAATAGTCTGTCTTTTGTTTCTTTTAAAAATATATTTATTTGTTTAGTGTTATGTGTCCGTCCTGCATGTGTGCAAGTGTCCACAGAGGTCAGAAGGTTTTGAGCCACCGTATAGGTGCTGGGGGAAATGCAGGTCCTTTCAAAAGCAGTAAGCACTCCTAACTGCTGCGTCACCTCTCCAGTCCTCTATTCATTTCTTGAAGCAAAACTTCACTTTCTCCTTCTTCATACAATGTGACTTCTTAATTATTAGTTTATATGTATGCTTGTCCTTCCTGCATGTATGTCTGCGCACTATGTGCATGCCTGGTACCTACAGAGGCTAGAAGAGGGCCCTCTACAAGAGCAGCCAGTGCTTCTAACTACTGAGCCCTCTCTCCAGCCCCCGTAATATAATTCTGAACCTTTCAGTATCCTGACTCAGAGGGATTGTAGTGTCATACATACTTTTTTTTAATTAAAAAAGAATACTGAAAAAAAGAAAAGAAAAGAATACTGTTAGGGCTGGGTGCACACCTTTAACCACAGCATTTGAGAGGCAGAGGCAATCGATCTCTTTGAATTCAGGGTCAGCTTGATCTACAGAGTTCCAAGCCCGTCAAGGCTACATAGCTACATAGTGAGACCCTGTCACAAAAAAACGCACCCCCCCCTTCTCTCTCTCAGAGGAACCAGGGATGAGGCTCAGTACTTGAGTGCTTGCTTAGCATGCATAAGTTGTTAGGTTCAATCCCCAACCCAAAACAAAATAAAACATGAACCAACACCTTAGGTCCAATGCTCAGAGTCAAGTCTGGCTTCCTAGAAACAGTCCAATTAGTATTAATATTGAATGTGGCATTCTGTCTGTGGCCACAAAGTGTAGGCCTGGTTTGCCTAACTGAGTGAGACATGAGAGTTTGTAGCATCTGGAACAGTTCACCCCACTCCTGGGGGCTCATCTACAGGTTCTGAAACACAGCATTGAGCTTGGACAACCACAGTTCGCCTGTCAGCACTGCTACTGGGAGGCATGCATGCGGAACCTGGGCTGAGGACTGTGCCCAGGCCTTGGGCGCTCCAGTGTCTTCACTCCTGGAGCAGGTCGATTGAGGTCAGGCTCCTCACTGTCTTCTCTACTGGTAGGTTACCCCAAAGGCCACCCTGAGGCAGAGAGCTTTGAGGATGACCTGAAGCACTTGAAGGAGAAGGTGTCTGCAGGAGCTGACTTCATCGTCTCCCAGCTCTTCTTCGAGGCCAGCACCTTCTTCCATTTTGTGAAGGCCTGCACAGAAATAGGCATCTCCTGCCCCATCCTGCCTGGGATCTTTCCTATACAGGTGAGGAGCTCAGGAGGGCCTGGTTCCCTCACTCCAGTACACTGTCCTGTGTGGGCGGAGTTTTCCTGTCCCGACTGCCTGCTCCCAAATAACCAACGGGAATCTTAATATTACTTACAAATGCTCAGTCAATAACTCAGACATATTAAATTAAACTAAAATTATTTACTACTTAAATTAACCCATTTCTGTTCATCTGTGTGCTACCCAAGGCTCGTGACATTTACCTTTACAGCATGTCTTGCTTACTCTTTGTCTGGCTAACGACTCCTCTGACTCCGCCCTCTTCTTCCTTCCAGAATTCTTTTCTGTGTCAGGCTATTTCGCCCAATCTTTTCCTGCCCAGCTATTGGTCAATCAGCTTTTTATTAACAATGAGAGCAATACATATTTACAGTGTACAAAGATTGTTCCATAGCATTTCCCCCTTTTTGTCTAATTAAAAAGGAAGGTTTTAACTTTAACACAGTAAAATTATATACAACAAAAACAGTTATCAAGGGCTGGAGAGATGGCTCAGAGGTTAAGAACACTGACTACTCTTCTAGAGGTCCTGAGTTCAATTCTTAGCAACCACATGGTGGCTCACAACCATCTGTAATGAGATCTGGTGCCCTCTTCTGGCCTGCAGACATACATGCAGGCAGAACATTGTATGCATAATAAATAAATAAATCTTTAAAAAAAACCAGTTATCAAGTAAAAATTACAGTTACGATATCTAGTCTATTTGTATTTGGCAAAATCAAAGAAAATATTCTATTATCTATCTTTTCTTTGTGAGTCTAAAGTTTTATACCTAATTTGCTTTTTATTATAACTAAGGAAAATTGTAAGTTTAACTATTTAGTCTTTAACTCCATCAAAGATCCCTGAAGGATGAAATGACATCCTTCCCCAATTGGCTACCCAATGACAGGGACATCAGGCTGCCTGGACAGTCACTCAAAATTCTTCTGTAACATTGGGTCAGCTTTGGCCTCCAGGCCCAGTATATCTGACAGACATTTCTGAGAAGCAGGGAATTCTCTCTTTTTTTTTTTTTTTGGTTTTTCAAGACAGAGTTTCTCTATGTAGCTTTGCGCCTTTCCTGGAACTCACTCTGTAGCCCAGGCTGGCCTTGAACTCACAGACATCCGCCTGGCTCTACCTCCGAGAACTGGGATTAAAGGCGTGCGCCACCACCACCCAGTGGAAGCAGGGAATTCTAAAGGACTGTCCTACCTTGTCTTGGCAAAGTTTGGCAGTTGCCTTTCTTGTGTCCTGTTGCTCCAATTTGAACAGTGTATTGTCATCAATTGAGGCCAGGGCAGTTTTTTTGCCCAAATGGCTAGCTTTTGCCATAAAGAAAGCAAACTCCATATGGAGGTTCTTCAAGGCCCATCATCTTCCTTTGAAGTAAATTGGTGCTGCCAGGAGCAGACATGTCTCATTGTCGTGAAAAGCCTTAGGTTATTAAAACATTTTAAATGCCATATTCTATAGATCTTTGATGTGTTTGAAGACCATTTATCTAAATATATCTGCTTATGACCTTGAAAACATACCTAACATGACTGTAAGTTTGACAATTATAGATGACTATTAATCTGTATTTCTTAATTATACATAACATTTTTAAATGAATTGCATAAGCACAATACCCCAGAGTAGAAGCATATATATAGTATAACAAAATTAACTTTAAATTTGTATCAATAAACCAAAATCCATACCAATATAAAATATTTTGAAGCCGGGCAGTGGTGGCACACACCTTTAACCCCAGCACTCGGGAGGCAGAGGCAGGTGGATCTCTGTGAGTTTGAGGCCAGCCTGGGCTACAGAGTACGTTCCAGGAAAGGCACAAAGGTACACAGAGAAACCCTGTCTCGCAGGAAAAAAAAATTGAGATTAATAGTTGTTTTTGGATTAAAGTAGATTCAATAATCTATCCTTTTATTTCTTCATTTCTATATTATATACCCCTTTTTTCTTTCAGAAAGAGATCTTTGAATTTAACTCCTTTGTTTAGTTTTTTTTTCTTGACCATTATCAATAATAACTTGTAATCAATCCCCCTTAAATAATAACATCCATAAGCAGTATTTTGGGGAATGTGGGTGTCATTCTCTAGACTACTTGTTGTTGGGGGCACTGACATCTTTTGGGGGAAACTGGGAGAAAATCTGGATAATTGTTAAATCTTGGCTAGAGTAGTCTGTGAGGCTGGATCATCTCAGCCAGCACCCCCGCCTTGAAGTTGTTCTGGATGCAGAACTCACAAACTGAAATTGAGGCATTCTGAGATGTTGGATCATCTGGGCCATCTGTCTTTATTGATGTCTGGTCCCCTTGCTCTGAAAATACCTAAACTTTTAAAGGTAACACACATATCTATATCTGCATTAGTATAAGTATAGACTGTGCATTGTACATAGGTCAGCCAAAGATGATATTTTGTTATGTATTCAAGCAGGTAAAGTATATATCATGTGTCTTGTAGTTCTTTTAGGTTTATTTCTTTATGTCTATAGTCAGGATTTCAGGGGGTCTTCCTCAATCAAACCTGATCATCTTTAACCTTGAATGAATCCACAGCCTCCCATTTCCTGTGGAAGTAAAAGCAAAACCTCTTCCCCAAAGTAGCTTTTTACTTCTTTTTTAAAGTCAAGACATTTTTTAAAATATGTGTGTTGGTTTAATCCAGCAGTTTTCTTTTTTCTTTTTCTTTTTTTGTTTTGTTTTGTTTTTTTGAGACAGGGTTTCTCTGTGTAGCTTTGGAGCCTGTCCTGAAACTCACTTTGTAGCCCAGGTTGGCCTCGAACTCACAGAGATCTGACTGGCTCTGCCTCCTGAGTGCTGGGATTAAAGGCGTGCGTCACCAATGCCCGGCACTTTACTCCCTTTTTAAGGACTTCATTATTTTAAAACTATATTTTTTAATCTATGACCATATAACTCTTTGTTTTCTCTCTCCCATGCCTATGTATATTTTTAAACACACTGTAACCCATTTAGAGGTTTTATTTTTTTCTGTCTGGATCTGTCCTTACTGTATATCTGTAACCTTTTCTGTCTGCATGAACAAAACCCCACACCCGCCATGCAGCATGCTGGCAGCTTGTGCTGGCAGCTCAAGTCCAAAGGCAGTGGCCAAGAGATGTCTCTCTGCACCTCGGCCCATGTGAGAGACTGCAGGAACCCGGCATGCAGTGTAGCTCATAGCATGTTGGCAGCTTCCAGGACATACATCCCTATACTGTGGCCGGTATGAGGGACGTGAGACTAGGAAGCCATGCTTGGCTTCATTTTCTGTGTTTAGAATCTTTTTTAAGCTTTCTCAGGTCATATGTGGAAATTCTGGCCCCACATTGGAACACCATTTGTTGGTGGAAGCTTTTTTCCCACCCACCAGTTCCCAAATAATGGACATGGAGACTCAATATTAATGACAAATGCTTGGCTAATAGCTCAGGCTTATTACTAACTAGTTCTTACAAGTTAAGTTAACCCATTTCTACTAACCTATGTGCTGCCCCAAGGCTTGTGACGTTTACTTCTTTGGCATGTCTTGCTTACTCTCTGTCTGTCTGGGGACTCCTCTGACTCCACCCTTCTTCCTCCCAGCATCCTTTCTGTGTCATGCTTTCTTGCCCAATCTCTTCCTGCCCAGCTATTGGCCAATCAGCACTTTATTAACAGTGAGAGCAATACATATTAACAGTATACAAAGATTGTTCCATAGCAATCCTGGGCCAGGGCTCAGAGCTCCAGGTTATGCTGAAGTTCTTCCTCAGTGGCACTCAGTGCCTATCAGGCATTGTCCACATGCTGCATTCGGTCACCTCAGTTGTTACCCCTAAGACACAATGGTACCTATAAAGGGCTTGTACTTTGGCCTGCTGACAGATGTCATTGAAAGTAATTATAACTCTCATCAGAAAGTTGGGTTAAGCTAAACCCAATGGTATGTACTTATAATCCCAGCATTCTAGAGGTGGGATCTGTAATTTAAACCTTAAGTTTGGCAGGTGACTGGCCAGTGAAGCTTGGGAATAGCTGAGTTAGGTGACCACTGTGTTGGGCTCAGGGGCTGGTTTAGGCTGATGGCAGAAATGCTGTAGGCAGCTCCCAGATTCTCCAATGGAAGAAGAAAGCCCAGCAATGCCCCCAGCTTTCCCAGGTCTCTCCACGTGAAGCTAATTAGCCAAGAGCCTAGGGAGGCAATGGGGTGGAGCACAGGCTAGAGATGACCCCACACCTCCTGTGTCCCGGACAGGCTTACTCCTCCCTTCGGCAGCTTGTAAAGCTGTCCAAACTGGAGGTACCACAGGAGATCAAGGACGTCATCGAGCCGATCAAAGACAATGATGCTGCCATCCGCAACTATGGCATTGAGCTGGCTGTGAGCTTGTGCCGGGAGCTGCTGGACAGTGGCTTGGTGCCGGGCCTCCACTTCTACACCCTCAACCGTGAGGTGGCCACCATGGAGGTGCTAAAGCAACTGGGCATGTGGACTGAGGACCCCAGGTAAGAAATGGAAGCTGGAGGAATATTCCAGGGGAGGCTCAGAGTGAAGTTGCAGTAGCCAGGCTTGGTGACTTCCTCTAGCTCACTCCAGTTAATCCCTTGGTTTTTCCCTCTTCCTTTCACCAGGCGTCCCCTGCCCTGGGCTGTCAGTGCGCATCCCAAGCGCCGGGAGGAATATGTGCGTCCCATCTTCTGGGCCTCTAGACCAAAAAGTTATATCTACCGCACACAGGACTGGGATGAGTTTCCCAACGGCCGCTGGTGAGGGCAACAGCCACTCCTTGCTAGGGACTGCTGCTGCCTGGGGGGAGTTAGGGATGGGATTTACAGGAAAGTGCCCTGACCCCTACACTCCTGCCAGGGGTAATTCCTCCTCACCAGCCTTTGGGGAGCTGAAGGACTACTACCTCTTCTACCTGAAAAGCAAGTCCCCCAGGGAGGAGCTGCTGAAGATGTGGGGTGAGGAGCTCACCAGCGAAGAGAGTGTCTTTGAAGTCTTTGAACATTACCTCTCTGGAGAGCCAAACCAGCATGGCCACACAGTGAGTGGGGTAGGGTGGGGTACCTGGGGTCCCCACCCCAGTCTTGCCTCAGCCTTGGGTTGGACGAGAGCTAGGCTGTTTCCTCTCTTGAGGATGTGCACCTCAGCTGAGGGAATGGGTAAGAAATCCCATTGAGGAGCCCGTGGAAGCAGAGACAGGCTAGGTCCAAGGAGGAAACAACCCAGGCCCAGACTCATCAATGCCCAGTTCAGCTCACCTCATCCTGCAGGTGACCTGCCTGCCCTGGAACGATGATCCCCTGGCAGCAGAAACCAGCCTGATGAAGGAAGAGCTGCTCCGAGTGAACAGACTGGGCATCCTCACCATCAACTCACAGCCCAACATCAATGGGAAGCCGTCCTCAGACCCTGTTGTGGGCTGGGGCCCTAGTGGGGGCTACGTCTTCCAGAAGGTACGCTAGTGTGCTTGAAGCTACTCGCCCTGACCAGGGCTTAGGATATCTCCAGAGACTGGAATAGAGCCCTGACCTTTCCTTCCTGGGCCCTGCATTTTGAGTAACTATGGAGCAGAGTGAGTAACAGGTCACACGGGTTCACTAGTTTGTTCTGTAAAATGGAGGAGGGAGGCATTTTATGTTTGGGGTACAAAATATAATAAAGCATATGCAGTGTTCTTCCCAGAGGAAGAACAAGGACACAGTCAGCTTTCAGAGCTCTGGCTGCTAACGAGATTGGCACTTTAATCCCAGGCCTGCAGGGGCTAAATTACACTCTGCAGCAAGGAGAACTCAGGAGACCTGGCTTTAGGTGCCAGCGCTGCTGTTCCCCTTGATATAGCCCCAAACCTGGCTTCCTCCTCTGGGCATAAGTACCCACCTTGCAGTATTCTGAACATTCTAGAACACGAGGGGGAAGAGGCCACCTGCAGACAGAAGTGCCTCGCCCAGCCCTGTTGTGGCATTGTCACCCAGTAGCTGGTACCTTGGGACCACTCCAGACAGAGAAGCCTCTTTCCTTCAGCGTTCACCCAGCCTCCACAGTTCATCCTGGTCCACAGTGCCGCCTCTAATCCCCAAGCCTTCAGTGTCTTACACTTGTACAGATGGGGTCCTCTCCCTGCAGGAGCCTAGGCATCTGGCTGAGAGATGGAGTAGGCAGGCTTCTCAGATGTGGAGATGGACTGGAGCGGGGTGAGGAGGGAAGGCAGGGAAGCTGGCAAGGAGCCGGGGTTGACCTGATCGGTGTCTTCTCCCTCAGGCCTACTTAGAGTTCTTCACCTCCCCTGAGACAGTGGAGGCACTTCTGCAAGTGCTCAAGAAGTACGAGCTCCGAGTCAACTACCACATTGTGGATGTGCAGGTAAGCCAGCTCCCACGTGGTCCTGACAGTCCCCAAAGGCTCAGGCCAGGCCTGTTGTCCAAACAGATGGAGGCAGACTGGGAGGTAGATGAATATATGCAGTGACAAGTCTGTGTAAGGAGGAGAGGCATATTCAATGTAGGATGCTACAGGATACACCCGAGAGGTCCAGGGTTCCTAGAAGGGATCCTGTGTGGGCTGAGCCTGTGTGGTGCACTCTCCTGGAGGCCAAAGGAGGACGTCCGGTGTCCTTCTCTATCAGTCTGCTTTATTCCCTTGAAACAGCATCTCTCACTGAACCTAGAGCTATGTTGACAGCAGCATGCCTCAGCATCCTCTTGTCTACTCCCACACCGTGCTGGGGTGGCAGGCACCTGCTGAGCCATGCCCGGCTTTTCACCTGGTGCTGGAGTCCAAACTCGTGCACCAAGCACTCTTACCCACTGAGCCATGTCCCCAGACCCTTGCCTGAATCTCTCTAAGGACACAGACTAAACAAAGGGCAAAGGGCCTTCTGGGGAAAGGGCAGAAGGAAAGGCTGTGCGCTGCACTGCACTGCACTGCATGCGCTGCACTACCTATGGAGAAACTGCACATAGGACATGGTAGTATTGAACCAGGACCAGGAGTCTGTGGCCTGCCTGAGGCCTGGAGACGACCTAAAAGCAAGGGGAGCCTTTCTCCAATGGCAGAGCGGCTTGCCTCCATTGCTTTTTACAAAGATCCCAGCACACGACTGAGGTGGCAAGGACCAGGGAACGTAGTCAGGGGCCCTTGTGCCAGGTAGAAAGCAGGACTGCTATTGTAGGCCTGGATGAGAAGCAGCAGAAAGGCCAAGTGTGGCGGCACACATTGGAACCCCAGCATTTGAGCAGCTAATTGCTGGAGGATCTTGAGTTCAAGGCTAGCCTAGATTATAAGCAAATCCTTGTCTCAAAAAAAAAAAAAAAAAAAAAAAAAAACCGCTGTGAGGCAGAACAGAAGTCCAGTCAGGCGGAAGTAGAGGCAGAGGGGAGCAGGGTGAAGGGAGCTGCCCAGGACGTCTCTAGGGCTCTGGGCTCTGGTTCAAGTACAGGGTGATGCTGTTGATGGTGGCAGACACAGGGCAGTTCTAGCTGGCCGAGGTCTGCCAGCAGTGGGGCTGCAGTTGCCCTGCCTCTGTTCCCAGGGGAAGAATATCACGAATGCCCCCGAGCTGCAGCCCAATGCTGTCACCTGGGGCATCTTCCCTGGTCGAGAGATCATCCAGCCTACTGTGGTGGATCCCATCAGCTTCATGTTCTGGAAGGTAAGTGAGAGGGAAGGTGTGTGCCCTGCCTTGCTCTTCTCTGGGTGGCCTGCAGGGAGACAGCATGAGCCCAGACCCGGGTGTAGTAGCCCTGTTGACCCCAAATGTGTGTGTCTGTGTCCACATGTAGGATGAAGCCTTTGCCCTGTGGATCGAGCAGTGGGGTAAACTCTATGAGGAGGAATCCCCATCCCGCATGATCATCCAGTACATCCATGACAACTACTTCCTGGTCAACCTGGTGGACAACGAGTTCCCGCTGGACAGCTGCCTGTGGCAGGTGGTAGAAGACACATTTGAGCTGCTCAACAGGCACACCACAAAGACAGCAGCTCAGGCCCCATGAGCCTGCATCCTGGCATCGTCCTCTCCTGGAGCACCCCCTCTCATCTCTCCACACATGATAATGACAGCTAGACTGTCAGAAAGCATCCAGGCTCTGGCTGGACCTGAGATGCCCCATTTCGGAGGCTCATGCTCTCTGCTTAAGGTCATGAGATGAGATTGACCTGAGCAGGGCCCAGCTATGCCCATGGCCGTGTCTAGCCCACTCCTGGGCTCCTGAGCGGGCACTCCTGCCAGCTGCCATCCTCTCTGTTGAGCCTAGCCAACAAGCTGTCCTGGCACTCCTCCCCAGTCAGCCCTCAGGCCTTCCTACCTGGGGTAGTGACTGGCAGGTACAGATGGCTGCTCCTGAGGTCTTGTTTGAGTCAGGGAGGGGGAGGAAGCTGTGCATAGAGCAACTTAGGTAGAGCAGGGGATTTCCTCTCCCCTTGTCTCCCAGGCCCAGGTGACTGCAGTGGAGAGAAGCCTTGGAGGGACTGAGCAGAGGCAGCCAGGATGAGGAGGTCCTTTTATTGCCGTCCCGCCCCCACCCCAGAGCTCTGGGAGCTGACCCCTCCAGCTGTGGACCTGTTCCTTCCCACAGAGGTCTAGGCTTGGCTCTGTTTATTCCACAGCTGCTGCATCTGGGCTGCTGTCAAGTGTTTCCAGGGCACAGGTGCTGCTGGTTCCTCTCGTGGGCTCCTGGCTACCAGGCGCTGGTACCACTTTTCAAAGGCCTGGAGGCAGGGAGGGACAAGAAATGCTATTTGTCTCAGGCTCCCTCCAGGGCCTGTACTGGGCCTGTCAGACTGACACCTGAGCTATGCTCTGTGTCTCAACCAGAGGCCCTTTCTCTACCCTGGTAGCCAACCCACCCTATCTCAGCCCAAATATACAGGCTCTGAATAGACTGGACTTGTAACCTGGGAAGCTGTGCCCAGTGACCTGCAAATGAGAAGCCTGTGTTTGACCCAGGCCCTACCGGGACCAGCATGGGCAGCAGGTGCCACAAACAGCCTGGTTCTCAGATTGAGTGACTGTGACACTGGGCTGGGCTTAAGGCCACCAGTCAAGGGCTCTAATGTCGAGGCTGTGTGCTCTGTAACCACTGACCAACTTCCTGAATGAGGAGCCCTCCTGTCTGAGCAGGGACAAGCCCTCCCCCGCATGGCTCTCCCCAAAGGTGACACGGGTTTTGGAAGGCTGGCTAGTGAAGGGAGGTAGAGCCACCTGGGAAAGGACCCAGATGTCTTCCTGCTGGTGCAACCGTCGGGCCACCTGCAGCTGAAGGACCTTTTTCCGCCATGTCCTCCAGGCCCGGTCCAGGTGCCATTGTCTGAGCTACAGAGAGAGGTGACAGAAAAACCCTCTGCCATCCTGGCAGCCCTGGTCCTTCTACATCTGCCATCCCAGGGTGAAAGGGATGTGACAGGGGCCATCATCTAGGAAATGTTAGCAGACAAGGACCCCTGAGCCCCATCCCCAAGGCTTTGGACCACACTGAGATGCAGTTAGTGTCTAGAGTTTGCCAAGGGATGAGATGAATGAGAGAGAAGTTGCTCCCAGGGCCTCTGCAGGGTAGAGAGGAACTGAGCCTACCTACCAGGGTCCGAGACAGCTGCTCCAGCCAGTGAACATCTACCCAGCGCTGCCATGCCCTTGCCAGACACCTGGCCTGCTGGGAAGCCTGGAACTGCCAACACTGTAGGTACCTGTTCCTGCAGGCCAAGCACATCACAACCTCTACAAGGTGAAGAGCAAGAGCCCCAGAGCCATCCTGCTGGGGTCACCCAGTCACTGGCCTGAGAGGACCACCCCTCCCCCATGCACATACAAAGCTGATCCTGCCCTAGCCACCTTTGGGGAGCCTCGCCTTGGCCCCGGAGGGCCCTGGTCTCAGAGCTGCAGAGCTCGCCTAGTCCTGTAGGGAGCTGTGCCCATGCAGGCAGCGGCAGCCAGAACTGGAAGGTTGGGCAGAGGGGTCTCTCTCTGTCACCTGGAGAGGAGAATTGTGTCAAGGGAGGATAATGCCTTGGTTTGGGAGAGCAGTGGCCACCCTCAGGTCTCCAGGTTGTGGGCTGGCCCGAGGAGCTAATGGCAGCGGAAGGGAATGGTCCAGACAGCTGTGAACAGGGGCAGTGTTCCACAGGGCTTGGCCTGAGGGCTGGGACCAGGGACTCAGCTCCTTACTCAGAGCACAGGATGGGGTCCTCTGTATGCCTCTTCCATGCTGCCGTGCCAGGCTGGGCAACACATTCGGTAGACCAGGTGTCCAGCAGCTGTGGCTCTGAGGGAACAGCAGGGGAGCAAGGATCAAACGCAGTGGGCTTGAGCATGCTGACCAGGAGGGACTCCTGCCCCCTGTGTGCATAAGGGGGTGTCTCTCCCAGGCGTTCCAAGACCCTCCAGAGGAGGCAAGCCACTAGGACATGGCTTGTGCTGCCTCTGACCATTCTCCCATCTGGCTGAAGACAGCTAAGCAGAGACTGGCCCAATGATAGCTGCCCTGTGGTGGAGCTCAGGCCATCCCTGAGAGCTAAGTCATACTCCTGACTTAAGCTTTAGGACATTGCTGAAGCCTTGCCTCTCAGATGTGGCCTGAGGGCTGAGCTCCCAACTAATACAACATATATGGGTGACTCCCTGCCACCACAGGATGGCTCACCACCTGCACATGTTGCCAGGTGTGGGCTACCTTGTGAGTGTGCCTGTGGTAAAGAGCAGGGCCTTGGGTACCACTCTCAGTGTCTGCTTTATTTCTAGAAGCCCCAGTGTATGAGAGCACAGTGTATGGGAACCTGGCCATTACTGCGAGAATGAAGTATGTATACTTTTAAAGGGTGGCAGTATCCCCGTGAAATTTCACTACTCAAGAGGCTGAGTTGAAACAACTTGGGCTATACAAGCTGGGTCTACAAAGCCCTGAAAATCTGCAAGTAAAAGCATGAGACCCTATAATCTGCCATTGCCCTCGGCCCATGCCTGGGAGTTCTGAAACCCAGCAACACTATGGCAATTCCATTTAAAAGGCAAAAGCCACTTTGGTGGTTTTCTTAGGCTCTTTCTAAAGTCAATTCTGTTCTTTCTGAAGCAGGACTCCTGGTGATGCCGAGTTGTCCTTAGGAACACTGCCCGGCCTGTCAGGATCATGGGCTGGTCCCTCAGCTAATCTCAGACTGCTGGGCAGTGCTGTTTCTTGCCCCTGGCATTTGTGATGCCCTCTTCACTCCTGCTAGGCCATAAGCCCCTCATTGTTACGTCAGAGCTAAGGACTTCTGGGTCCCATTTTCATACAAAAATAAAAACCTACTTTCTACTTTATTTTCTGTAATGGGCACATTTCATTTTTTTCCAATAAAACTAAAATTGCTGCTGTCTCCATATATCTATCTTTTTAAAGACGTGTGTGTGTGTGTAAGTGTAGGGAGGGGGCATGCATGCCTTGGTATACAAGGTGGGGGCCAGAGGACAACTTTGTGGAGTTTATTATCTCCTTCCACCGGTACATCAGTTCTGAGGATCAAATTCAGTCACTGGGCTGGCATGGCGAGCACCTTTCCCTGCCCAGCCACCCTGCTGACCCAAAAATACATTATCATTATTATTTGTTTGTTTTGAAATAGCATTTCACCATGCAGCCCTGGCTAACTTCCACCTCACAGAGATCTGTCTGCCTCTGCTTCCCTAGTGCTGGGACTGAAGTCATATACCACTATGCCCAGGCATAAAAACTGTTTAAAAATTTGTGTCTGTGTCATTAATAGACAAAGAGCCTTTGTAACCAGACTTGCACCAAGCTGTCACTCAAGAGGTTTGCTGAGGGTCCTCCTGCTGGCCACCCAGAGCTGGGTTGGGTGGTGTCTGTAAGTCTGTTTGCTCCTAGAGCCACAATCCCATCGTGGGCAGAAACCAGCTGATTTAAGACTGGGGAAGTTACTCCTCCCCCCCACGCCTGGGCGCGTGTGCGCACACACACACACACACACACACACACACACACACACACACACACACACTCACACACACACCTGGGCCCACCTCACCTGTATCAAAAAATTTGGGGTGTCCATCAGTTGCAGGAGGTGCCCTCTGCTGGCCAGCCTCATCCAGTGCCTGAAGTCCATGCCCTGTGCCTGGATCTGTGGCTCTAGCCTCTGTCTCAACAGAGTTGACTGCCCCTGAACCCAGTGGGTCCTAAGGAGACACTGAAGCCTCTGCCAGCATTGGGTGATATCAGCTCGTTGGACATGAGACTGGGCTGCTAACTGCATCCAGACCTCTAGAACCCTGGAGAAGAAGGAGTTGCCCATTAGAGCCAGGATTCTAGGGCTCTGCAAAAGACAAATGCCCAGGCCTGGGCCCCCTCCCATCCCTATTCTGGATAATCCACCAAATGTGCATCAGAAGTGGGTAGAGTATCACATACATCAGGGGCAAGCATCCTGTTTAAAGGGACAGAGAGGGCAGTCCTAACTAACAGCTAGGTTCTGCTCCCCTCCCCTGGGAAGATGCCAATGCACTGCCCAATTATTGTGTTGAGCACATGCGCACACTTGGCAGGGCTGCAAGGCAAGGCAGCTAACGTCAGAAGCGTTTCCAAGGATGGGTCACACTAGAAAGTGGCAGGATCAGGACCCGCTCCCAAGATCAAGGTGTCTCTACCCTCCTGCCACCCAGACACTCAGCAGGCACCACTCGACTACCCAATATGCTCCACCCTTACCAAAACCAAGTTCAAAACCTGAGCTGGAAGCATGGTATGAGGTTGCCCTCGGGCCTTGGGCACTCACCTGGTTGTCAGGTGCCGGACAGCAAGAGCCTGGTGGCCCTGGCCTAGGTAGGACTCATGCATCCACAGGACCCAGCACAGGGCCACCTGGATTGGGGGTCAGGACTTGTGCTCTCCTTCCTGACTGCCCCAGGGAGACTCACCATACCACAAAAGCCTGCTGGGTCTGGGCCTTCCTCAGCTGCCTGTCAGTCCCACTCTGTTGCAGAAAGCTTCTCCAGCCCAGGACAGAGGCCTGGGCCACACAGCGGCGATCCTGTGCTGGGGGCCCTGCTCTGCAGGCCTCCAGTGAGCCAGCAAGTGTGGCCCCCAGGTCTTTTCTCAGGTCATCCTGGAAGACTTGATGCTGGTCCTGGGACACCCCTGCGTTCCTCAGGCGCTCATACCAGGTCTGGAAATAGCTGCACAGGGGGCGGGGAGGGGAGGGGTCAGCCTCAGTTGTGTGTTGTGTTTATTCAAAGTGATACCTGCAGACATGCCTATGAACTCAGCACTGAAGCAGGAGGATCTCTGGGGCTAGCCTAGGCTTAAAAAAACCAAGGGCTGGGGATCTAACTCAATTGGTAAAGTGCTTTCCTAACATACACAAAGCCTTGGGTTCAATCTCTAGCACCAAATAAACGAGGCATGGTGGCATATGCCCACAAGCCCAGCACCCCTGACATAGAGGCAAGAGGATCAAGACACAACGTTATCCTTGGCTACACAGTGGAGGCCAGCCTGGGTTGCATGATTTCACCCTCTTCTGGCCACTGTAAGAGGATTGAGGACCTGGACTCCTCACAGCTGAAGAAAACATCTCTGTCACCTTCACTGGCCTGTGAAGTCACAGGACTGGTCTGGTCACAGGACTGTGAGGCTTGTCATCAATCCCAAATGTAATGAGAGGCTGCTGACAAGCGCCTCTGGCTTAGGCCAACTCTCTTCAGGTCCCCACCTCACCTAGGTGCCAGGCCTCCAGTCAGAATCCCAGAGCTTTTTATGGCCCTGGGCTCCCTGCCTTTACCAAGTGGTGAGGACAGAGCCCTCCCACCTAGTCTTCAGTCAAGCCCCCAGGCCCGAAGGCATCTCCGTTCCAGTCCAAGCTACCGCCTGCTGCCAGCCCCAAACTCAGCCTTCTGCAGAACCTGGAGGCGGACTTGCCCCCACCTCTGATACTGTTCATGGAGAAACTGCCGTCCTGGGGCCAAATAGACCAAGAGCCTCTCGGGACTCCCCCAGCCTCGCCCCTGCACCCTGCTCAGCCAGCCCTCTGCCCTATACTATCTGCTAGCTAAAATGCCTTTGGTCACCAGGCTTTGCATTCAGGTAGTTGAGGCATTTTTGTTTGTTTTGGAATTGTTTTGTTTTTTATTAGTGCTGGGAACTGAACCCAGAATGTAATGTCACCCATACTAAACACACACTCCCCAGTGGATGCCATTCCCAGCCTCAAATTTTCTTTGTGTTGAAGATTTTGACAATGCTTAGGCATTAAAAGAACTCAAGAGTTTTAAAAATCTAGGGGCTGGGGGGTATAACTCAGTTGGGAAATGCTTTGTCTTGTACGTCTGAATACTTGATCCCCAGTATTGCACAATTCAGGCCTGGTGTTTTAGGACTATAATCCCAGCACTTGAAAGTTCGATGTAGGAGGATCCAAGAGTTCAAAGTTATCCACAGTCAGCTACACAGCAAATTGGAGATGAGTTTTGGCCACAAGAGACCCTGTCTCCAAAAAAAAACCAATAGTAAAGTAAACTTTAAAGATCTAGACTTCCAGCCGGGCAGTGGTGGCGCATGCTTTAATCCCAGCCCTCGGGAGGCAGAGCCAGGCGGATCTCTGTGAGTTCGAGGCCAGTCTGGGCAACCAAGTGAGTTTCAGGAAAGGCGCAAAGCTACACAGAGAAACCCTGTCTCGAAAAACCAAAAAAAAAAAAAAAAAAAAAAAAATCTAGACTTCCAGGGGCTAGAGAGACATCTCAGCAGTGAGAGGGTGTATTACTTTTCCAGAGGCCAGAGTTCCATTCCCAGCACCCACATCAGGTGGCTCACAACTGCCTCAAACGTCAGGGGATTCAATGCCTCTAGTCTCTGAGGGCACCAGTGTGCACATGGCATATATCCGCACAAATACACATGTACACACATGATTAAAAATAAAATCTTTTTTAAAAATTTAGATTTCCAGTTTCTCTCTAAAAACTCTAAAATTTAACGTTCAGTCCCAATGGACAAGTATTGAGCTGAAGAAGCAGCTGTCCCCAGGGGTCAGGACCCTAGCTTTCTAAGATGATCAAATCCCACCTAACAGTTCATTACCAAAACTGGTGGGCGTAGAGGACACTGAAAATGGCCACCAATGAGCCAGCAAACTGACTCAGTAAGTAAAAGCATTTGCTGCTGAGATTGAATTCCTGAGTTCCGTTCCCAGGATCCATATGGTGAGTAGTGAGAACCAGCTCCCTCTGACCTCCATGTGGTTGCCCTTGGCATATGCATGTACATATGAGAAAGGACTTTCTAGTTCAGGCACACACTCTCACTGCCTCTTGGATTGCTCACCCTGCATGAGCAGGTTCTGCAGAGATGCCCTGTGGTAAGACTTATCAGCATCCCCCCCACAAGGGAGCTTAGAAGTGGATGCCTGGCCTCCACAGAGCTTTCAGAAGTAGTTCCAGCCCTGGGTGACCCCTCACCACAGCCTCACAGGAGAAAAGAAAACAGAGTGGCCCCTTAAGCCATCGGACTCCCTCTTGCTCTGTTGACACCATGAGATGCTAAAAGTCTGTGGCTTAAAACTGTAAGCAGGGAGCAGGGCTAGCTGGGCGGTGGTGGCACACCCCTTTAATCCCAGCACTTGGGAAGCAGAGGCAAGCAGATCTCGGCTTGTTCAAGGCCAGCCTGATCTACAGAGTAAGTTCCAGGACAGCCAGGTCTATCCAGAGAAACCCTGTCTCGAAAAACAACCAACACCCCCCCCCCCCCCGCCCCCGCAAACAAACAAACAAAACACTATAAGCAGGGGACCAGCATAACGTCTCAGTCGGTAAGTGTAAGGATCCTGCTCTCACTCTTCCAGGTTTAATGCCTCATCAGCGGGCGACTGCGTCCCCGCCTTAAAAAGCCACACATGGACCTCCACACTCTCTCTCTGCACCTCTTTCTGTTTCCTCTCTGCCAGGCCTGGCTTCTCTGTCCTGTCCCCTCTTCTTTCTAATAAAGCCCATTCTAACTCTGGTAACCATGGCTCGTGACTCTTCGGCCGCACAACCAGCGCCGTTCATCCTTTCAGTAAGGACATTTGCTGCCGACAACCTGAGTTAAATCTCCTGGACTCAGACACATGATGGAGAACATCGACTCTTGTAAGTTGTCGTCTGACTTCCACACAAGAGCTGTGGCATACACACACAGCCAATTAACTAATTCAATAATTAAAACAAAGCTGTACGTAGGGGCTGGGAGTGTGGCTCAGTGGAAGACTGGAGCGTTTGCCCAGCATGCCAAGACCTTGGATTCCATTCCCAGAACTGAAGTTAATTAGTTACATAAAATGTACAAGTGTCGTCGTCGGGGCTATTTGCTGCTCAGCAAGGAGGCTCCCTGCAGATGTGACTTGACTGGGGCCAAACTGAGTACAAAGAGAAAGGTCCTCCTTTCTGCTGAGCCAGGATCCTGGGAAGCAAGCCAGGACTCAGCCCCTCCTTCCCCAGACAAGCTCCTCTCCAGGCTGCTGGCTCAGCACTCTTCTGCCTAACCAGCATCATGGCCCCGAGAGCACCAGGACTCCGTCCTCCTCGGCCTCAGAGCTCAGGCCAGCAACTCCTGGAGGCCAGGCGAAGTGGAGGTGACAGGGTGCTGATGTTCTAGCCTGGAGTTTGTCCCACAGTTACCCCATGAAGCACGTACACTATTATGCCTGTTTCACAGATAACGGAGCAGAGAGTACTTAAGCGGCTCAAGATCCACACAGAAGAAGACAGAAAAACAGAGACCTGGTTGCAGGCCTCCCTCTACCACCCAGTCCTTGATGTGATCCAAGCTCTGGGCTCTGAGAGGGCTGTGGAACTCGGAGTGTCACCAAGGGACCCTGGCCCTTTCTTCTCCTATTATGTGCCACCCATTCCTTGGCTCACTCTGCTAGCAGGAGAGCCCGCGGCTCAGGGCCACTCACACCAGTCCCTGGCCCCGCTCCTGGACTCTCTTCTGCACTGCCCATCACTGTACCAGCGGCCACCACCACAGACCCATCCCAGCCCTGCAGCTCTGATCTCAGGCCCAATGAGCATCAAGGTCTCTCCAGGGCCCTCGAGCTGCAGTCCAGTGGCTCCAGCTGAGGAGGACACTGGGAAGGAAGGGGAATGTCCAATCTAAGCACAGTTGCTGGGTTAGCCTTACTCTAGCTCCTCTTCCATCCTCCCCTCAGCAACAGGTATAGCCCGGGCAGGTCTTTTCCCAGTTCCAATCAAGGAGAGGATGGGTTGCTGGGGATTAGAGGGGTCTAGGGCTTTCCAAAGGACACAATGACAGATGATGGGACTAGAAAAGGATCCTTAACCTCCAATGCCAAGTCCAGTGCTCAGCCTTCAGAGTCAATACTATAACTGTCCTCATTTTACAGACAGGGAAGCAGAGGCACAGAGAAGTCAAGTAACTTGTCCCAGATCACACAGCCAGAGGCACAAAGCAAGTCCCTTCTCAAGCCCTGCCCTGTGAGAACATCTGGAGAGAAATACACTACAGAGTATCTTGCCCCAATTCCCACCCTCACAGCTGGATAGGGCCCGAGGACATGAGAAGTTGAATGGCCCTGATTCTGGGGGTCATCCTGACTGGGATGTGAGCCCCCTGAGATGCAGACTCCACAGCTGCTGCTGGGAAGGCCCAGGATGTGTGGGAGGAGCAGTCGGGAAACAACGGCATCACTGTACAGTGGACAACAAGGCTCTCCCTTTCTGGGGAGGGGTTCCTACCGCCTCTGGAGGGTACGCCAGTACAACCTCACTGCGCCCTGAGTCTGCTGGATCCGCACCTGCCAGGGAAGAAGGCACAGCCTGTCCTGCCACCTGGCTGCCCACAGGATGCCCAATAGGAAAGTCTCCAGGAGGGTGGGGGCCCTGGGAGGCTGGGGCTAAGGGGTGAGTTCTGGGTCCCCCCATCTCTACCCCACTCCAGCCCCTCACCTTTTCCAGTGACCCTCCTGATCTTCTGCAGCCCAGCCAGGCCTCCCCTCCTGGCCTGTTGCCCCATGGCTCCAGGGCTAACATGGTCTCCATGCTGCTCGAGGGAGGGTCCAGACCCCAGACCCTCAAGCGCCACAGCTTCAGGATGTACTGCAGAGCCCTCTTCTGCATGCCCTGAAAAAAGGAGCTAGGGGAGGGGGGCAGGTGAGTCTCTGGGACTCCCAACACCCACGACTCAGGCAAGCCTGCTGTGTGAGGGTCCAGCTGGAAGGCCTTGACCAGCTGAAACCAATGGATCACTCAGAGCATCAAGAAATGATGTCATAGCTCGGCGGTGGACCCCTTGCTAAGTGTGCATGAGTCTGAGAACCTGATGCCCGGCACCACCGAAGACAAGTCACTCCAGTGACAGCCCAGTCCACTCCAGTGACAGCCCAGTCCACTGCCCTCTAGTGGGGAACTCGGTTAAAGCAAAACAAAAACAAAAGAAAAAAGAAAAAACACTTTTCCTAAAAAACAAAGCAAAGCAAAACGGAACAAAATCAGAAACAATCAACCACAAGCCAGGAATAGCAGTTCACGATTATAACCCCACCGTGACTCAGGAAGCTGAGGCAGGAGGATTGCCAGTATTTTTTAGTCATCCTGAACTATGTGCCACCATGCTTGCTACAACAGAATTCTCTTTTCTTTCTTTCTTTTCTTTTTTTTTTGGGGGGGGGGGGAGTGGACAGGGTTTCTCTGTGTAGCCCTGACTGCCCTGGATCTCGCTCTGTAGACCAGGTTGGCCTCGAACTCACAGAGATCCACCTGCCTCTGCCTCCGGAGTGCTGGGATTAAAAGAGTGTGCCTGCCACCACCGCCCTGTTGAAACAGAATTCTTAGCTCTGTGACTGCTGGCTCATTCTCCCTGACAGTCTAGTCTAGAAGCTGGCTCCTGATGACCCCAGCCTCCCGCCCCACAGCGTCAGCAGCCTGGGCTCAGAATCCTTCCAAAGGCAGCTGGGAGAAAGTGGCCCCAGCAGCTGTCTCGGTGTTCCACCGCCACTTCCCAGGGCCTGATACCTGCTGGGAGACACAATGTATCACATCAGGCCTCCTGCCAAGGCCATGGGAAGGCTGGGGATGTTGACTAGGTCCTAAAGGATCATGTCTCCACATTGTGGGGCTGACCGGGTGTCATCAGCTTCTGGACACCTACACGGCTTGCTCGTGCTGGTAGAGTCGCGTCCTCCAGAGCAGCAGGGCCCGTTGCAGAGCCAACTTTTGGCAAGCTTCCCACAGGGAGCACCGATCTGGCTCCTTGGGTAGTTCCTGGGCCTGGACCACTGTCTCCAGGCAATGAGTGGTGGCAGTTCCTGGGACTAAGATGTTGAGGGCCTTATTCCCTGGGAAGAAGGCAGGAAGTGGTTAAGTTGCTGTTCACAAACAAGCAGCTGCAGCCTCAGGCCTCCTGGGCCTCCCCATCATGAGCACTGCCCTCCTGTGTCCTCCACATGCTCCCCACCAGGCTGCCTCAAGTTCCCATCTTCCCCAGCGTAGGAAGGGACTACATGTCCCCTCCAGCAGACTAGGGCGTTCCCGGAGCAGAGGACCACATGCTTTCAACACTAAACCAGAACAGTCCCCTGCCCAGAACAGCTTGGATGGAGACAAGGGTGCAGCCCAGCCAAGGCCTGCTCCCTCTGGAAACCCCTCCCAGACCTCTAGCACTGGCAAGCCCCGCCCCCCCCCAAGGCCCCCCTCAGTCCTCTCCCATTGTAATAGTCATGAGTTTCACTGGGCCCCGGAGCTTAATTAACTGGGGCTCTGGTTGGAGGGAAACGCGCGCGCGCGCGCGCACACACACACACACACACACACACACACACACACACACACACACACGCGCACACACACACACAGACACCCGTGTCTGTCGCTGGCTCACCCGCCTTCCGCCGGTAGAGGGCCAACTGAGTCACTTTTGCCACATCTGAGGCCTGGAGCTGCCTCAACTCCATCCACCGTCCCAGGCATGTCCTCAGGACCCGCACCCTTCGGTGGGCCACGTGTCTCCTGCACTGGGCCCCTCTCTGCGCCAACCGGTACCAGGCCCCGAAGCACCTGGAGAACGAAGGGAAACTGCCTTTGGCAGCACCGGCAGCCACCCGCCTCCTGCCATGCACACACTTCGGTGGCCCCGGCCTTCGCCTTTCTGTGAAACAGAAGGCTGTGAAGAACTGAGCATGGCGTCTGCTCAGGCCACAGATGTCATCCCCGAGTGCCTGGAGGCCCCAGCATCCTCCCACCTGGCCTCCCACATCCACCCCTGCCTCACTCATTCTGGTGGTTCCAACTCAGTGACCAGAGTGATGTTTCCCTCATCTTGAGTCCAATTAGCTTAAGTGCCTGCTCGGCCTCCTGGGGGTCCCTTTGGCCCCTAGAATAAAATCTCAACTCCTTCCCAAGCTACATGGGACCTGGCCTAGAACACCTTTTCCACCAGTCTCAAAACATTGTGTGTGTGTGTGGGGGGTGTTAACTGCTCATTATTGCTGGGTTTGGGGTTTATTGTTTGGTTGGTTGTTTTGTTTTGTTTTTCAAGACAGGGTTTCTCAGTGTAGCTCTGACTGTCCTGGATCTCACTCTGTAGACCACGATGGCCTCACACTCAGAGATCCGTCTGTCTCTGCCTCCTGAGAGCTGAGACTAAAGTTGTTCACCACCACCACCCAGAGCTGGCTTTCTCTTTAATGTATTTGGTCTTCCTACATTGCCTAACATGACCTTGATTTCCTGGACTCAAGCAATCCTCCTGCCTCAGCCTCCTGAGTAGCTGGGACTATGAATTTTCACTACTCCACTGGCTCTTTAGGCTGTCATTAAGGCCCTTGCATACTCTGTTCCCTTTGTGTGGTGCCCTGGTCCTCACATCCCTCCACCACTAACGATTCATCCTCCATGAATCCATCCTTCACTCACCATGTCTAGGTTGCTAGGTCACTTCCAGTGTTAAAAGCTCTTGCCAGGGGCAGGAGGGGGGGGATCAACATGGAGGTATAGAATCAAAAAAAGGCCCACAGATTAAAAAGGTGTTATGGGGCCTAGAGAGATAGTTCAGTGGTTAAGAGCACTGGCTGTTTTTGCAGAGAGCCAGGGTTCAGCCTCAGCCAGCACCCACATCTGTCAGCTCACAAACCACCTGTAACTCCAGATCCAGGGGACCCACTGCCTTCTTCTGGATCCTGGGAACCTCGCATGCATGTATGCACATACAACCATGCAAACACACACACACACACACACACACACACACACACACACACACACACACACACACAAATAAAAATAAGTATAAAATATAAATAAAAACAAACATTATATTGGTTGGTTACTGAACAGCTTATCACATGGTTACATAGGCCCTAACTGTGCCTCTTCTATAATTATAAATGGTGTCATGACTGGCATGTTTTTGTCCAAATCTCTGTCCTCATCCCGGTTCTCTGTGAAAGAAGCTGGTAGGCAGGGGCAGGGTGGGGGGGGGGCGGGGGGTGGGAGTAGGCCACCAACTGCCTAGGCCACGTTGCCCAGTCTTGGTGTCCAAGCTCACCTGCATTTCCAGGCAAGGTCAGCGGCTACTTTTCTTCCTAAGGAAGGGCTTCCCCTAGAAGCAAGGAATGGTGATGCAGCCTGGGTGCAGGGTTGTTCCTGTTTCTGCTGCAAGAGCTGGGTCAAAAGACAACAGGCAGAAGGATGCCAGCTGAGGCCCGGAATGAGACTCCCATCAGCCACCAAAGCTCCGGTCCTAACCTAACACTACCCCACTTTCTCAGGAATGATGGAATGTAGCAAGAATCCCAAGAGACAAAACTTTCCTTTGGAAGCAAACCTTCCACCCTCACTCAGTACCCAAGGAGGAAGAACACCCACACATCCTCTCAGGCCAAGCTAGCAAATCACTAATCAAAAACAGCAGACCTGGAGCTGGAGAGATCAGTCATGAGCTGCAACCTGGGCCCAGCAGATGCCCTCTCAGTAGATGTAGCCTCCTCTCAGACATACCAGAGCCATGGCATTGCCCCCAAACCCCAACCTGGAGAACACAGACCTTTTGGAAGCTCCAAGCCAGCAGGGTATCTGCATGTTGATCCCATGCTGCCTCCAATCGGGCCTCCTGGAGCCATAGGACCCAGCGCAGTACTCTGAGGCTCTTTCGAACCAGCTGCCTGTGGCTCAGAGCTATGGCCTTAGCTGCTGCCTGGCGCCTCTGTGACAAGTTCCTCCAGGCTCTGAAACTTCTGGACAGCAGCTTCTGGCTGGGGACAGAGCAGGACTGATGAGGGGATAGACACAACTCTCAGCTCCCTAGGATCCCATGTAGCTTTTCTATTAATTGTAAAGGTGATGCCCCCTTCCAAAGCAGAGATCTCTTTGCTGATCCCTGGACATAAAGTCACCCCCCAACTCCCCAAGCAAGAAGGTCCAGGAGAGAGGAGAATTGCCCCACTACACTGATGTCTACAATTCCCAGTGATCCAAACCCAGGGGTGTAGAACTTGTCCTCGGGCCCTGGAGGCCCCTGGTTTCTCATGAGGGACAGTGTGAAGATAGTTCTGAAATCCTGCTGAGGCTCTGCCATCAGATGTCTATCTCTATCAAGTCCCTATGGTACAGGCAGACAGGTCAGGAGCGGTCCCTGGAGCGGTCCCCAACCCTACCCCCACTCCCTTACAGCAGGGCCTCACCAAGCTGCCTGGGGATCTGAGCTCCCAATGCTTTGAGCCTTGTTCTGCAGAAACAAAAGCCATGACAGTTCTCAGACTAAAGAGTAGGAGTGACATCTCCAGCCAAGCCCTTCTTCTGGGAGTGCCCCCGACCCCTGCATCCTGGGGCTTCTACCTGCAGAGTATTCTCAGTTGGGGCTCCATTTGATGGGCAGGAGGCCATCTTCCCATCCCTGCCTGCCCTTTCCTGTGGGGCCTTCTCTCTTCCTTCCTGCCCAGGCAGGACACTGATAAAGGTTGGAGATTCAGTTCTGGCCTCTCTGCTACCTGCCTCTCGTGTGACCCTGAAGGGCCCTCTGTTCCTCGTGTTATATGGAAGGCCTGGGGAGCCTCTCTCTCTTGCCCCAAGGTGCTGGGTAGAAAGGACCTCCTGGTCTGAGTCAGAGAAATCCCCAGCCAATGTTTCCAGAGTGGGAACGGCCTCATGTGACAAGGGTTTGTATACAGGGGACTCTGAGAGTCTAGCTTGGACCCCAAGAGTCTCCAGGAGGCTTACACTTTCCCTGGGGTGGCTGGGCCAAGGTTGGGCAGGGGTTGACTGTCTCCCACCAGTGTGGGGGCCCCTCTGTGTAGGGCCTGGGTGCTCCTGGGATGTCTGGCTCCTTGAACAGGCTGCCTCAGGCTCTAGGTGTTGGATGGAGTCCAGCAGCCAGTGGTCAGTGCTGCATGAAGAACGGAATTGGGCCCAAGACTGGCTGTGGGCAGAGACAGATAGGTCCTCCAAGGCGAGGGGCTGCCCCACAAGCCTGGGTGCCCAGCTCCCGGAACTATAGCAGGGACTGGGGTCAGGCCATGTGCACCCATCAAGAGGTTTCAAGCCCCCAGAGAGTCTCAAGTCTAAGCAGGGGGTGTCTGTGACCTGGTGTGTCTGCCTCTGGTGGGAGGATGGGCCACTTGGTGACAGGCAGCTGTTCTGCAGATGGGGGCTCGTGGTCCTTTGGAAGCACAGGTTACTCTGCTGTGTAAAGGGCTCGCGGGTCCTCCCCTGGGACCTCCCTGCTGGAAGCTGTAGGTTACTCTGCTGCCAGAGACCTGTGACACCTGGTTGGCCAGTTGTGTCCTTCAGGGCAAGGGCCAGGCAGGGACGAGGGCTGGCCAGATTACTTTGGACTTGGTAGGGTTTCTGGCATAGCACTGAGCCTTGGGAGTATGTGGTAGCCTGGCATACGGGCATCCTCCGGCCTCCTCCACTCCCCAGGCTGATGTCCAGGTTCTTCCAGGGGCTCTTCAGTTCTAAAGGAAGAGAGACAGCCACACCCTGGGAACCAGGTGATGGCTCTCGGGTAAGACATGGGGTATCCAGGCCTCAGAGCTGGGGTATGGCAGGGTTCCCGGTGGGAGGGAGTCAGGACTTCAGCTCCATGACCCTAAGGGAGCCAATGTGCAGGTCAGGCCCCAGGGCCTCAGAGCCATGTGGTGACATGGTTTGACATGAGGCCTGGCTACATAGAGCACGGAAGAAGAGGGGCAGAGGGGAGCCTGATGGGGTTTATAGCTGGGACCAGGGTGTATAGAGAGAGGGCTTTGGATCTGTTGGCAACCAATTGAGAGGGGAAAAGAGAGAAAAGGAAAGAGTAAAAGGTGACTAGCTTACAATTTACCCAGTGGTCACTCAGAACACTCCCACCCTTACCTGTACCCCCTGGCTCCCCTCCAGTAACCCCAACTAATCCAGGCATAAAATCAGAATTTGGCTGGGCGATGGTGGCACATGCCTTTAATCCCAGCACTTGGGAGGCAGAGGCAGGCGGATCTCTGTGAGTTCGAGGCCAGCCGGGTCTACAGAGTGAGTTCTAGGACAGCCAAGGCTACACAGAGAAACCCTGTCTCAAAACAAAACAAAACAAAAAAAGGGGGGATTAGAATTTGAATTTGTTCTTGGGCTGTCTGTGCCCTCGGCTGGACCAGCTCTGTGGGCTTCTTATAGCCTGAGATCCCTCACTCTCAGACCCTCACCCTCCAGTGATTCTGGCCCAAAGACCTACAATCCTAAGGTCCTACCAACAGGGACTCCTTAGGGGCGGGTGCCCTCCCAAGATCCCTCCCTTTGGGACCCTTCCATCCCTAGGCCCCACCTTTCCATCCCTCTCAAGAACCCTCCCTTGAGATGATGCTGTACCAACCGAGCCAATCTTGGGAAGGAAATCTCCAGAGCTAGGAAGGTGCTAGGCAGGTAACTGGGGAGGACCCCACTGCCACTGACTTACCAGGCTCAGTGAGCTTCTTACCTGGCCCCAGGACAGTCACAGTCTTGGGGGGTACATTCTCCTTGTATCTGGTGGCAGGTCTTGGCTCCATGGGCTGTGGGACAGCTGTGGGGTGGGGCAGAGCACTAGCCTGGCATATATGAGGCCCTGGGTTAGAGTCTCAGCACAGGAACAGGGAAAGGGGCAGTCAGGTTCTGTGGAGAAAGAAGACACCCTGGCCACAGGGCCATATCCTCAACTCTTCCGGACATGGTCCCTCTCTGCAAAGGCCCCTTGTGGTCTCTGCTTACTGCCCCACATAGCTTCTCCCCTCTCTGTTGTGATAGTTCTTTTCTTTTTCGATTTTTATTTTTCTTTTTGAGGCAGGATCTGTGTAACTCACTATGTAGACCAGGCTGGCCTCAAACTCACAGAAGTCCACCTGCGTCTGCCTCCCAAGTGCTGGGATTCAAGGTGTGTGCCACCACACCCATCTAAGGATGTCAGATCCCCAGGAACTGGAGTTATAGATGGTCATGAGTCATCATGTGGGGGCTGGGAAGCAAACCTGGATCCTCTGGAAGAGCAATACGTGCTCTTCTGTTTTGAGAGTTTCTCACGTAGATCAGGCTGGCCCCACTTGCTCTGTATAGCCAAGGATGATACTGAACCCCCTTTCCCAAGTGCTGGGATTACAGGCTGTGCCACCATGCCTAGTCTGCGCAGTGTTGGAGTTCAAACCCGGGGTTTTCTGCATGTTAGACTAGCACACTACAGTCACATCACCAGCCTTTTTATTTTTCTTTTTTTCTCCCTCCCTCCTTCCTGTATTTAAGTCCTGCCTCAAACAAGCCCTTCCGTTATCCATGGCAGCACCTTACTCTCTGTGCCCTGCGTGTGCTCCTCCTGGCATGTACCGTCACTATGTGTATTGAAGAGATGGTGGTCTCGCCTATATACACGCAGCATACAGCCTGGCACATGTGTTAAGTGACTGAACCACGCTAAACACCAGCTCAGCCATGAGCAGGCATTCTGCTGTATACTCTGCACCGCCGTCAGTCCTAAGATTTGTTTCCCAGTTCTAAAAAACGAGGCTATTGGTGTTTAGAAAGGCCACCAGCCTGTTGCACAGTCCTACAGCTGGGCAGCTCTGCTGAGAAGGCTAGCTTGTAAGCATGGGTGGCCTCTCCTGCCACTCCCGTTTTTAAGTCCTGCCCTCTAGCCCCCACGCCCACCTAAGGACACTCAGATCCTCCCTTTTCTCACCATAGGAGCCTGTGACCAGTTTCCTGCCCTTCTGGACCTGCCCTCAGTCTTCCTTGGAACCTTTCTTTTAACCAATCAGGTTTGAACTGGGAGGGGCTCTCCGCAGAGGACCGCTAACGACCACGTTAAGTGTGAGGTGGAAGAATTTCAAAGATAAGAACGTGCTCGCCTAGCCCCGCCCCGTCTCCAGCGTGCCTTGCGCGTTCCCAAGCAAAAGTTGCAGATGCCTGCACGGGGCGTAGGTCCGAATGAGCTGCACGTGCTCTGTGCTGAGGTTCCGGCCCAGGACCTGCATCTCAGTTACAAGGCATAAAGCTATGAGAAGCCTTTTTTTTCTTTCTTTCTTTCACATTGTCTGTGGTCTTCAGGCCACAGGTCCCCCCAGAATGGCTGGAATCCAACCACCATTCTCTCCTCAGCGTGCTTTGATATTGGTCCGATGTCGATGTCGCTTCCTTTCAAACATCGAGCATTTTCCACATTGCAAGCCTTTGCCTGGGCAGCTCCACAGTGCACTCTGCAATGTGTACTTTTGGATGCAAGTCACAAGGCTTGTGCTGTTGGGTGGTCTTAGACAAATTCCCAAACTTTCTTTTTTTTTTTTTTTTTTTTTGGTTTTTCGAGACAGGGTTTCTCTGTGTAGCTTTGCGCCTTTCCTGGAACTCACTTGGTAGTCCAGGCTGGCCTCGAACTCACAGAGATCCGCCTGGCTCTGCCTCCCGAGTGCTGGGATTAAAGGCGTGCGCCACCACCGCCCGGCTGATTCCCAAACTTTCTATGACAACCCCCACACCCCATTTTTTAAACGTGGTGCTGGGGATTGAACCCACGATCTGTGCATGCTAGGCAAGCTCTCTAGCCTTCCTCCTGCCCCTTTCTTCTTTTGTTTCCCCCCCAGAGCTGAGGACAGCGCTCTACCACTGAGCTAAATCCCCAACCCTCCCCAACCCCCCCCCCCCCTTCTTCTAAGACTGTCAAGCCAGGTGTGTGGTAGTACTCAGGAGGCAGAGGCCGGCAGATCTGTGTGAGTTCCAGGCCAGCCTGGTCTACAGGGCAGGTGAGTTCCAGGACAGCCAGCACTACATAGTGAGCCTTGTCTCAAAAACAAATAAATAAGTGAAAAAAAAAAATCCGTGTCAAATATCTTCCTAAACCTGATGGATGAGACCTTTTGGCTACCTTCCCGCAATCTCATCTTGTAAACCTCACTGAACCCTTTCCACATCATCTCTTGGCTGCTTTTCTGAAAAACTCCTTCAAACCCGTCTTCCTGGCCACCAGTCCTCAAGTCCATCTGCTGCACTGAGTTTCTGTTTTAAACGCATGTTTACCATCTGAAGAAGTGGTTGTCCTCTTTTTAAATTCCCAGTCACCCCAGCTTCCATAAAGCACGTTCCAGCTGAGATCACTCTACCCCTGTCCAAGGCTCCCCTTTCCAAGTCTGTGTGTCCCCAGATCAGTTTCCCTTTTGGGAACTGGGGGCCCTGGGTTCACTGGCAGTGGGGGCAGGCGGAGTAGAGGCGTCAGTAGACCGGCTCTTTCACAGTCTGGATCAGAGGTAATTCTATTATGTACAGAATTTTAAATGAAGTCCATTTTCAAGGCACTGGGGTAGGAAAGCGCTTAGCTGTGTCCAGCCTCCAGCCTCAAAGCCATCCACTGATTCTGTAGACCATCTCTGGCTCACACATGTGCTTTCCAGAATGGAGCCTCGGAGGATACTTCCAGCCTTCTGAAATCATGTAAAGGTACCCCCATGGTGTTTACACAATTGATAAGTGAACAGCTATTGGATGGACAGACTGGTCACCCTTCCCCTTGTGAGGTATCACAGCAATACATACAATAGGCTGTAACATTTATTGAACATCAAGGTTACACTATTCACAACCATCACCAGCTCCCGAGTTGCACATAATTCTTATACTCACTTTAATTTACATTTTTAGTGTGTGTGTGTGTGTGTGTGTGTGTGTGTGTGTGTGTGTGTGTACATGCACATGCCCAGGTGCCATGACGTTTATGTGGAGATGAGAAGATAGCTTTCAGTAGCTTTCTCTTCTTACACCATGTGGAACCAAACCCAGGTCAGCAGACTTGACAGTATGCATCCTTACCCACTGAGCCAGCTCCACAGCCCACCTTATTCCCACTTTTCAGATCAGGTAACTGAGGCACAGTGAAATCAAGAAACAGTTGCCTAGCCAGGCAGTGGTGGCGTACACCTTCAATCCCAGCACTGGGGAGGCAGAGGCAGGGGGATCTTTGTGAATTCGAGGCCAGCCTGGTCTACAGAGCAAGTTCAAAGACAGCCAGAGTTACACAGAGAAACTCTGTTTCAAAAAACAAAACAAAACGAAACAGTTGTGTCTGACACAGAGGTCTCAGGTACCTTTAGGGTTTGATTACATTTATTTGTGGAGGGGTATGTGATGCGGTACAAATGCAGAGGTCAGAGGACAACTTTCAGGAGTCGGGTCCCAGAGATCAAACTCAGATTTTGGTGGCAAGGCCCTTCCCCATGAACCATCTCACTGGGCCACCTTCGAGATTAAAGCACGGGCTGCAAGGCAGGTCCCAGCTGGGAGACGAAACACGGCTCAAACACAGCCCAGCCACAGAACTCCTGAATTTTAATGCCAGGGCTCTGAGAGGGGGTTCTGCAGACCTACTGCCTCCAGGCCTGGGTCCCGGGCACCTAGCCATGAGGCAGTGACTAGCACAGGGATTTTGCTCCTATGCAGGACAGGCTGAGCAGGACCAGAAGCTCCCAGAGCTTCTAGGAAGGGCTGGACCATCTTAGGGCCCGAGAGGCCACCGTCAACTGGCCCCCCATAAGGCCTGGCCCCGCAGCACTCTGCACTGCTCAGCAGGGGCATGGCATAGTTACGAAGTAGGAGGTAAAGAAAGCAATCACAGTTCTAGCCAGGGGTTAGCAGATGCCTTGAAGGGAGGTGCTCCCTGGAGAGTTAGGACTTGGCTCTTCTCAGCTGGGAAGCCAGAGGATCTTGACCCCCAAGGCACTTGACTCAGGCTACCTCTATGGTAGGGAATGGAGGACACTCCACTGTAGGTCCAGAAAGGAGGTAACAGGCATCCTGCTGGGCACCGGGAAGACCCAGAGGCAGCTTCAGTACCCCCGGGGGGCAGCTTGACCCTTGTCCTCCGGGCTTGCAAAGGGGGCTGCAGGTGAGTCTGGTGTGTCAATTGTCTGGTAGGCACTATGCTCATGAGACGGTCCAAAGAAATCTAGAGGACAGGGAACATGAGGATAGGGAAATGAGACCACGGGGCCTTTGGCGGCGCACAGACGGATCCACCCTCTGCCACGGCTAGTGCTCGGCATCCTGATTCCAAGGACAACAGGCAGCAGCGAAAGCCTAGACACCAAGCCTTTAGCAGGCTGTATCCACCCAATCCTCGTGTCTGTATGAGGCACAGATCTGCAGATGAGGAGTCTGAGGGTCAGAGAGAGACGAACTGATTTGACAGTATGTGACTTGAAGCAGGTGACACTGGAGTCAAACCTAAGTAGCAGGTCCTGTGGTCTGTGGCCACTGGCTGCTGTACCACCTCAGTCCCCAGCAGCACATGCTCAGGAACCTGATGGGAGGTGGCTCCCCTGGGCCCACAGACTTCTCTCCTGCTCTCTGCCAGGCACAAGAACCCATACATATCTCTGTCTTCTAGAAGCCCCAGAGCTTGGCACAGTTGCTATACCCTGAAGGTTAGGGCTGAGGGGGCAGGACAAGATGGAAGGCACCCCACGTCTCTCACTTTCCTCCCTCTGCACATTTGTCCTGGGACCATGAACAAGTCCCAAGGGCAGTGGGCCTTCATCTTCTCATCTGTTCCCTCCATACCTGGGCAGGTCTAGATGGTGCTTAGGTAAGCCAGAGTGGGCAGCCACAGGCCACGCTCTCCCTGGCTCAGTGCTCTCCCATGGGATCCCCATGCCCAGCTCCCCCAGGAGAACAAGGTCAGGGAGGGCAGGAAATGGCTTGGTCCACCACCAGAGAGGACAGTGTGGGCTATGCCAGAGGTGGGAGGACTGGCCCAACACTAAACCTGTTTGCCCAGGCGCGGCATCATGGCTGCCTGCCTAGCACTGTGTCTGCCCACAAGGGGTCCATCCCACATGTCAGGAGAGCACAGCTCCAGAGCCGGGGCTAGGCAGAAACAGAAGGAGCTGTCCCTGCAGCCACCTGTAGGCCCAAACCAGAGGCCGCCCGCTGCCTCTGGGAGCTGACCACCTCCACGGCTTCACGTGTGGTCGGGGCTGCGGGACGTCTGACAGCAGGACAGCCCACACCAGACCGGCAGCTGGGGCCCAGGCTTCGGCGGCAATGACTGGGCGCTTGCCCACAGGACCAGGGAGAGGCAGAGCAGAGCGGGACTTACCGGGGCGGAGTGGGAGTTCACCCCCTCGCTCACGGTGCATGTGGTAAATGAAGCAGCAGGAGAAGGGCTTGAGCAGCAGGCTGAAGATAGCCATGCCGGCACTGAAGCGGCCAGTGTCCACAGTGGCAAAACTTGAGTAGAAGATGCTGATGTAGATAATGTCCAGGAAGATGGTGGCCACCAAGCCACCAAGAAACTGCAAGAAACACCACCATGAGATCATGGGCACTGACACGCACCCAGACTCCAAGCTTCCCTCACACACACCAGCCTGGGTACACCTGCATGGCCTAGGAGCAGGACACAGGAATCTGGCTCCAGCCTGTTGCCCCAGAATTCCCTACCCCCATTTCCCGCCACTGAGGCCACGATGGAGTCCAACACCTGGATCCAGAATTTGAGAGGGACAGTCCCTTGGAGTCCATACCATCTGTGTACAATACAAGGAAACAAAGAAAAGCCCCCTTTGCAGTCCTCCAAAGGAGCCATGGCCTTGATGTGAAAAGCTGGGCACCTCCTACCTCAGGCCAGTGTCAACTCTGACTTCTTAAGGTAAGGGGGCTGGCTCCCTCTTGTCCAGGCCTCCCAGTCACATCCTTTCCCCCCAAAAGACAACCCTGAAGCAGGTCAGATTGCCTGGGAGGATAGCCAGTCTTGGGGTTCTGTAACCTCCACCCTATTTGGTGGGGAGCTCTCCATCCCGGGGGGCTTACATACAATGCTTTAGAACAGAAAAAGGTGGGATATGAGGAGGAGAAGTCTGGGACCGATGAGGGGCACACGGATGAAACCAGTTCCCTGCCCTCTCTCCTACCCCCACTCCCCACTCACCATGCCTATGGCATCAATGGAGTCCCGCTGGGCCACAGCCCACACGCCCAGGGCCAGGACAGTGAAGTTGCTCCAGGCATAGGAGCCTGAGAACACTATGCAGCCCCTGCATTGAGAGACACTGTCAATCAGGTGGTCACCACCCTGAGCTGCCCGCCCCTCCCCCAGTTCCTTCCTCCTGCTCCAGGGTTAGTCTCCTCTGAGAGCAGGTCATCTGGCTTCCTGAATCTGGCCTCATCCATCCTCTCCTGCCAGTCTGGGACCCACAGCTTTTCTGTACAGGTCTCACTGTCACTCCAACCCCTTTACAGGCCATCCTGAAACAGCAAGCAGTGTGCGGGTCAGATCATGTGACTCCTCCAGGCCAACCTTCCCAACAGTTTTCTGACCTGCCTATGGGGTTCCCACGAGCCCCACCCTTACCTCCTGGCTGTCCCCTGCAGCTTTGTCTTCCTGAACGTACAGCCCTTTCCTGTCATCTTGGAGCTCAGTGTTGCCTGAGATCCCATGCTGACCTGACCAGTGCCCTCCCTGCTATAGTTTTTGGGGTATCAGGGTCAACTGGCATCACTTAGAGCTGGCTTATCACAGCTAACACAGGTCGCTTCCTGGGACCTTGCACTGCCCTACACACTCTGAATCCATTGGTGTTCACAGCTGCTCTTGGAGGGAGCTGTGCTCAGGAGCCTCGTTTTACAGATTCGGAGGCACAGACCTAATAGGTGACTAACCAGGTCACGCAGCTGCTCAGTGAATGAAAATGAAGACCTGGCTGCTCACAGATATGGTTGAGGAGAAGGTTTTAGTGGAGATACGAGGGAGAAAAGAGCCAGAGGCCTCTGAAAGAGTCCAGACTGAACATGGCCAGCAAGCTGAACCAGGCCATGAGGAGAGGTGTGGGGGAGAGCAAGAGAGGAAGGGAAAGAGAGAGAAAAGAGGAGAGAGGGGAAACAGAGAGAGGTTCAGGAGAGGAACCGAGAGAGGATACAGCAAAAATGGCTGAGGTATAAAGGAACCAGAAGCTGGGGAAGGAAAGGGAAGCCCAGACCCTGGACTGGAGTGGTTTAGGGTAGGAGTGAGGCGAGAAGTGCTGGGAGTTGCCACAGGTGCTGATTGATGTTTGGAGAGCTGGGAGGCACCACAGGTACTGAGTGAAACTTGTTCTGGGTTTCCTTGGGTCCTGACACTCAGCAGCAGGGCTGGGATTGGAACACTGGGATTGGCATTGCGTGATGAGGCCTGATATTTTCCAGTCTTCCTATCTTAGCAGGTGTGAGCTCTGCCTAGTCACCAATGTGGGACCTCAGGGAAAGTGACCCCGCTTCACTGTGTACATCACTCACAGCTGTTGGCATGTGCACCGCACTTTAAAGCCTGCAAAACACATGCGGTTTCCTGACTTGTTTTTGGCAGCGAACTCTTCCTGGATGCTAGACACACACACACACACACACACACACACACACACACACACACACACACACACACACACACGAAGGAAGTGCCAGTGAAGGTTAAGCTGCGCCCTGCAGCCCCATGTAGGGTTTGGTTGGTAAGTGCTGCTGCAGGGGCCAGTCCTGATCCATGGTACAGACAGAAGGCAGACTCAGCCCTGGGCAAACAGACTGGTAACTGTGACTGGCTGAAACACTGCAGAATGGGACCTGACCAGGCTGACAGGATCCAGGAACACATACACATTGACCCTGGGGAACTGTGGACACAGACCCCAGCTGACACAACACAGCCAGGAGACATTTGGATGCAGCCAGACACCCAGGGTCACTCACCAGGTTGTCAGCAGCCAGTGAACCAGGAGAATAACCTATGGTACAAGGATAGGGATTGGGTAAGTCTGCGAATACAATGTCACAGGCAGCACAAAGCTTATGACAACAGAACACGCAGGAGAGCCCTGCCTGGCATCTACAAGGGTCTCACACGAATGTCTTAAAGAAATTCCAGCAACAGGAAGGGTCTGTGGTAAAGGAGAAAGAGGAGCCTGGCTAGGAACAGGCACCTCTCCCTCTTCCTGTTTCCAAAACTAGGGGTTCCTCTGGGGAGCCTGGGGCATGAGCTCTGGAATCACAAGTCTGAATGGGAAAATGGGAGGGACCTCTAATAAGGGGTGAAGGCAGCCACACCACGGGAGCTGGAAGGGAGGTGTAAGGAGGCAGGGCTAGGGCTTAGTTGGCAGAGTGCTTGCCCAGCATGCTTGAAGTCCTGAGTTCAATTCCCACATTGAATAAACTGCCTACGTCAGGCACAGGTGTGCACGCCTGTAATCTCACACTTAGGAGGTGGAGGCAGGAGAATCAGAAGTTCAAGATCATCCTCAGTTACATAATGAGTTCAAGACTAACCTACGCCTGTTTCAAAACACACGCACCAAAAAAAAAAAAAAAAAAACCAGTAAGGGGGGAGGTGGGAGATGGTAGTCTAAAGCAGTGGCTGGCAGCTCAGATTTCAAGTTTGATGACTGAGGAGAGCTTGAGACTTCTCTGCAGGAGACATCACAGTATGATGCCATGTTAAGGACAAAATCCTTCTGGCCTGCCTGGAATTCTAGAGCACCCTTTCACTGTGTTTGGCATCCTTGAAATCACAGTCCTGGTCCTGGATTGGCCTCTGGCACTGCCTAGAGGGCTATGATAGGAGGGGCAGATGCATGAAACCAGGGCACTGTCAGCTAGAGTGGGATGCAGGCTTCTGGCCTGAGTGCTAAGGGTAAGCAAGGAATCGGTCAGGCCGAGGCAGGGAGCCAGGACCAGCCCTCTGAGTGGGAGGAAGGCGTGGCCCAGACCAAGGCTTCCTGGAGGCCAGAAGCTTTGCTGGTGCAGATGGCAGAGTTAGTCTGAGGGCAACGGGAGTGCACTGGACCAGGGCGGACAGGCAGGAAAAGGCCCAGGCACTGTCCCACCTGACTCCAGGAAGGTTCTCTGAAGGAGGAGCCCTGGGCTCACTGACCAGCTAGTCTAGCCAAATCAGTGAGCTCCAAGTTCAGCAAGAGACAGGATGCTCACAGGGGCTTGTTGGCGGTCAGCCTCACTCTAGATGAGAGACCATGTCTCCAGGGAACATGGCAGTGAGTGATAGTGCAGGACACCCACGGGGAAGGCAACCTATCAAGAGACTAAGCCTCAGGCTGGGCATGACAGCACACACCTTTAATCCAGCACTCTGGAGGAAGAGGAAGGCAGATCTCTTTGAGTTCAAGGCCAGCCCGGTCTATAAATCGAGTTCCAGGATAGCCAGGGCTGTTACACATAGTTTTAAAATAAAAGGGGGGGGGGAACTAAGCCTCTCCTGCCTCAGTTTATCCATCTTTGTAATGGGAATATAATCAGGCCTCTGAGATATGACTTCAAAGAAAGCTGTAGGGAGAAACAGGACCAAGTGGCCCAACTTCTCCAGGAAGTACACAGGAGAGGGGCCAGTGGCCACTGTGAACACAGAACTGTCCCTGCTGGCTCTTACTCAGGGAAATAGGAGACCAGAGGCTTCTCAAAGAGAAACTGAGAAGGGCCAGGCCACAGCACGAAGGGAGCCCAGCTTGATCTGGAGGATTCTTAAAACAGAGCTCAGCCACAGCAGGCTGCCTGTCCTTCCCAGACAAGGCCAACAGGCCGGGGCAGCAGGGGTCACTGGGTGCTGGATGGGGAACACTGGCCCTCTCTGTGTGATGGGCCACAGAAAGGATCCTAGCTCCACGTATGAACTTGGGTAAGTCTCCGGACCTCATACAACTGCCCCCTGCTCTTCAGCACCTCAGGGATAATCATACGTGACTCCTTGGCTCTGGAGGACAGGGGAGGAGAGATGTAGCGCTCAACACAGCAGGCCTCATCACCACTGTCCACGTCTACTGTCAGCGTGCCCACTGCTCTCCCAGCCTGGGCCAGGTCTGCCTCCTCCCAAGACTTCACAAATCTAGTCTGACTGAGCTGCTCAGCTCAGGCCCTGCTTGTTTCAAGAGGAGCATGGGTAGGGCCCAGCTAGGGACAGACTTCTTTCACAGAGCCTGGGGCAACTGCGTCTTTTCACCTGCCCCCCCCCAGCCCACTCCGGCTGAGCTGGGCACACCAGCCATGTCTTTAAAGGACAGAGGGTGGAGCTGAAAGGGGCAGCCATCATGTCCCAGCTGCCCTCCATAGGGTACAGATCTTGCAGACAAAACGACCAAACACCCAGGCTCATTCTGAATTTCAGATTATGAATAATTCAGTATGTCCCCAACACTGAGACACACAATAAAAACCCTGTCATCGATGTGAAACCCAAAAGTGACCGATGTCCTTCCTAAGTGTTACTTCACAACCTTTAGCGCTCACTTGCTTCTGATTGGCCCTGGCTAAGATCCTTGGAGACACAGGACTTGTCAATCATATCAAGGGAGAGCCCAGTCTCTACACCCTGGGCTCAAAAGCCCATCTGGTTCACACTTGTGATGGATGCTCTGTGCCTATGAGGCTCTAAAAGTTGACCTAGACCATCAAAACGAAAGTTAGTCTCAAGTAATCCGATACCAGGAAATGTCAAGCCCCGGAGCTGGGTCTTTGGGGGTTCAGATCCTGACTGTACCACTTATTTCTTGGGGGACCCTGGCAATGTACTTGCGTGATCTAAAGTGGTTTGCATCTAAGAGAATACAGCTTCTCTGGCCAGGTGCAGTGCAGGCCTTTAACCCCAGCACTCAGGAGGCAAGAGCAAGCGGATCTCTGTGAGTTCAGAGACAGCCTGATTTACAGAGTGAGTGACTCAAAACAAGAACAACAGAGTACAGCTTCAGCTTTGTCAGTGGAGGACAGAGATCAGTAAGCAACACAGGCCAGGAGACACAGCTCCGTGGGCAGAGTGTGTCCTTAGCAGGCAAGAAACCCTGGGTTTCATCCCCAGTACTGCATAACAGGCCTGCAGTTCTAGTACTGGAGAAGCAGACGCAGGAGGATCAGAAGTTTGATTTCTGATCATGCAAGTAAATTGCCAGGGTCCCCCCAAGAAATAAGTGGTACAGTCAGGATTTGAACCCCCAAAGACCCAGCTCCGGGGCTTGACATTTCCTAGTATCGGATTACTTAGACTAACTTTTGTTTTGATGGTCTAGGTCAACTTTTAGAGCCTCATAGGCACAGAGCATCCTCAGCTACAAAGGAAGTTCAAGGCTATCGTGTACTACATGAGACCCTAACTCAAATGAAACATAAAATGAATAGTCCATAAACTCCAGCTCTTTTTCTCACCTGTTCCTACATTTTATAATTATTATTTGTTTCTGTGTGGTACTGGGATGAACCCCCGATCTGGTGTGGGCTACTCTAATGCTCTCACGCTGTCCTCTAAATTGAGGGCAGGCTCAAGCAGAGTAAGGCACAGCTTGACCTCCAGGCTGCCTCCAACAGTTAGTACCTAAAGCAACAAGCCCTTGCAGCAGGCTGTAAACCTCTCCCCAGCTAAGGGGTCTGCCCAAGCCTATTCCTTTGCTCCAATTATGCCTCCCTCCAGCTGCTGGCCAGAAGCTTAGGAATGGGAAACCGAGCAAGTCACAGCTTAACCCGTGTGTAATTACCCAACCGTGGCGTTATATCGCTGCTGCTGCTACCACCTGTCTCTTCGGTCCCTTTGGTCTACGCCACCAAAGGGTGCTAAACGCTTTGACACCTGGGAGTCTAAGGAACCTGAACCAAGGCCCAAGATGGCCGGTTTAGTTCCAAGTCCACACCCCTCTGACCGAAGCTCTGTTGCAAACCAGAAGGACTGAGTAAGAACTCAGGAAATGAAGACACCGTAGGCAGCCCCGCTGCCTGGGGCCCGGCATAGGCTTTGGGGTTTTTTGCTTTTAAGAAACTTCTGCAGTTCCTGCTTCTTAATTATGAAATAAGGGCGCTGCATGCGGAAACTTGGAAGAAACAATTGTTTGGGGACCCTGGATTTCTCCTAACCTGTGCCAACACACAGAGGGGCCCAGCGGGACTGCACTGGAGGGGGTCTGACCTCTCAGGAGGAGAGGTGTCTCTGTCCTGCTGCTGGGGGACATGAGGAGCGCAGGCGCGGGCGGCACGGGACCCGTGCCAGCCTGGGTACGTCCGGGAGGGGTGGCCCTGTCTGTCTCCGTCTCCAGGTGTCCCTCCCGGCGTCTGCTGCCTCCTCCCTTGGGATCTGCGCTTTCCCTTTTGCTCCAACTCCGTTCCCCAGGCTCCAGAACCCCCGCCCGCCCCGGCCGCGCGGCCACCTTCAAGTTCACGGCGGGCAGCTCCATCCCGACCCTGGCGGAGGGCACCTGCGCGACGGCCGCGGGGACTCCTGGGCTCCGAACTCGGGAACAAACTTCCACGCCCCGCCCGTCACGTTGCGCCAGCTCCAACCGTGGCTCCTCCGTGAGCCACGTGAGGCCAACTCGCGCGGCCACGTGACTGCAGCCAGTTGCTAGGAGACAGCGTCAGGCTGCTGGCTCTTGCTTCAAGGCTCAGGCTCCAGCCACCGCCTAGGCCTCAAGCAGCAGCTGCTCTGCTAGCAGAAAACGGGATTTCTGCAGCCTGGGGGCAATGGCCTGCCTAGTGGAAACGTGCTGAGGACCACCTGTAGTCAGGAGAGTCTGGGGCAGCTAGGCAGAAACTGCTGGTGTGATAACAGCCGGTGTCTGCCCCGGGACATCTCTCTCCTCCCTTCCTTCCCTTGTACAAGGGTTAGTACAGTACTTACCTCATCATCCTTGTGACAGTCAGTGAGTGAATTCATGTCCGTAAAGAAAACAATGAGGCCTGGAGAGATGATTCCGTGGTTAAGAGCACCTGTTGCTCTTCCAGAAGACCTGGGTTCCGTTCCCAGCACCCACATGGTAGCTCACAACCATGTACATATGATCCAGCATCTCTCTTCTGTCCTCCTCAGGCACCAGACACACACAGTGCACATACATAGATGTAGGCAAAACATTCATACACATAAGATAAAAGAAATAAATTTGAAAAAATTCAAAGCCCAGTTCTTACTGTGTTAAATTTCTCCTTCAAGCTTATTGGAGTTCCAGAGAATTTCATAAAATACATTTTAAAAAAAGAAAAGAAAAAGGTGAAAGCAGGTGTGGTAGGTCAGGCCTGTAAATAACAGTACTTGGGAGGCTGAGGCAAGAACACCATGAGATCAAAGCCTGCTTTATAAAGTAATACCATGTTTATTTCTCATTTACTTGTTCATTTTGTGGGGTGGGTGGGTACATACATGCCACACCGTGAGTGTGGAGCTGAGAGGACAACTCGGGGGGTTGTTCATTCTTTCCATCCAGGGTTTTGAAGCCTGGGTAAGTAAAGGAGAATAGGAGACTGAAGTCAAGAAAAGGGCTTTCAAGCTGGTGGCTGAATAGTCTCAGCCACTAGGGAAGCAGAGGCAGGAGGATTCCTCGAGCCCAGGCAGTCAAAGCCAACCTGGGCAACAGAGTGAGATCTTGTCTAAAAACGAGGGCATCAGGGCTCAGTGTCATAGTGTCTGTTTACTACACCTCCATCCCCAACGTGGACAGAGGATGATGTCATCAGAGCCTATGTGACCTGAGCCGTCTGTGCTGGCGTTTTCTACATGGCCGACGCACACAAGCTTTTGTACCATCAGTGTGCAAGAAGCCAGCCACCTGGAGTCTGCTTACTGGCATACCATCAGTTTGAGAACCTTCCATCTGGACAGTTAGCAGAAACTCTGCCCTGCTGAGCTTCCAGCTGTGCTGAGCCGACTGGAAGAAGAAGCAGCTGCCCTGCCTGGGCTCTTGAGTGAGAATCCTCTCAGGGCTCAGCTGCAACTTGTTCTGCTCTCCAGAAGGACAGAAGCCACATGGGAAATCTATAGGACTGCCTGAGTGGACACATGGCAGCATCCAGACCACAGATCCTCAGATAGGAAGGAAGGATTTTTTTTTCTAAGTCGATGAGGGGAGATTCAGGGGGGTGCCCAGGCCTAGTTTAAAGCCCAGTTTGAAAACACAGCCCTCGGGGGCTGGAGAGGTGGCTCAGTGGTTAGGAGCACTGACTGCTCTTCCAGAGGCCTGGGGTTCAATCCCCAGCACCCACATGGCAGCTCACAACTGTCTGTAACTCCAAGATCTGACACCCTCACACAAACATACATGTAGGCAAAACACCAATGTACAAAATAAGAATAAATAATTAAAAAAAAAACCATAGCCCTCAGCCCAGGAGGAAAGCCAGCTTCAAGTCTGCCTTTGTAATAGACAGGTATTCTGTTTTTGTTCCTAGGCAGAGTATTTCAATGTAGCCCAGGCTGGCCCTGAACTTGAGGGTGCCCTGTTCTAGCCTCCTAGGGGCAGGTATTGCAGGCATGTGCTTTTACATCTGTCTAATTATGGATTATTATATGTTTGTTTAACTGATATAAAAATTATACACACTAACAAGGTTCATTGTGATATTTCCATACATCCTGTAATGTTGGATTTTTAATTATGTTTATTTAGTTTGTATGTTTATATGTAGGCATGCACGTCACGGCCCCTATGTAGAGGTCTGAGGACTTGCTTCCTTGAGTAGATCCTCACATTCCTACCTTGCTTTTGAGGTAGGGTGTCTCTTGTTCTTTCTGAATACACCAGGCTAGATTATGGTGATTCTCCATTCTCCAACTCCCTTTTTCTGTAGGGATCCTGGGATTAAAGTTGCTTGTGTGGCAAGTGAGTTTGACCACATAGCCATTTCCCTGGCCCTTTAGCCTGTTTTTTTTTTTTTTTTTAATATTTATTTAACTGTGTGTGTGTGTGTGTGTGTGTGTGTGTGTGTGTGTGTGTGTACCTAAGTGAATATATGTGCACATGTGTATGTGGGAGCCTGCAGAAGGCAGAAGAGGCATTGATCCCCTGGAACTGGAGTTGCAGATGGCTGTTAGCTGCTATGTGGGTGCTGGGAACTAAACCCAGGTCCTCTGCAAGAGCAATAAGCACTCTTAATTGCTGAAGCATCTCTCCAGCCCTCTGTAGCCTATTTTTGAGGGTTAGGTTGTAGCTCAGTGGTAATACATTTGCCTAGTATGCATGGAGCCATGAATTTCAACACCACACACACACACACACACACACACACACACACACACACACACACACACACACTGGTGATTTTGTTCAGTTGGTAGAGTGCTTGCTCAACATCATGAGGCCCTGGGTCTGATCTCTAGAACTATATAAACTGAGTAACATGCATCTGTAATCCCAGCACTCACTCAAGGGGTAGAAGCAGAAGGAGTCAGGAGTTCAAAGCCAGCCTGGCTAAATGAAACCCTGTTCCCCTGTGGTGGTTTAAATGAGAATGGTCCATGTAACGGAGGCAGAGCCTTTCTGTCCTGATTGCCTGGTCCCAAATAAACACACAGAAGCTTATATCAATTATAAATGTTTGGCTGGTGGCTCAGACTTATTACTAGCTAGTTCTTACATTTAAATTAACCCATATTTCTTATCTATGCTTTGCCACTTGGCTCACGGCTTGTTAACCTCATTTTCTGCACATCTTGCTTCCTCAGTGGCTGGCTGGCATCTGACTGACTCCACCCTTCCTCTTCCCAGAATTCTCCTAGTCTGGCTCTCGCATGCTCAATCTCTTCCTGCCCAGTTATCTGCCAATCACCTTTATTATTAACAATGAGCATAATCCACAGCAAGTCCCCATAGACTTATGTTTGAATGCCTGGTCTCCAGCTGGTGGAACTGTTTGGGAATGATTAGGAGGTGTGGTCTTGTTGGAAGAAGTCACTGAGCAGGCTTTGAGGTTTCAAAAGTCCACACCATTCCCAGTTCTCTCTCTCTCTCTCTCTCTCTCTCTCTCTCTCTCTCTCTCTCTCTCTCTCTTCCCAACTTGTGGGTCAAGAGTGAGCTCTCAGCTGCTGCTCCAGCACCATGCCTGCCTACCTACTGCCATGCTTCCCACTATGATGGGCATGGATTCTAACCCTCTGGAATCATGAGCCCCTGTAAACATTTTCTAAGTCACCTTGGTCCTGGAGTCTCTTCATAGCAATAGAAAAGCAGTCAAACATTCCCTATGGTGGGATACCTTGCTCAGACTTGATGTAGGGGGGAGGGGCTTGGTCCTGCCCTAACTATATATGCCAGCCTGTGTTGACTCCCCAAGGGAGGCTTTGCCTCCTCCATGAGGAGTGGATGGCGGGGAGGAAGTGGTGGGGGGACAGGAGAAGGGGAGGGAGGGAGAACTGCAGTTGGTATATAAAATGAAAAAAAAATAATTCACAAATTAATTAATTAAAAAACAGAAAAATAGAAAAGCAGTTAAGATACCCCCCAAACAAACAAACAAACAAACAAAGCAATGTAGGGTCTGCCCCACACGCAGAAGGAGGAATGCTGCAGAGAGGCCAAGAAGCAGCTAAGCAGACAGGCCCTGCAGGGCCTCCTTAGTTTGTCCTGTAGATCAGAGGCTTTCCCGTCACATCCCTACATGACTGTGTGCTTTCAAGGTACCTCACACAAAAACAGGCAGCTCCCCTGGATGTTTGGGCCTCTGTTTCTGAAAGCTCCCGTGTCGTGCAGACCTCGGATTAACTGTATATGTCATGCTTTTTGGCTGTCATGAAAGCATGGTCGCTCTGTACAGAGAACACTGGCCAGGCCCGCATGAAAGGGGTGGAGCCAGGCCAGGGCTGTGGACAGTCCCCGCCGCCACTCTCCCAGGCAGCTGCGGCCAGAGGTGGGAGGGGACACAGGAGGAACCAGCTAACAGGGCAGCTGGGGTGGTGTGCACTGAGTGCGTAAAGGAGAAGGAAGCTGACTGATCTCAAAGGAGCCGGGGTCCTGCCATGACCTGCTCCTGCTGTGGAAGAATAATGCCCCCCACATTCCATAAGGCTTCAGAGCCAGCCATTTAGTGAATGTGTTTTTGAAATTTAAGTTCAAATTCTCTCTCTCTCTCTCTCTCTCTCTCTCTCTCTCTCTCTCTCTCTCTAACTTTCTCTCTGTGTCTTTGAGATAGAGTTCCAGGCTGACCTCGAACTCAATATGATAAATTTTAAAATGGTTTTTACTACATTTATTTGTGTGTGTGTGTGTGTGTGTGTGTGTGTGTGTGTGTGTGTGTGTGTGTGTGAATGCTACAGCACAGGTGTGTGGAGGAGACAACTTGCAGAAGTCACTTCTCTCCTACCATAAGGGTTCCAGGGACCAAACTCAGGTCCTCAGCTTGTCAGCCAGCTCCTTTACTTGATGAGTCAGCTCGCTGGCCTTGAACTTTGATCCTCCTGAGCAGTGTTGTGAGGATCATATGTGGTCATTGGGCAGGGTACCAGGCCACCCAGCTCCTGGCATACAGTAATGACTATACTGCTGTCCCTCTATTCCGTGGGAAGCATAGTGTCTGTTGGCATTTCGTCATT